TAGGAAAAGAAGTAATTTTAAAATGAGAATCAATCCAAGATAATTAGATCTTCCAATTCTTTCCAGTTATAATTTTTGGAATGTAAAATGTAATTGCTAGCAACAATCCGTTTCACTTTTTAATATTCATATTCAGAGAAGATAGCATGATAAATGAAAAAAAGTAGGGACTAAAGGAGCCACATTAAGATTCGAAAAAATAGAAGAGGAATTTACGTTTTAGAAATCAAAAATTTAAATAAAGTTTGGATATGCTTCTTTAAAAAGGTTTTCAGATGATGAATAGAATTAAGACGTCAGAAGAAAATAGAGTAATATTTAAAGTTTAACAAGTATATCATGTCATAAATGAGCTTTAAAGGAATTAGAACTAAAATATTGATGATACCATATTTCAAATAGTTGATCAATTATTGAATTTATTTGGAAATTAAAATTATCAAATCTATTTTTATAACTAAAGTTGGAAAAATAAAAATTGGATCTTCAAATTATAGAGAAAATTTACTTATTTCTCCAAATAACAATATTTGTGAAAATTAGAAATTGATATATATTAGACTTAGGTTAATAAATATCTAATACTATCATAAAAAAGAGTACTTATCTAAATGATTCTCAAGTGCAAAGAAAATAATTATCACTAAATTTTCATTCCTAACGAAGATTGACTGTGCTAATTTTGGTGACGATATCCTTAAATTCAAATGTGATGTATTAACATATATGTAATAAAAAACGAAAATATTATCACAAGAGCATGGATTTGAATCTCATTGCAAAAATCATGTGCTTTAAACTATTAAAGTAATGAAGTACACTTATAATAATTTAGCAATAAACCAATACATAAAAAATAATGATTGTAATGTAATTCTATTTCTATTATAATAAGAATGAGTTATAGAATAAAAATTTTTGAGGATACTGTTTAATTTTATTATCACATGAAAATGTTTTCTAATTCAATTATTATCATATTTATTGTTTCCCTTGAAAAGATAAAATAAATAATGTTTATGGTTTATACTTAAATTTTTTCTTCATTTTTATATTGACTATGATTTTAATTACTAATTCTAGTTTCATATGAATAAATAATAACATATTAACTATCTTTTTATATGCAATTAACAGAATTAACCTGCAATTATGAAACCATATATAACACTTTGTACATCTTTTGATAGTTTTAAGCTTACAAGAATTAAAAACAAAAAAATACCATTACCCTTGCAAAATTATTTTATATTTTAAATAGAGATATATTTGGCGCTAAAATTATATAACTTTGTAAAATAAATCTATATTGTATTTATTATTTTATCAAATTATTTTTTGAATGGAAATTGTATTGATATTTCTAGGTTGTCTTATTTATTAGACGGAATCGATAACGAAAAATGTGAATAGATTAATTATCAACCTTGGATCAATTATTTTTAATACATGTAAAATTTTTTGAGTTGAGAAGCAGATGAAGAAGATTGTTCAAAGGTTCAACATATTGATAATGATTTTCTACAAAAGTCCTCCTCCTTAATTCCTTATAAATAAGAACCTATTTTAATAAGGATTGGAAATTGCTGGAAACGATTACGATATAAACTTTAACCTAGTGTTGTATGTAGAATAAAGCAATTACAAGTGAAAAACGGAAATTTAAATCTGAAATTTAATCTCAAGAAAATTGTTTTGAAATGTTTGAATCTAAAGATGGAAGGTTGATATTATTTTGTCTGAGTTAATTTACTCTAAATTAATATTAAGTGAATTTTTAAGGGAAGACAACATTAATTTTTAAATTAAATGCTTCATATTAAATATCAGATTTTTGTAAAATAAATAAAAGACATTGAATGAAAATTCTAAAATTTTCATGTTTTATAAATTTTGTATTATTAATATTCTTAAGAGAAATCTTAATTTATAAACATTAAATTACAAATAAATTAAGAAATACATTGATTGATCGATTGTTTATTATTAGTATTCATCAGAGAAATCTTAATTTATCTACATTATGGAAATGAATAAGAAATACAATTATTTTTTGTATTTTAAATATTCATAAAGAGAAATCTTAATTTATAAACGTTATTAAAAATGAATAAGAAATAAAAATATATTTTATAAGTTAATTATTTTTAAGAGAAATCGGACTATAAAAACATTTTAGGTTTGTTAAATTAAAGGTTATAATGATTCCAAACTAAGATTTAAATTATATTGCAGCTTTAATCCAAAACATGGAAATTAACTTTGAAAGTTATTCCTTTACCAATACAAAATCTAATCCAAAAAAATTATCACAACAACAAAATAAATATTTGGTCGATATGGTGGGTCTGAATTATAAAAACGATTTATTTTGAAGTATTCCTCTGTCGTTCTGGATAGAGAGAAAACAATGATAAACAAAATTTATTGATATTTAATTTTAATAATATGGATAATGAATTAATTTTTGTTTCGAATACAAAATTTTTTTTTGTTAATATTTTTAATTCTTTAATCCTTGAATAAATTTCAGGAGAATTCAAATCTAATTACTAAATTTTTTAAATACAAGCACCCTTTTTGCTCCAAAAATATAAATATTTTTATTCCACAACACAAAATATAATTTCTTGCTCTAAATTATATAACCTCATACATATAAATAAAATAATCATTGTGTTCTCTGCTTCACCTTAAAGTGCCAATGAATGTGTGAAAAAAAAATGATTTTTAATTCAGACCCCTAATAGTATTACTGATTATAAACATGAATAAATGGAATTTTTATTTCTTTTTCGTTTCTATTCATAACAGCCCTTTCTAATGTTTATAGATTTTTAAAATTATAATTATTGAATAAATGGATTAAAACTCCTACTTTTTCAAACTTTCCTGATTTAATTTCTAATTATATCAAATTATATTTAAGCTTACCAAACTGAAAACAATTCAATTTAATGTAATTATTAAATATTTTATAATTCTTATTAGAATGAATAATTAAATCTAATAAAGGGATACCATTCTTACTGTTAAGGGCTTAAACTACTACTCTTAAAAAAAAAATTTTATTAAATATTTGTTAAATTTTATAGGAATAATAATCAACAAAAAATTTCATTATTTAATGATTTATTTTATTTCAATCCATGCATTTTTTTTGATAAAATTATCAATAGTTAATTAACTAAAGCCTCCCAAGAATATATGTATTTCTTTCTATAAATTAAATCATTTATTGGTTACTTTTTATCAGCCTATTACTTCAACATATTCCAAATTACTTCAATTGGATTGGACTGCTACCAATACAAATTTGAAAGCATACAAAACCAATTTATCCAACTGCTCCAATGATATTGAGGTAATTTTATGTTTGAATAATTCTTCTACATTTTTTTTTCTCGAACAGTTACCAACATTTTTGGGTCTTGTGAGAAAAAGTATCTAAGTATATAAGCTAATAGCTTTCATTAGCAAAGGATAGTAAATGTTAAGTAAAAAGTAGACTGATAGGTTTTCTATTTCAGTAAAATAGCCTTAACTTCTGAAGTTTGTTTGCCGAAAAGTTAGGCCACAAATCTTTAATTATTTTTGGAATTTTTTAAGAGAGGCAACATTCAATCCTAATTCAAATTCCTTGTGAAAAGATTAAAGTATGGTTTATGAATTCCACAAACCGCTTAAATTTGATTGATTCGCATATTACCTTAACCAATCTAGGTGATTTTGAGTAAATGAAATTATTATAAAAATGAGTTACTGATTGAGATTTATTTCAATCTATAATTTATTTAATTTTATGATAGTCCAGTCATTGCTGAAATGTAAGTTCTAGTGCAACCAGTATCGGTTATTTTCTAATAATATGACAATTATTCCAAGCCTTATGAATCAGGCATATATTTTTTTTATAAATCCTTCTTTAAATGTTTAAGTAAGTAATGCTGCTTGATTATAGAAAGTTTTATCTTCTACAAAATTTAAATTAAGTAATTGAGATTGGTTAGTGAATACAATATTTTTGGTTTCACCAAACCATCATTATTTTAAATAACTGAATTTCAACATGCTGAAGGGTTTTTCATTTAAGATATATATTAAATAGATTATCAATATAAATCAAAGAAAATTAAAGGACTTGAATACTTCAATGTATCAATCAAAAAGAATTAGAATATTCAAAGTTCTCTTGTAGAAGTTTAAAAGAAGAAAGCAATGACAGTCCTTAAGTAAATGGAGAAGGTGAAGACATAATTGGAGGGAGGAACAAAAAATAAACAAATATAATGGGAAAACTTTAAAAATTAAAAACTGATCTGAAAGAATTTTAATAACGTGGAATTTAGTAATATGCTGAAGATCTAAACTCCAGAGCTTTTTAAAACAACTTTGAACTTCAAGAGGAGTTTCTAAGTGATTTGATCATCATATATTATATAAAAACAAATTCCTCTTATTTTTGTATGTATAAACATCTTCCTATTTTATAAATACTTAGACTTATAAAAATATATGTTCCATAAAATATATGCTATTGTTCCTAATTTATTTCAATATTGAAAATCAAGTTCGTTATAAAATAAAAAAACATTTCATCACTTTAAAAAACTATTATCATATTATCACTATTATGAAAGAAAATCAATATAATCAAGTTGTAATAATTAAGTAAAATAATGTTCTTACTTCATAAAACAATAAATTTAGAATCATAAAGTTGTGATATAATTTGTGAATTTTAATTCATACATTTGATTGAGATTGATTTTTTATGATTAATATTTATAAAAGAAATCTTAATATCTCAACATTATTGAAAATGAATAAGAAATACAATTATATTTAATTAGATTTTGTATTTTTCACATTCATAAGAGAAATCTTAATTTATAAACATTATATTGAAAATGAATAAGAAATACATCTTATTTAATTAGATTGTAAATTTTTCAAATTTCTAAAAATGGAATATTATATATTAAAATCAATTAATGTAGTTCAATCACTATTTAATAGAGGTATAGTATTGATGGGAAAAAACCTGGGAAATGGATTGATGTAGATGAAAATTACTCATCGTAATAAATACTATATACTAATGATCACGATCAATTTTATATGAAGGGGAATACAAGAACGGAAGTAAATTTGGGACTTGGGTATCATAAAATATGCTTTTGAAGAAGTAGCTTCAATAATCTATTTTTTATGATTATGATAGCGGCGGTGGTATATACAATGATTATGGAATGAAAAATGGAAAATGGCGTGGTATATTTGATAATTACAGAGAGCATAATGAATTATTAATAGATTTAGAAACTGTTAAGTCATTTAAATAGGTAACTTTATGAATGGAAAAAGGTATGGGAATTGGAATTTCATTTGTAAATACTATAATTCTTTAAATTTTCATAAAATGTAAATTTTTATAAAATAAAAATTAGAGGTGGAGGGGAATAAGAGATGGAGTATGGTTGGAATTAAACGACAATTTTTCAGAGTATGATTTTTTATTATCTTAGAAACTGCCATAAAAATGGTTACAAACAAGGAAGATGGAAAGCATTATTCAAAGGTTGTCATGAATATACTTATAAAACTCTGTAAGTTGTTTTATTACATTAATTTAGAGGAGGAGGAGTTTATTAAGAGGACGGATTAAAAATGGAAAATGGACAGAAATACATGAAAGCTTTTCAAAAAGTTAATATTTTTCTATTATATATTATATTAGTTCTTGGTAGTAAATAAGTCATGTTGAATATTTAAATGGTATCAAATAGGAAAAAGTATGAAGTTAAATTTATAATAATCATAATAATTTCTTTAAATTTAACTTTCAATTGCCAATCAATTTTTAGAAATGAATTAAAAAAATGAAATTCCATAAATTATAGAATACAATTTCATTGTTCAGTATCTTCTGTTTGAGGTATTATGCTAGTTTTACTTGCCCTCAGCAATGGGGCATTTACAGAAGAATGTCTAGATGATAATTTGATTTCTTTTTAGAAAGTAGTTTAATTCCAACTTTCCGCTCCAAATTCTTTCTTAATTAGTTCAACAGTTTCGTCCATTGCTTCCTTTGGTCTTAGGGAATTGTGAGTTCCATCAAAAGTTATCAATTTTTTTTTCCCTCTAAAATTTTCTATTAACAAAGATGCATGTTTAGTCTATATCAATTCATCCTGTTTAGCTTGTAAAAAAATAATAGATAGATCGTTTGATAATGCTAACTATAATGTAAGAATACTTTAGACTATTTAAAGCAAGTTAAGATCATCCACATTAAAGTGGGCTTCTTTTTAGATTTTAGATTTGATGAAACACCAACAACAATTAAAGCAAAAATTAGGAATATGATATCTAGACTTAGCCAAATCCTAGCATAAAATCTAAAAATTTGAAAAAGGACTGTCACAAACTATTACTCGAAAGTTTGGGTTTTCACTGGCTGACAAAATAGCAGTAGCTGAACCCATTGATCTACCCCACAATCCTATTGATGTTATATTACTCATTTTTAATAGATGACATATATACTTTTTCTACTCTCAAATAATTATAGAGACACTAAACATCTTAAGATTCCCAATAACCCAAAGATATATACTCTCCTTATGATTGTCCCGATCCTTAATTATTACAGCAAATTAGTACCTGATAAATCAATTCCACATACTGAAATATAAGATGGAATCACATAATCTATTATTGAATGCGATTCTATTCTACAACCTGAATTTCCATGTAGATATATGATGCAGGGATGTGGCTTATCCTTTACTTTTATTGGTTCAAATAAACTATTATTTTTCTTAACAATACCTGCATTGCAATATGAGATTACGATTATTTTTTATTGAAAAATCGGTTCTTTTAACGATAATACCTTGTACCATAAAAGCTTCACTTCCAAGGCCGCTTAGTTTGTATGAATACCTTGGAGGTCTAATTATAGGTTTCCATAATTTTTCATTCCATTTATATTCTTCCTATTTCATTAATTAATGATTTAACAATTAGAAGAATTATTTACAGAAACCCTTTAATATAACAAACTGTATTGGATTTTAGGATAGTACAACAATACTTATGTGATTGGTCCCAATGGGGTTGGAAAAACAACAGCAGTTCATTTTTGTTTAGATAAACTTAAAATACCATATATAAGGATTAATATGATGTAGGTATAAATTATTAGTATTATTTAGTGTTTGACAAAGTAAAGTTTATTATAAGCAATCGTTAATGAGATTAGCGAACTATGGAATCAGGAATTAACAAAAATAAGCAAGTTTAGCGAACTAATTATTAGATTAAACACAATTATATCAACATCTAATTAGAAGAATAGACGGTATAATTATCATTCATTATTAGAGCATATATAATTATTGATGCTCCATAATATCCTTAAATTGAGTTTATTTATTTGTAAAAATTATTCGCGCTTTCAGAAATAAAATCTAAAACTTGCTCAGTTAATTTTATTTTTATTTGTAATCAATTACCCAACATAATTGATATGCCTTTGGGAATTACGATGATATTTCAATCATTTGATGAAGAATTATAAATAAGAATCATTTATGCTCACATAATGTATAGAGCAATTATGCTTGAGGATTATTAAGTATAAAAATAAGACAATGTGCGAGCATTTGCTGGATAAGTAGCCAAAGATGTCTTCGTTACATTTTCAATAATCACAACTAATTTAAATAATTTAATTTAAATTGCTGTAGGTTTGTTTGAGAATTTTATTTATTAATGTGTAAATTTAACTAATGAAGAATAACTATAGATTAGATAATAATACTTGATTGCAAGAAAATTATTGTTTGAAAACCCATTCTTATAAATAAATTCGAAAGAATTTAAGGATCTAATTGAAGAAGTTGAATCTTAAAAAAACCCTCAGTAAAAATCCATTTAAGAATCCAAAAAATAATAAGCAGAAACTAAAACAGCTATTTAAACATTAGAAATTTAAAAAATTAAATTGCCTAAACTGCCCTCTTTGATCCTATTATCATCTTATTATGCCTCTAGAAATCCTGAAAAAACGGATGGAACTATTTTCAGAGATCTTAAGAAAAATAAAAGATAATCCAAAGTTAAAGAGCAATTGAAAGTCAAGTAAAAAGTTTCTCTTTATCGATTAATTGCAATTACATAATCCTTAATGTCAATTAACGAAAACAAGGAATTTTCAATTGAGAAACAACAATTCAATTAATCAGTATAATTCTATCAATAAATATAATTGCTAAGTGACCAAGGGTTTATTAAAGTTCACCATAAAAAAGACGATATTTTAAATAAAATAAAATTAGAATGTTAAATAACAGAAAAATAAGCTTTCGATCTTGCCGCTGAACTTAACATTTAATTCAATGAATTTTTATCTGCATTTTGATTGATCATGTTATAAAAATTATTTAAATAAATAATAAAAAAATATTTCACTTTTTTATATCCAGGGTTAGAAACGATATATAAGCTTAATTGTAATTTATTATCTATATCATTTGAATTTTGATTCTGTTTACTTTAACTTACATTAAACAAGAGTCTTTTTAGAACCTGAAACTATAATTATCGGAGCCAATATGAAAGTCAAAGTATATTTATAATGAATATTTTTGAAAATTTTAGGAAAAACAGAGTCTGATTATATTTTAGTACTAAAAGAAAAGAAATAGGTAAAAAGATTATATAGTATTAAAAAAAACAGAAAAGATAGGAGGGACTATTTGGCTATAATCATATATGGAACTATTGTATTTAATTGAAACCCAGCAAGAAAATAATTCCCTATATTCTTAGAAATTAAAAGGATTGATATATTATAAATTTTTTTATTTAATGCATATTTCCAAAGAGAAACGAATGAGGGTGTTGCTGGCAATTTTGTCTGTAGTTGATTTTGGATATTCATTTGATACTATTACATACATTACTTTGATACTTTCTTGCATACTTGTTTTGTTTAGCATTGGTACTTATATTATACAACATTAGTCAGCATGTTATTTGCGAAAAACAAATTGTTATCACAAATTTTAATTACTATGTATTACGGAAAAGAATTAATATTATATGGTCCATCTCCTACTTGGCCAGTTTTATATCTTTATAAACTGATTGGGTCTAAAAACTACATTTTTTTACTATTGTTTTCCAATCAAATAGTATTCAATTAACTCGATTAATTATGGAATTATAGTATAAAAAGAAATGATCATCACAGCATATAGTTAATCCTGATACTGTTATTAGAGTGTTATACCTTATATATCAAATAGAAATCTTATTATTTATGTAAAAACTTGTTGGTGAAGTAGTTCAAGTAGGAATGTTTGTTTTAAATATTTGATTTTAATCAAAGAATTATCTCTGAAAATATTCATTAACTACCAATAGCAAATAGACTTTAAACAGAAAATACACTAATAGGAAGTCCAAGAGGGGATAAAATAAATTTAATTCAAGATGATAAGGACATTCACTATAAATTATTTTTGAATAATGAACAGGTTGTATCATTAGACTAGTAACCAGTTTAATAATAATTAATTTTTAGATCAACTAAAGAATTACTATAATTTTTATCTAAAAATAACCATTATTTTATAATAGCTATTTTTAATGATCCACTTTTAAACGTCAAATTTTAATATCAAGTAAAGTATTTTTCGATAAATAATTAATAAATTCTTGCCTTTCAAAAAATAGAAAATGGCATATTTGTGAGATAAAATCATAAAATATTAAAATATAAATAGAATCTAATAAATATTTTTAATCATAAACTGAAAACTCCTCTTAATAGTGCAATTGGACATCTTATTACAGCTGAAGAGGATGATTCGGTCATTGAGGAAATTAAAAAGATGTACTTGTAACCGGCCTTATTGAATTGCAGATTACAACTATATTTAGTTTAAGATATTTTGGATTATTTATCAATTGAAATCGAATAATTACCTTTGATGAATAATAAAACAAATTTAAGAACATTGTTATTAGAAGTTTACAATCTAATTGAATATTAATGTAAATTGAAAAATATTGATATCCTATTTAAAATTAACAATGAAAACTTTAAAAAAATAGACACAAAATCCTTATTTATTTATACAGATTCAAACAAATTAATCAGGGTGTTGTTAAATATATTAAATAATTCTTATCGATATGCAGAAGTAGGAGGTTGTATCATCTTAGAAATTAGATTAGATTAAATGAATAAGACAACTTATTTTTCAATAACAGACAATGGCTAAGGAATGGATGAAGAATAAATAAAAAAATTAAATTTTTAATTGTAATCTTTCGAAAGCATTTCTTTTAACAAATTAAACAAATAATAAGATAGTAATCGTAGTATAAAACTGGGGTTAAGTCTCTTTCTGGCTAATAAGCTAATTAAATTATTAAGTGGAGATAACAGTTGTTTATAATTAAGAATAGCAAATAATCAATTATTGTTCACATTTTCAATTAATGATATTCAAGAAATCTAATCAGCAAGCTCACTTGGAAAATCTAAATAAAATAGTTTTATAAAATAAAAATCATTAAGAGGCCTAAATAATAAATTTAACAGCTAATCCAGTCCTAGAATTTCAAAATTTAAATAAAATTCATAAAGATAAATAGACTTTAAGAATTATAATTCTTTAAGATTGATTTATTAGTGTGATATTCAGAATGAACCCTCACCTTAAGTTCCACATAAGATTACAACACATCAAAACAATCAAAAGTTTCATCATCAAAGATAACGAATTAAAACAACAAGAAAATCTTTAGAATCTTAGTTTAGATCTAGAGCAACTAGTTTTAGAACACATAAAATTGAATAAATTATTCGATCAGAATAAATTTAGTAATAATAATAATAAGTTATTTAACATGATGAATATATTTTAATAGTTGATGATGAACCTTTCAATCATGAAACTTTGTGTATGATGTTGAAAAATATGGGGTTTACCAATTTTTTAAAAGCTTTTAATGGTCAATAATGTTTGGATGTTGTATAATAGAACCATCATAAAATATATATGATTATGATGGATATTGATATGCCAATAATGAATGGAATAGATACGACAAAATAATTAGAAAGATTGATCAGTAATAGTACAATATGTTACATTCCTATTATTGGATGTACTGCACATGAAGACTATGAATCTCATTTATAATGTTTTGATGCTGGGATGATACATGTAGTTGTTAAACCTGTGTTTATTAAATCGATCTAAGAAGCACTCAACAAAATATCTGAATTGAAATCAGATGAAACAATTAAAGAAGACACATCTTCTTACGTGATAAATAAAATACAATCTTAATCTTCGAACTTTCAATGACTATTATATTATTCTTCAATTACTAGAAAATGTATTTTTTTGTTAAATTTATAACTATATAAATTTTTATTTTATGATTAATTACTTTAGGAGGTTGTTGATTAGCAGAACTTTGACATTAATTTGATAATTATTATTATTTCAAAAGATTTCTTCTTAAAATATATCAATAAAAAATAATAGTTTTGTGGATACATTGTTGGAATTATATCCAATTAGGCAGAATTATAAAAAATTATAGAAATGTTCAAATAAAATCTTGTAGACAATTCTAATTAAAAGACATAATTTAATTTTTTGAATAGAATAATAATTTTAACTTTTAAAAGAAGGATTTTTATTAAAACAGTTTTCCAAATACTTTTACAATAATTTTGATCGGAATAATTTATTTCAAACATTAGTATAAATTCCATTACAGATTACAATTCATCACGATTCTAAATTTTATTTAAGGTAATATAATTTATAGGAAAATCATTGGACAATTTGGATTAATTATTGCTTTAATGAATAATCAAAATTAAATTTATTTTATTAATAATAATAATTATGAATAACTACTTTGAGATTATTAAGCAGTTGTAATAAGCTGTCGAATTTAGTACAAGAGAAAATGTAGAATTGAGAGAATAGATCATAATGATGGAGACTTAGCAAGATCCTCAAAAAAACCTAAAAATTTGTAATTTGCAAAAGAAGATCATAGAGTAATAACAATAAATATCTGAATTAAAGTAACAAATGCTAAAACGAAATTAAATGAAGAAAGAACACTAATGTAATGATGATAATAAATTCTTAATTGAATAAATGAAGAAAAAATTCGAAGAAAAGAGCAATGAACTTAAGAGATATTAAGATATGTATGAAAAGGCTCGGTTAAATTTAAAGCAAACTCAATAACAAGTACTAGAATTAAAAGAACAAATCAACTAATAATGTTAATTGAATGCTTAAGAATAATAAAAAGTAACAAAAATGGAATTATTAATGAAAAATGCTAGATAATAAGAATTTGTATCATTATAATATATATTAGAAATAGAGAGATTAAACTCTTAAATATAATAATTAGAATAAGAATAAAAAAGCTTATCTAGAATAAGCCATTGAAATGATTATTATTGTATTAAATTATTCATAAAACAAACATTATTACAAAGGAATGACAGAAAGCAATAATTCTTTATTTTCATTTGATGAGATAATATATTTATTATTAATATATTAAAATATGATTACTCTAATATGGTTAGTGCATTTTGATAAAAGATGGCTTTGTTTTCATTGTCCAATAATATAGTCAATGTGGTATTCTAAATTTACACTGTAGGTTATTTGGAACTATTTATTGCTTTTTATTAGCTGGAATTGATTTGTACTCAATATATTTTCATTAGTTATGCCCTTATTCATTTAAGCATTTGCTAATAAATATATTTCTCTTATTAATTTTGGCAGGGCTATCATACATAATTTACGCTAAAACTTTATTTAAAAAAGTAATAAAAAACGTATTATATAATTTTAGGAAAAAATGCAAAAATATCAAAACCGACTCGATATTGCAATTAGACTAAATCACTGGACAATTAGAAAAGTGTTGCTTTCCAAGATTGGATTTGCTGTATTCTTTATAGGGTTTATATAAAATATATGGGCCCTAGAAACCTTTCTAAATTTGTAGGAATGCAAAAGTTGTGAAGGTATGTAGCCAAATATACTAAAATTAAATTTATTGTTAACTATCATAGCATCCATACCAATAGCATTTATGATAATCTGTTATGTTTTAATAAAATCTGTTGCTTTAATAACTAGCTCTTTATTTCCACATACATACATAAAAATAAAGAAACTATTTTGTAATTGAAAATGATATATAAGTAATATTAATTGAAAATATTTAAAGTAAAGTTTATTTGATATTTCTAAGATATTTGATTAATGATTTCTTGTTTTAAATGATTGAGTCGAGTGATTGCATATCTTTTAAGATAGTTGCATCTAATTTTCTTTTATTTGATTTATTTTTAATATTAATTCTAATGATATTACACGTTCATTAAATCTTTAGATTGTAATTTTGATGTAAATTAACTGAGAAATTGAAAATTGATGCATATCTAATGTTTGATCTCTATTTCTCTGATTATAAAATAATAATATTTTAATTATACCGTTTTTATGAAATAAGTCATCTTCATAGTCATATTAATTACATTGACATTCCAAACACAATTGTAGTCTAAAGTAGATTAAGTTATGGCATAAATGGATAAAATGGCATCAAAAAATGATTTTTCTAAGCAATTAGCAGGCCTTATTGAACTCAAAATGTTATAAAGTTCTTATGTAGAGGAAGTGCTCAAAGAAATAAAAGGTATACGAGACTAATTAATCGCTGATTAAAGTGTAGAGGATTAAGAATATGCAAAAGTAATTAAATCTAGTAATATTATTACCTCAGAAAATTGGACAATTGAATGTGGAAATTGAAATCCTAGAAATATAAACAGAGAAACTTGCAAAAGAATTACAAAGACTCAATCAATAAATAGGAGAATTAAATGAAGATATTAGCAAACTCATTGGTACCTAATAATCATAAGAAAAACAATTAAGCACCTTAAACTCAAAGGAAGAAGAAATTAGAAATTAATACAAAAGTGAGATAGAAACTCTTAAAGTAATCGCATTTTCCTATATCTAGCAAAGAACTACAAATAATATCAAATCAATTGATGGATTAAATGAAATGATTGCGAAATTACAATAAGCAGTGTTCGCAGAGTAAAATAAAACAACAGTGCTTTCTTAATAACACACAAAACAATATGTTGATGAAATTAGAAACTAATTAGGACCAAATCATCCCTTGACTGCTTTAGTGGCTGTAACTACAAAGTAATATTAGTTATGAGTTAGGTTTGATGTACCCACAGTTACTAGAATTATTCAGTTACTTGAAAATATTAGAGACCAGAGAATCTAGGAAAATGCAGGAGCAGATGAATATGAAACTAAAGTTACTTAATCTTACGAAGTTACCCTCAAAGAAGTTACAGAAGTAAGAGAAAGGTTGAGTGCCGATTATTCAAGAACTTTAGTCACTTTGAAAAGAAGAAACGAAGAAAATGTATTATTCCTTTTCAGTTTAAGGCTCTCTCTACAAAGTCTAGAAACTAAATTTAAAAGGACTTACCTATCGCTTAGGATTTACTTTAATAATATAGAAATGAAAGAGAAATCGTTTAATCCAATTATAATCTTAGATCAGCCAAAAGAGAAAATGAAGTTAAAATCATAACTCAAGCCTATACTATAGTAGCTTAATAAGTTAGAGTATGAATAATATCAAAGAAATCAATATTTTTTAATAATTTATATATAGGTTCAATAAAATTATTCATAATGAATCAATCTATGGCTAAATTGTATTCTCACGATGGAACGGGAAGGGATTCCTATATCTTTTATGATAACGGAGGTTTCTATCCTGGCAATCTCAAATTATAAAAATCCCCATCACTTTAGAACTGTAATGTTATTCTAAAGTATAAGGGGCCTATGGTACATGCTCTCCTTAGAAATCTCATTTCAAACTTGAAAAACGACAGTTTTATATAAGTGATGGAACAGGGAGAGATACATATGTGATTCGAAACATAAAGGATAAAGCATATTTCTCTCCAGATTTTTCATTTCAATTAAGAAAATATGATTCTCAAGTCTTGAGTCCTCAATATCCCTACAAATTACCTCCTTTAAGGTAGGCATAATTATCTATTAAATCTGATAAGCAAAAATCATTAATATAGAGATTAGCAAAACCGAAACTTAGAACTCAAAATGATTGAATATGTATTATGTAAAAACAAATTTATTATATCAAAATATTGTCATATTATTCTTTGATGGAAGATAACAAGATTTACTTCACACCTGAATCAGCCATTATTTTACAAGAATTAAAACAAAAAAAATTATTGAAACCAAGATTATTATCTTAAGATAATCCAAAAATCAATTTAAAGACTATAAAAATACCTTAGAGAAGCAGATAAATTTCTTTAACGAAAGAATTAGATTATTATGTGAAGCAGTCAATGAAAGAAAAAATGAAAGAGAAACAAAAACAGTTAAATGAAGAACTTGAATGCTTTAAATATTAGTATAAGGATATCTTGCAAGATAATCCTTATGTAAACAATAAACTCAAAAAAAATTTTTTTAATTTGAAATTTTCAGATGAATAGAGAGAAACATATGCAATTCGGTTGGGAAGACTGGCAGTGAAACATAATCAACAAATCAAATAGATGTAACGAATAGTTGATGACATACATGTATAATAAAGTAATTGTAATTTAGAAAAAATATGAGGCTCAGAATGAACAGTTAAATTCATATATGCCGAAAACAATTGAGACAATGGTTACGGAAAGTGATTCCTATATCAAAACTAGTAAAATCTACAATCCAGATTTATTGGCAAAATACTAATAACTAAAATACTAGCATTTTTGGAATAAATTGCCTAAAACTTTAGCAAATTGATAACTATTCTATGTATTTATCAATATTATAAGTTATATATAATGGTTAATCAGAAATGGGTATATTTAATGATATCATCATCCTAATAAGAGGGGTGCATGAAGGTTCATCATAAAAGTACCATAATTTAGTTTATAAATAATTTTAATTATTAATTATCAATCAAAATAAAATAATTTATATAGTGCAGAAATGCAATTTTGATTCGCACTAATTACAAAAACCATATTTAATTAAATCAAATGAAAATGATAATTTAATATTCTTCTAATCTAACCTTAGATAAGTCAAAACAGGAAATTATGAATAATTGATAGTTATGAAAATTAAAATTGGCTAAGTACTTTCACCCGATACTTCAAACCCTAATATTGAAGAGATATTTTAGTATACTTGTTCTAAACAGTTAAAATGGCTATCTTATCAATTCAATCTAAATTATTACAATAGCAAATTCAATGCATTCTTAATTCAAAATTATTCCATAATGAGACTTTTATGTAGGCTTTAAGGTCATTCGTAATTTCCACTATTGTTTTGGAAGTTCCAAAATTTATATTCTAATTCTTAAATTTAATTGATTGTAAATCTTAATAACGAAGTTTAGGATATCTGCATATTTATAATTGGCTCAAAAATTATGATTTATAAGTATAAACAATAATACACAAATAAGTAGTTGTAATGAAAATTGGTTGATTACCGATTTTATATGTCTTATTTATATTTTAACATTTAAGTTCTTTCATAATAATTATATAAATGGATAAAGTGAAGAAAACTTCTTGGGAGAAAATTACTAGTCTTCTTTAGTAGTTATATATTGTCGAATAGCAAATTCAAGAGTAGCATGTTACAATACAAAGCAGTACTTATACACTAGTTTCATTATTCCATGCTCAATTTCGTCAATTGATTGATAGAGAGGATATTATTGATTCAATATAACAATTAGATTTCGAGACCCCTTAATTATTTAATATGGGCAGGAACTTGTAATCAGAGTTTGCATTTACTTCAAATCATAAGTATATTTTAAAGGTTGTGTCTGGAACTCAATACAGGTATTTTAAAAATACTTTCCACTAATATTACTTCAAAATAATTGCTAATAAGAGCTGTTTGTTAGCGAGAACCTTTGGAATATATAAATTAGAAGATCGAGAAAATAAATCATATTTCGTCTTGATGGAAAATTTATTTTATGAACATAAATTGTAAAACAGTTAAATAATCAGCATATATGATTTGAAAGGAGCATAAAGCAGTAGAATTACTAAAAACTTTGATGAGCAGTTTCACCAACAACAAGAATTATTGAAAACTAAAGCTCAAACGATTCCTTTACTAAAAGGAAAAGATGAAGATTTTAAAAAAATTAGATTCTTTTAAGATTTCTCAAATGAGAAGAAATTAGATTTAATGAATTAAATAAAATAAGAAAGTGATATTCTCGCTGAAGCCAATACAATGGATTATTCTTTAATGATTATTACTGGACATATCAATCAATGCCAACAAGGGAATAGACTAATTAAGTTAAGTAATAATATTGGTACCATAATTGGAATTATTGATTATTATTAAGAATATAATAGTACTAAAAAGCTAGAAAATAAATTTAAGACCTGGTTTGGCATGCATAAACCAGATTAATAGATTAGTTGTGTAGATAGTGATACATATAGAAAAAGATTTTAGATTTATTTTTAGCAATTTCTATAAGAATGAATGAATGATAAATTTTATAGATTTGATTCCATTATAAATACCTTCTGTGTTAATTTAAAATAATATTCTAATTAATGATTCATACATAAGAATATCCATGACTAAAATTATTTTATTTGGGTAGTTACGAAAAATGTTACTTTTTAAAAAAGATAAAAATGATGTTTGATGAGAAGATTATTTAATATTGTCTTCAGAGAATAGATTTAGAAATGAATAAAAATAATTATTGTTATTTTTTTTTTCTTTTAGAATATAATTCAAATTTTTGTTAGGATGAAGAAGATTCGGTAGAATAATAATCTCCTTAAGGTATTTTTTATACTTTATAGGAGTTTTACAAAATCCTCTTCAAAATTTAAACTATTTTGAGTTTAATTTAAAATTCAAAATAATGAATATGAAATATTATTATTTATTTCAAATAACAATATATATGTCTTACAAAAGTCCTGTTTTACAAAATTCTCTTTAATTGTTGTCTGAGATCAGAAGTTCATTAGCTAATTCAGGGAAGTAGTAATCAAATCCAAAAGGAGTAAAAAAATAAGTAAAATTAAGTCGTAATATTTGAGTTATGTATAATTTGAATATGATTAATAAGAGGAACCCAGAATTTATCCACCCGAATGTATGAGAGTTGAGAAACAAGTTGGATAAGTGAGCTCTGCAAATTTAACTGAAGAAATACTTGATTATTTGAGGATTAATTAGAAGTCATTTGAAAAGTAGTGTAGTGAAATAGAAAAACAAATAAAAGAATTAGTTGAAAACATTGAAACTGAAGATGAAGTGGAACCTATTCAGTCTCGTAAGCCTTAAAAGAGGAATTGATTATTATAACATTGCAATTATTTAATTTTACAAATATAAACAGGAACTGATTAATATATTAAGTACAACATTATTATATGGATATTGAGGAAAAAGAGAGTAAATTGTCACCTAATCGTCAACTTTTGATAACTGAAATATTACAGACTCATTAATTTGATTCAATTTATAAAATGTGTAAAAAGATAGACAATGGTATGTTCAAGAATTGCAGTTATCCATTAATGAATATTAAAAACTAGATTGAGAAAGTTTAGAAGTATAATTATAGTTTTGAGGATGTTAAATAATAAAAGATGTTAAGTATGATGAATGAATAAATGAAAATTGAGAACATGAGATAAGAGATGATAGATTTGATTTTAGAGAGAAAACCATTCCCAAAAATATTTTAATTTATAGAATTGAATGATGCGAATCAGTTTGAAATCATTTATTGTGATAAATTACAAAAACATCTCATTGAGGCTCAATTTCACCATTAGTACATAACCATTGCTAGTTTTTAATTTGATTGTAAGCAAGAAATCAATTCAAATTGCAATGACCATTAGATCATCCTTGAATCAATTGAATTACTAACATAAAACATGCACTAAATTATTAATCTTTAAATTATGAAGATAAATGACTATTATTGGATTCGGAATTTGTATCAAAAACAATTACAGAAATAATTTAAAGGATTTAATGAAGTAATTCATTAAAAGATGGAATATTTGTATGAATCAATACAAAACCACCTAATAGTATTGTAAAATAATAGAAATAGATAAATCAAGCAACCATTTATCATCTATGAATTAATGAAGATCTTACTCTATTTTGCTAACCAAAAAGAAATTATTATTCCTGATCTATTATTAAATTTAGGATACAAATCAAAATATGATTAGTTCAATATCAAATTTAGATAAATTATTTGCCATTTTAATCTTCCTTTTTTAAACTAATTAATCAAATTACCAGAGCTGCAAGACGTAGTGCATATTCTGAATATTCCTGATAACATGCAAAGTGAGTAATAGCATAAAGAGTATTAAGAATGCTACATTCAAGAAATCTATACCTTTTTTAGATTTATAAAGTCTATAACTATAGATGAAGTTATTCTCACTTAATTGCAAATACTTTTTAAGAAATTAAATGAGTTTAGAGATAAATTAACCATTATTTACGATAATCAACAATTCAAAGGATTAATTTCGAGACTAAAATTACTTTATAAATCAGAGATCAATAGTTAATAATACCCTGATACCGAGAAATTTAATAAAACTTAAATTAATTACATTCTCATAGTTTAATTGTTATCAGAAATTAAAGTTTTTACTTTAACCTCTTAAAATAATAAAATAGATGATGAATAAATAATGAAGATGTAAAATTATAATGATGGGAGTGATTTAGATGATGAAAATGAAGAATTTTAGATATTTTAATAAGAAATCAAGAAAACTGTTTGGAGCCCCAAAGATTATAAATATGTTAATATTTTTAAGTACTTTATCAATTAGATGAATTTATACAAAGTACCTTTTCCAACTTTACTCACTATTGTACAATTCTATAATTATAAATTTACTATTAATTGCATTAAGACTACTTAAGAGGAATTACACAAAAACTAATAATACATTCGATTTCTATATAGATTATTGGCTAAAAATCTTAAAAAGGATTAACAGATACCATTAAGAGAATAACTTGTAAATTTATAAGTAGACAAGATAATTAAATGGCCTAAATGTATACAATAGCAAACTATTTTGATTAATGAAAATAAGCATCATTTGAAGGATGAATTAAAAGAAATTATTAAAAACAAGAACTTTTAAAAATTTTATACAGAATTAATTGAAGCTAATGAAACTAATGAATTGAGAAAAGAAATCCTAGAGAATTTAAATGATATTTTTAATTATATCCAATCTAAATGATTTAAGCAATTATTATTCTATTAAGTATATTTATTTTTAATTTATATATTTATATATTTATATATTTATATAGTTATATATTTAACAATGTCCAATCAAATTAGCTAGATTTTTGCTGATATTTAATGCGATGATCATAAAAAAGTGATTGAATTTATAAATTTAACCGCCCCATTACTACCAAACTAGAAAAGGCTTTTATGTGAAAGATGCGATTTTAATAAAAATTGTGAGAATGTGTATTATAGAAATGAGGTTGTTTAATTTTTAGAAAAAATTGAGAAATAGGAAAAGGACATATTAGTTTAATTAGAGAAAGCTTGCAAAATTGTAAAAGATTTAAAGGAGCATCTTAATTCAATTGAAAAATCTTTAGAAAGCCATAAATAAAATATATCATAAAAATTGTGCATCAAGCCAAATAATTCTTTAGGTATATTTCTATAGAAGAAGAATGCATTGACTAAAGATATAATCAAAGAAATGAGTGATGAACTTTGTTAATTAATAATGTAGAAGTAATCAAATATCTAATGGAACACAGAAAATAGCCCCTAGATCAACATTGACTTATTAAAAAGGATTGAAGAAAGTGATTAAAGGAAATTGGAAAAATTGATTAATGATTTCAAATAAGTTTTGAATTTAGGTGATAATTAGATAATGTAATAATAATAATAATAACAATAATAGCAATAATAATAATCTTAATCTATCCTAACATAAAGCTAATCATTTATCAGTACCCCTATTAATTATGTAAATACTTGTACAAAGAATATTGGGGAATAAGTGATACATGATATAAAGTTTAATAATAATGGCAATATTGTTGTAATCTCAAGTAATTTAATTCCTGATACAAATTGTTATGCATAAGTTTATACAATCTAGAATAGCAATTTTACTCTTACTTAAAATTTAGATCTTCATGGAGGAGATGTGAAATCTATTTGTTTTATTTCATAATCTGAAAATTTCATCACAGCCTGCTAAGATAAGAAAATTAGATTTTGGAAAAAAATAGAATAAAAAAAATGGGGTTTAGATTAAGAACTAATAGAATTGAAATCACCTGCTAATTGTATTCAATTGAATCATTCTGAGAATTATCTGGCCTCAGGAGGTGATTATTTATGTTTTTGGAAAAATGCAAATGGAAAATGGACTTATGACACTGAATCTTCTAATTCAGAGCAAAAGATATTATCTTTGAGTTTTAATTTAGAGGACAATTAATTAGCAGTAGGTTATCATGATTATTCGTTCAAGATTTTTGAATATTATAACCAAAAATGGATTTAGAGATATTAAATGTAAAATTAGGCAATTTTAATAAACTACTTTAATAATAAAGATCTAATTGAAGTATAGAAAAATGGGTATTTTAATTATTATTTATATGATAATGACATTTCTGATTATTAGATCGTTGGAACATATTTTAGTTAACAAAATTATAATTATACTGCAGGGTTTTGTTAGTAGAAAGCATTATTAGCATTGTCTCCAAATTAATAGGGATTAACAAATCTGCATATGATAAAAGAGAATAGAATTTCAGGACCTTTATAGAAAATTCCTTTAAGAGGGGATAAATTGTTTTTTTCAAAGGATGGGAATTACCTTGCAATTATATCAAATAAATAGCTATTGATTTATTAAGATGAACAAGAAAGATATTGATTATTAATATTTAATATTATATAATAAAGAATTCACAAACATAAGTCTAAATGGAATAGAATAAAATGTATTATATTCTTATATAGATTTAAGAGATGAATTTTAATATTATAACAAAAATATTAAAAATATGCAAAATTTGATACTAAGTGGAGAACTGAAATGTAAAGAACATTAGAAAAATAAAGACAATTTAAATCTGGCACAACATGTATAAGATGATAGACAACTTAGATGTGATTAATGTAATTTTAATGGTGTGTGTTAAATCAAATTATTGGATTTGGAAAAATTTTTACTTGAATTCAACAATTAGATCAAAATTTTTACTTAAGAAATCGAAAACACAAAAAAGATGATAATGGCTGCAAAAAAGATAACAGAATTAGTATCAAGAATAGAAAACGAGTTAATAGAAATTGAGGGGAGATTTTTAAAAAAAAATTAAATGAATTAAAACATTTAGGCATATTTAAATTACAATTTGGATGAGAGTAGATTAAAAGAATTATTACAATACCTAAAAAATTGTCAAATAGATGATTATAAGGTTAAGTCAAACAAAAGTCTACTAGAGAAAGAAGTATTATAATAAAGGAAGTGCATTTCAGCTCTTAATATTATTTAAATGGCATAGGAAGAGATTAATAATATTCTAGCTTATCAAGCAACTGTAAGTGATGAAAAAGAACAGACATTATCGCAGGTTTATTTATTTGATAAGTAAGTGGAATAAGATTTTGATCAGTAAATTTAAGTATACGATATGTAATTGAATAGTACTGGATTGCTTTTGGCTGTTGGTAGTAATAGAATAGAGTCTGATGACTGTTATGCTTAAATTTGGGAAATTGATGGAGGAGTCTTGAGGAAAAGTGATTCTCTCAAAGGTCATTAAAGAGAAGTGAAATCACTGTTTTTTAATAAGGAAGATACACTTTTTACAGGTAGTGTTGATTCAACTATAAAAATTTGGGTAAAATAACAGGATACTAATAAATGGGATTTAAAACAGGACTTAAACAATTTTCATTCTTTAGCAGTTAATTGTATTTAATTACATTACTTTGATCCTAAATTTTTTGCCTCAGGGAGCGAAGAATTGATAATCTGGAAGAAGGACTTATTATAACATGGCTAATGGGTGTAAGATTCTGTATTTAAAAATAATAAAAGAATTATATCTGCTCTAAGTTTTACTGACAAAGGGAATTTATTGATAGTAGGTAGTGATGATCGTTTAATATAGATACTGGAATTTGCACACAATTAATGGAAGTTAAAGCAAAAATTTGATCAAAGCAATAAAATCATGCAAATCATTCCAACTTATAATAGGGATTTTATTTCATTCTAAATAGATGGTGAATATACTTTCTGGAAATGTAAGAGTGAAAATAATGAACTATCATGGAATTAGAAAAAGAATAAGCATGGAGATTAAATTAAAAAATTGAGTGTTTCTTTGGCCAAAAAACTTTTGAGTGTAACATATGAGGATAAAAAAAATAAACTCTTTCAAATTGAGCTTGATGGCAAATTATCAGAGAAATAACTTGATAATAATGAAGGGGAAATCATGATAATGTCTTATATGTCACCCTCTAAAATAGTTTAGCAACCTATAAACACTATGTTAGGTAATCGAAGTTAAGATGGCATATTTCCAAATAATATTAAAGATCAATTCCCTTAATAAAATTAACAAATATTTGGGGGAAAATAATTCTAGCCGTAAGGAGCCTTCTATGCAAGCATGTAAGGCCGGTAATAAGGAGGAGCGTAAGGATAGTAGTAAAATTTTACTTTTTTCTATCAAAATTAACAAAATGTCAAAGGAACAGGGGGGTAAACGTAGACATTCCCTATTAATTTTAATCCTGTAAGAATATAAGAAATGACAATAGAATAATCAAAATTTGTGAAGGTTAGTAAAGGAAAATTGCAAGTTTACATGGAGAGAAGTAAAAAAATTTGAATAATAATATAACATAAAATCATAAAATAGAATCATTCATTTTAAATGTGATTAATTTTCTGACTTGTTTTTATGAACTTTAATTAGATGGGAGTTTACTAGAGCTTTACTTTAATCTACCTCTGCTGCTGGAACCAACTAGACTTTGTGATTCATCATTGTTAATATGTATTTCCTTTGAGAATAGACTTTAATGCAACTACTTCATTTTATTGACTAAAATTCTTAGTATTTCATAGTTTTCTATTAAAAATATCATATGTTGTCTGATATCAATAATTAATTGAATGAAGATGAGGAGAGTCAAGATTGTAATGATGACCCACCCAATCTCGATAAAGCTTTGATACCCCAAGAACTCACTTTTTTATCCAAAACCCATAAGCAATATCAACAATTCTGTTATCCACAATAAGACTTCTGTGGTTATTTGTTTGTAATATTCAGATTTATCAATCAATGGCTTGTTGTAAATAATATAGGTAAAGAATATAGCATTTAGAGATGACACGAATCCAATTTGGAATAAGGGGTAATCATACAAGAACACTAAGAAAAACATGAATAACAATTTCTTAGTGAAGAGCACAATATTGTAATACAGGCTATAAGGATTGCTGTCTAATTCAATACCTTCATAGAGTGCTCCATATTTTAATTGAACCTCCTATAATTCAAAGTAAAATCTTTTGTTGCTCATGACAATTACCCCAAAGTAAATGAAATACATTTCACAAAACATCAGGACAAGTGCAAAAAGGCTGCTTAATATTAAAATGGATGAGGAATTCGAGTAGCTCATTAATTGCAAGAATATTGCTAAATTCAAATCATAAGAAATGGTTAAGAAGGCTCTTAGAATTCCAGTTTTGTATTGTATTTTGAGATTGTAAAAGTATTTTTGCATAGTCCTTGTTAGTTTGAGACATAAAAATATTATAACATTTGGTTCTTCTTATTATTAATAATTAGCAATTAATTAATGAGAACTTACTTTCTTGGCATAATGATAGATGCAATAGAAGACAATATGAAAAAATATGTATGTTCCAATAGTTGTCATAATGACAATGAAAATGGCAATAACATTAGCAAAAAAGAGTGATGTATATCCTTCTTCTTTAAACTTAAGAGCAGGATCTTCAATCTCAATTGATGATGAAATCAAATCCTCAACACTGAAATTGGATTTCAGGAAATCAAATTCAGCAAAACCAAATAATTAGAAATAGGTTTCCAGATTATACGGATAGAGGACATTTAAATATTTTAGATAGGATAACACTTATAGAGTATCTAGGAGATTCCAGAAGATATCCAATCCTCCAAATAGAAATGCCAAGATGGCAAAACCAATAAGTAAATATAGAATATAAGAGTTAAATCTAACTAGATTCTGGGTATTTGATATTTCAGACTCACTCAAGGCTTGATATTACAAGAGTGTAAAAGATTGATTTCTGGATTAAAAGGAGAAGTGATCCTTAGAAATCACTTCAGTGTTTTTGCTGACAATAAAAATGATTTCTGGGGACTCTATGGATTCACTTAATTAAATGACAATCTGGATATCAACTTGATTGAATTCTTTAGTGTATTAGGTTCTATCAGTAATCTCTTTAGCAGTGAATTTGTAATTTGGAATTTTGGTAATCATGGAAATGGAATCCTTGAGAGGTGCTTAGGTGATATTAACAACTTGATCGAAAGTAAGTGTAATTGACCTAGAGGAGTCATAGATCTTATCAAAGGGCGATTCTGTTAGGATGATATCAACATAATCAATTTTGACACAAATTTAATCACAAATGTAACCATCTTCAACTGTACAAAATGAAGAACATCCATCGCCATTTTCTGTGTTGCCATCATCACATAATTCTTCAGTGGTTCTTATGCCATCTCCACAAAGACTGATACATTGATTATCAATTATTGTATACCCAGCAGAGGAGATACAAGTTATGCATTCTTTTTCAGGAGTGTAGAATTTGCACTCTACACATTGAGTTGGGGATGAGAGACATGTTACACAATGTGGAGAACATAATTGACAAGTAAAATCATTTTCCAGATAGTATCCATCTACACATTATTAACAATCTCCTAAGTGGCATTTCAAACATATGTCAGTGAGACATTTGTTATTAGATAAGTAACATTGATTGCAGCCATCTCTGGGTTCAAGATTACCATCATCGCATTGTTCATTCCATTAGATAATCTAATCTCCACATTTGGAATAGCAATAATGAGTGATTGGTGGGTATTTATAGGTACTACAATCTATGCATTCTAATTCATTATTATCATAGTAACCAACTTTGCAATCACATTCGAATACATTGAGGTAAACATTGGATCTGATTCTAGTTTTAGGACACTTAGTGCATTGATTGAATTCATTCGAGCCATTGCATTCAGAACAAGTGTAATAACACTGCGAACATATCAATTGGTTACTGTTTTGATAATACCCACTTTGACATATACATTTATCAACTGATAATATTCTAAATTGAACATCATAACAGGATGTACAAACATTATAATCTGAACAATATTCGCATAAATCATTGCATGCTGAACATATTAGATTTTATTAGTATTAGTAATGTCCTAATGAACAAACACAGTCATTCTCTTTCAATGTTCTCATTTATGATACATAACAACTAGTGCAATAAGTCTCAAAAAACTCACAAGTCTTACATCTATCCGAACATTTCATACAAGTATAAGAATCACTCACCTCAAAATACCCCTCCTTACATATACAATCCTAAAATTCCAATTCTCTGTTTTATAGGCTGTTACATTAGATACAGAATCTAGCCGAAAGTAAACAGTTCTTGCAAATATCATGACATCTTTCACATGAAAAATTCTTGGTTAAATAGAAACCCTCCTAACATTCACATGATTATATATTCATAACCTTCCCTTAATTAGTATCACAAGTCAAACATTATAAATTATTATTCTTTCTGTTAAATGTTCTCTAGTCATATTTCTATTCTGATGACCTAAAGTTTGCACAAGTCTCACATAAGGGATGACAATCAGATGAACAATCACCAGATGACAGTCCATTAATTTGACAAAAGCATTGCTTATCGTAATAAATATATGTGTCAAAACATTGATTACAAGATTACTAATCAACACACACTTTACAACCATTTAAACATTGAATGCAACTCCCTGCTTATTAATAATAACCTTAAGGACAATCATAATAAACTGTTAGAACAAATTTGTCTGACTTTATTTCCAAACAAGTACTACTGTCAGAACATCTTAAACAATTTATTGGACATAATGCCACTATTACAAAGAAATCATATAATCCACAATATGCAGTATTAAATGCATTACAATTAAACGAAACTAATAATTCGCGATCATCATGATTCACCTCGAAATCTGTCCCACTTATAGTTACTGTGTAATCTTGAACTAATTGATCTCCCTTCTCCTCTGTTGATGCTACAGCAACTGCATTTTACCAATTATATACTTTATATGTTTAATCAAAGTAGACAGTCATATTGTTGTCGTTATTACTGCCAAAATCAATTAGTACCAGTTTCACAAATAATCGAGCCTTGTAATGTGGGTTGCAAACTAAAGTAATCGAAAATTAATCTGTTTACCAAGCTTGATATCCACCAAACATAAATTTTGAATTATAGACTTGTAGAGTATTGGAAGTAAGCTTACTTTTAAATAAAAGAGCATTTTCATCAAAAAACACACTCCCATAATTAAAGAATAGCTTTACAACATATTCAGAGAACTTATATATTTCCAACAAATCTTTGCATTGGTTAACACCAAATAATGGTGCATATGATGGACAAGTCTTTATGCATTCATTATAATAAAAAACATCTGTGCAAATCGAAGGTTACCAAACAATTTTAGAAATCTTTAAATCACTAAAAGCCCATGCTTATTTAGAATCTGTTACATTAAAATGACCTTTAAATTGAATTGTATTCAAATGGTCAATTTGAAACAAATTGATTACTGCATTGTATTTATAGCATGATGAATAACCGACCACTGAGCAAGTTTGTTTATTATACAACTAACCATGATTAAACATAATATTGTTTAAATCTCCAAAATTTGTTACTTATCCTATTATATAACTATCTACGAGAATTTGAATATTACTGAACATCCCTATTGGTCCTAGCATGTATAATATGAATTCAACCGTAAAATCAGTGGGAGTACTAATTACTTGGTTAATAGGGTATTGAATATATTCGTTCTAAATAAAGGAACCTCCTGCATTATTTCCATCTATTGATATTTATCTACTTCTCTGAGTTGTATTGTAATCTGCAAAGAATTCATAGGAAAGACCAGTTGAATCTGAAAAAACCTGAGTTTTTGATGTGTAAGGCTAAAAATCCTTGATGTAAAAATGATATGTTCCCAATGGTGCTGGCTAACAAACTCCTCCTTATAAAACTAATTTGCAAACGCATTTATCTTTTTCCAGAACAAAATTAGTTTTGCAAGTTAAGCATATGGATGATGAAAGATCACAGTGATCACAGTATTCATCACATATTAAAATAAATGCTTTAAAATTTTATACATAATATGTTGCCGCATGTGTATATTCCATCTTAAAGTTGACAAGAGCAGAATCTGTAGCAGGTATTTGCTGAATATTAAAATTCACTTGATAATCGAATGTGGGGATGCATATTTTCTTGAGTGCAAATGAATCGATTGTAAAATCTTTTTCTTCTAAAACAATAGTGTTAGCAGAGAATTTAAAGGTACCAGATGATGTTATAAGATGCAGTTCAAAAACATAATTGATTTTGAGGTAACCTTAGTTGATGTTGATTTTAACATTTATGATTTTGGTATTTGATTAATAAAGGTTATTGCAATTTGATAATAAAAGAGCAGTGGGATGTGTAAGCAGAGTGGCTGGAGGATCAAGTGTTATAGAGGTTGGATCTATTTCTTTCCATTTCTGATGAGTGCCTAATTATATAATTTGATTAAATGCCTTCGAATTCGATGAGGGATGAAAATGCGATGTTGGTAATGGTAAGAAGAAGTATTTAGTTAAGCATTTGAAAGTGCAATTATTTATAAAAATATTGTTGTATATTGTGTGATTCGATTAATTTACGTAATATTAACTAATCGATCATGTCATTTAGTTAAAATGATGCAGAAATTGTAGATATGTCTAAAATATTATATAATAAATCAAAATAATCAATTATTAAATTACTTTTTACGATAGCAATTATTTAATTGTCGAAATTTTCTAAGTTCTTCTCCATCTTGAGTTTCCACTCTAACAAACTACAATTATTCATTAATTTTGTTGATTGTCTATTAGTCCAACCCAGTTTTCAATTGATCAATGGCTCCTGGGTACCTAAGGAATAAGTATAATACTCATACTGATTCTTGATACATAGAAGAGTCTGTTTGAATAAAGAATATTCATCCAATTTGACTACAGAACTTAGGAATTATTCTGTCTATTGTTAAGCTTGTGTTATTTCTTCCTCGTCGTTGAAATCGCTATCATCTTCATCGTCTAATTCATCATCCATGTAACTAAAATTAAACAAGAATACATTACTCATTTTATTTCTACTTTTAATCTTTTTCATACTTTTCTTAAGCTATTAAGTTGTTAACCATTATGGTAAGTAAATTTGGAGTTAACAGATTGGGTTATTTCATAATCAATGACGACATCGTAATTATAAACAATTTGATATCGTAACCTGGTGAATAATGGGTTTCTAAAATGCAACTGTAAACAGCAGTGAAGACTTCAGATAAGACTTCATATGTTTTTTCTGGTATTTTATAAAGAGAACTCAAAATGATGCCTGTAATTCTAGACTTTAAGTGTTCATTGATGTCTTTTTTTTATAGGATTTAGATAGTTTGGAAAAGGATTTAAGATAGTATATTGCTCTTTAGATCGTCATTAAGTTCTTGGATTCCTAATTGAATTAACAAGGCTCCTTCTCCTAATTCGATGTCACCATAGTTATCTTCATTTTACAGATTCTAGAAAGCCAATTAAAAGTAAATGGACTATTAGGATTCATTCAAAAAATAGTTCCTTCCGAAATGCATGTATTGATTGAGTGTTTCAAAGAGATTGCACAATCTTCCCTACTACTTTTTGATAATATTCTAGAAGTATGGTAATATTTGCATCTGCAATTCTGTGACAACTGATAATTTAGAGATACATCCAGAAATGAAGAGCACCAGATCTTCATCAAAATCTATTTTATCACAATTAGCCAACATTGAATACAATTATGCTAAATGCTACTCTAATTTGCCTAAGATCTCACTGAATTCATCTTGATCAACCAATGATCTAAGAACATTCCAACATCTATTTAAATAGATATGCCTTTATTGATCACCTGAATTGATTTTCTACTATTCCATAATAACTCTCTAAGTTAATACTTAGATCAAACCAACCAATAAGTTATCATTTTACAAGAACTAATTTGGATATCTTTTTAGTAAATTTGTTATTGTTTCAAAGTGTCTCTCGTATGTACTGTATTGAAGTCCATTACATAATTGTGGGAATAGTATTACTACCAAATCTTTGGTTTTACCTTTGAGATCATCATCCTCAAATATGTCCTTCAATGCATCAATTGATTAATAAAGTACCACAGGTTCTGTTGGTTATACAAAACCGATCATTATTTATAAATAGGCATTCATGTTTTAAGATTGAGTATCCTTTTTGAATAAGTTGTCACAATAATATCCAAAGAATAAGGAGAGTCTTAATTTGATTATTTATTCTTAAATAGACTAAAAGAATAATAAATTGTCAGTCAGAAGTTATTCCATTAATAACACTATATCAAATCTTTTCTGTATCAAATAACTCATGATTGTTAAAATTACTAAACTACTTTCAATTCTATCCACTGCAGTATATTCTTTGAATAATTTCCTATTATATACATTATATCTACTTATCTTGCAAAGCCTAAATAAAAGCCACTTGTTATTCCTTCAATTAAACTGGATTATTAGTTATTATATTGATGGAATCCTATGAAATTATAACTGCTAAATTTGCCAATAATGTAGTAGACCCATCAATATGATCACATATGGTTTCTAATAAAGATGCTGCTGCTGTCTTAGGAACATCTGATTCCTATTTGTCTACTGTATCCAATGCTAAATTAACAAATTCTTCAGGCTAATCTTTCATCTATTAATATTCTTTTTGGGAGGTTATCAAAAATGGATAGATTGCATCTGTTATTAGGGCTATTTTAGAATCAGAAAATATTTGGTATTAATCAGTCTAAGACCCTAGGTTTGCCAATAGCTTCAGGATGTAGGTCATGATGTTTGGTAAATATGGTTTGCTTTCATTATTATAGATTGCATATATACTTGTAAATTGAAGTAATGGATTCACTGTTTGTATAAGCCAATAAACTGTAGATTAGCAATTGTGTTATGGTAGTTAAGTAAGGACCAAAGGCTCCTTTTTTTACTTCATTTTTGTTGCGATTATTCAATAAGACTTGAAGAGTTAAGAAATAGATCTTGAAAACTTAACATTTGATTTCATTTAATTGATTGTCAAAGTGATCATTACCTGTATTGATAATGGAACAATTTTGAATCTGCTTACCTATTTATGGTGAATAGGATAATAATATTATGAGAACTCCAGAGAAGGAGTTTAATTGAAATAAAATGTTTTGTATTGGTTAAGTTTGTTCTTTTTGACTATTGTTTTTATCAAATACCTTCTCACATAAATCAGTGACTACTTGAGTGTATAATCTGATGGTTGTGATGAAATCATCTGATAATTCTTTTGGTTATTCTGTCAATTTGGTGATGACATAGCCGGTTTGATTGAAAAACTCACTTATCCATTCATAACCAGTTTAGACTATGGAACTATATGTTTGCAATTCCAAAGAGTCTTGTAATATCTTAAAAAATAAGATCCCTATTTAAATTTGCCATTGTTATTCTTGTCTTAAGAATTCCTTCATTTTATTTTCAATTTCTGTTTTTACACCTAGTTTTAGTTAGGTAAATACTTTTATCTTTTCTAACTATTAAACTCATGCACTTTATCAAGGATTATTTGCATTTCAAGGGAGTATACTGAGACATCAGAACTGCCAGGATGGAATTGGCATGATGTATTGTCAATTAAACTATTTAGTAAGATATAAAAATACTGTTGTTTGTCAACATCTTCAACACAACTGAATTTAATAAACTGGCTGCCTGTTCTTGCACTACACAGATATCGAAACATATTTTACTTTAATCCTATTGCATAGCAACTTTGGCTATCTATTCGAAATTCTAGATGTTATCTATTAGACTAGTCACTAATTGTTTTTCTGTTTCATTTCTGATTTTATTATCTGTATTTGTAAAAACTGTTACTAATTATTCATAGATTGCGGTTGCCATCCTAATTTGATATTTAAATTATTTAAATTTTGTATGAAAATATTTATCAACTTGATTTCTCACAAATTACATAATATTAATTATATTTATACTATAAATGACACTCCCTTCCAAGAGCCAATAATCTTATATCTTGATAATAATAAAATAAATTAAATATCAAATCGTTTACTTAAGTATTTTCTTCTTCTTCTTTTTCCCCTTGCTTCCAGACTACTATTATTATTATTATTATTATTTCTATTATTCCAACATATTCATTAGAGTAGTCAACTCATTCATCTTATTCTCTATCTGAATCAAAAGATCCCCTGATTGTTATTCCTCCTAGTTCATATCTGAATTCATCAATTATGAATCATATCTGGGTCTCTTTTGTAATTATTAGATCCTCTTTTGTAATTGTTTATTCTACCTCAACAAATCCTTGCAATTAGGACATTCTAACTAAAATAAACTACTAACCTAATTCTTCAGACTCCTCTTGCTATTATTCTTAAATGATAGGATATTCGTCTTACTAATTCTCTTCCACATCTTCGTAATAATTCTTTTGCTCCTTGAATAGTTGGATGTTCCGAACCAACTTGTCAAAAATGTCCTTAGAATATGGTTCAACGAAGCCTGGATTTTCTCTCAGATCTAAAGAGATTAAGGATTCATTTGTATCCAAAATCTAACTAAACAATCTAACTCCTTCTTCTCCTATTTGATTTTCTCTCAAACCAATATTCTTAGTCCAAGAATCATACATCAAAAAATTACACAAGTCTTTAATACATCTATCATCGAACATATTCTAATGCAGAAATATCTCACATAATCCTTACAATGCCAACTATTAAGGAGGCTCTAACTATTAATTAATTATATTACCATCACCTCTTATTTCCTCAGCCCATTTCATTTCATCTCTTCTACCTGCATGTGAACTGATTATCTTACCAATTATCATCCCAGCATTTTCCTTCAATAAATTATTAGATAAATCTAACAAATTCAATGAAACACATTATTGGATAGGTTCAGATAATATTTATAAATGTTAGCTAGTCAAACTACAATTTGTTATTTTAAGTTCCTTCAATGTTTTTGTACTCTTTAACCCAAATGAGATGGATTCACAATCTTTTGGACTCAAAATCAAATCAGTGATGTGTATCTGCATTAAATTGAATTGAGTCTATGTCAAATTCAAATTGATTGCTGTCAATATACCATTGATTATTTATTGCAATTCCTCCAAACTTATTAAATCATCTATGCAAACTTAAGCTTATTAATACTTTTGTTCATTTTCTTTCTCAATCTTCCATACACTAATATTGAATCAAAATGGCACAAACTCAATAATAATTATAATGGTATTATATCCTCTATTCTTATCAAAATAGCATTCAATCTCAGAGATTGATCCTTCAAACCTTGAGCTATGAAACATCATCCAATAATATACTTATAGCTTTGCTCAGATGCACATGTTATTCCTAACAAATTTATTTGTAAATTGAAAGGTATTCTCTATTTGGATTGTATGTCTTTTTCATCTGTTAAATAAAAATTAATATAAAAATTAAAATTTGTAAATGAAATCATTATCTGCTTCCAAATACAATCATAACAATACTAGCTTTACTACGCCTGACAAAAAACCAAATAAGGTATGCCCTCAAGTTATATAAGAGTAGATAAAACACACAGTCCACTATGAAGTTAAGTGGTGAAATGATGTCCGTTTAAAGTTATTTATATGAATAAGCTCATCTCAAAGAAGAAGCCTCTAAAAAAGAAATCATTAGACTCATTAGATTAGTCACCGATAGTCTAGAAAAGAATAGAAACATTAAAGAATTAAATGAATAACTCTCCAAATTAATAATTGGATTGAGAACATGTATTAATCAATAGGAAGTATCAAGTTACATCATTTAATTAATTTAAACAATACGAGAAATTACCAATAATCATTAATTCTAAAAAGAAATCAAAACTGAAAATGACAAAGCACTTCTAATTAAACGAATACATGAATTAGAATTATAAGCCAAAGAAACTTAATGGCAATTCGGTAATTATAAATAATAATTATGTTTAGAAATGAAAATCAGAGATCATAAATCTACTTAGAAGATCAAGTAATACTAAGAGGAATTAGAACAAATCAAAAAGTATAAATAATAAAATCAAGTACCCAAACCTTAATAAAATTCTCCTCAAAAGATAGAACTGAAGAATCAGATCAAACTTATGCAATAAAAAATACAAACCTTATCTGAAAAGGAAAAGAAATTGATTCTATTAGTCAAAGCTGTCAAATCCAGAGGAATCGATGTTGAACATATTTATAAGAACATCAACCAAATATCAAGTCGAAATAGTAGAATCACTAAAGATGAAACAATAAATGATTATGTTGATAGTTCGCATTCTGATTTTGCTGATATCTCATAATTTGATCTTGGTCAAACTTTCATCAAAAGAAACCCTAAATTTTTACTTGATTGATTATTTTTATTTCATTACATTTATTTAGTTTTATCATAAAATAAAGTTATTCGCAATGTATAATTCAAGATCTTTATGTAATCGCTATCTTCAAAACAATAAGCTCAACAAATATCTCTTAATAATGGATGTATTTAAAATATATCTAATAAATGATCAACTATAAAAATTGGAGTAGAAAATGAAAGATTTCAAAAACTAGAATTAACCGAATAAAGAATTCAATAGGTCAAAGATGATTTTAATGAAATTTAAGAATAAATATTCACTAAATTTAATGGACTCTGGGATCAAATAACTATATATTCTCTATCCAAACTACTAGGTTAATTATAAAAATAGGTTGAAGAAGACAGATTAGTAAAAGAATAAACATGTGAAACTACGAAAAAGGAAATTTTGCATTTAGAGAAGAAAATTGAAAATGTTATTCAAAATGTAACTTAAACTAAAAAGGAGTAGATTTTATTGGAGCAATTTACCAAAGACTATAAAATGATCTATCAAAATCTAAGAAGCAATTAGAACAGAAGATAATGAATCTGATTAAATTTAATTTATGAAATGAATCGCTGAAGAGCTTGTTAAACTTAGCAATCTCATAAATTTAGAAAAGAAAAACAGAGAAGAAAGTGAAAATTAGTATTTGAGATTCTTTAAATATCGTAAACAGAATTAAAGGAGAATCACATTAAGAAAAAAGACTAAATATTATTTTATATTAATAAAATTAGAAAGTAATCACAAAAGCATCTTTTAAGCCTACTAGAGGGTACTTGCAATAAATTAAGTATTGCTGCAAATTTATGATTAAAATCATGTACTTAATGTATATATTAATGAAATTTGATCACCATGAATTTTAAATTTCTAAACTGTGATCGTTAACTATAAGAATTAAGAATTAAAGTCTAATTTTAAATAAATTTTATAATAAAATGAATATATAATTCAGTATTGTGAACCAATTCTTGAATTTCAATACCTTTATTCCAAACTCCACATTAAATTAATTGTGATAGATTTTATAACTCATTATATCGCAATAATTATCTAAAATAAATAATTCGTAAATGTGTAAACTTATTAACTTTGAGATAATAGAAAGAAAGAATATTTAAAATGACTTTGAATGAATTCTTACAAATACAAGTGTATTTTATTTGTTTGAAAAGTATAAGATTTTCGAAAGTTAGCTCATCACATGGATTGTAATTCTTTAGATTTTGAATCTTAAGTTCTAATTTTAGTTATATTTAACAATTGTATTGCTTAACTCTAAATCTCTGCTTTATTTTTAATCTAAATCATCTTTGTATTTATGAAGTTTTAGATTAAGCCTATTAAATAGTATGAAACATAAGTACCAATTCGTTAGACTTCTTTTAATTGTTCTAATAAAAGAAATTTTATGGAATCTATTTAATTTATAATGACTAACAACAATTTAATAAAGAGGGAATATAAAAAAAACTCTGAAAAAATTATCTAATAAAAAGATCCCCTTTATTTATCTCTATAAAATCATTTAAATTTTCATTTCTTATTAATATCAATACTCAAGTAAACAACAATAAATATTTTGTAACAGTTTAAAAGAGTAGTAATTAACTCATAAAATTAAGCAATTTACCTTTTTCTTCGATATCCTAATTAGAAACAGGAGGTTAATAACTTACTAATAATCCATCTAACTATTTCTATGCTATTTAATTAGATGCTAATTCTAGTAAATAAAATTTTATATTTGTAAGATATTTAAGAAAATACTAAATGCAAAGCGTTTAAACTCTAGGATGTAAACAATTTTAATATAAAAGTTTTTGAATATGAAAAAAGAGTAAAAATTATTTCAATGATGAATTATGATTAGTAATTCTATTTGCATACTTTAAAAAGTAAAAAATAATTTTAGAAATAAAATTGATGCAAATGACATTAAGTAAAAATTTCTAAGAAACTGAAATCTAAATCAAATAATTAAGAATTCAGCAAGCCTTCAAATGATGATATTTGAAATCGACTAATCCATAAAATTCCAATTTTCATACATAATTCATTTAACTCTTGAATTTATAAGTGTTTTAGTTGATTTTATTTTTATTTAAATTTTAAATATATGGAAAATGAGTTGCCACAGAATGAAAAATATGATGTTCACTTAATTAATTTAGAATCCTAGGATGGAAAAAAGCATGAAAACCTAATTTCTAAAATGATGCTTCTTAGAGCTTACTCTATCCTAAAAGTAAAAATGATAAAATAACGTAAAGAAAGCTTAGCTTGACACTTTGGAATTTGATAAGATTGATGATTTAAATGATGAGGAGAAGACTCTAATACTATTTAAAAGATTTTCAGAATAAATTGATGGTTCGGAATCAAACTACCTATCTTTAAATTTAATGAAAGAGCTACTCAAATTTTTCATAAGTAATATCATAATATATGCATAAGAACCACTTACAAGAGTCATTTTGATTTAGGTTTTACTTACTATTGGGTAATTAATTTTACCAGTATTAATAAAATTAAGTATTGATTGTGTAATAGATAATGAGCATAAATTAGAAAATGGAATTATTTTGATTGTTTTAATCTTGTTTATTAGATTATCAAATATACTGAGTTAATCTCATCAAAGAATGTTGAGTGTAAATCTATATCATAATAAGGATAGAGAAAACTAGGATACGAATCAATGAGTGTAATCAGCATGCTAATAATGTAAAAGAGTCTTAGAATATCTCTCTTAAGCAATAACGATAGAAGTATTGGAGAAATAACAAACCTGATGCAAGTTGACTCTTAAAAACTGATACTCGCCTCTAACGATTTATTAAACCTAGCAATGATTCCGCTGTACTTAAGTATCTATATTAATTTCTACTTTAGTCATAAGTTTAATTTTAATGTATCATCTCATAGGAATTTCATTTACAATTGGATTTATAATAATAATATTAACAATTATATTGAATATCAAAAATGGTGAAAATGTAATCAATTCCTAAGTGAAGCTATTATAAGCAAAAGATAATCGGGTTAAGTAAATAAATGAAATATTTACATAAATAAAATTCATAAAAATAAATGCCTTAGAAGAATACTTTTTATCAAAGGTCTTCAATTTACGATAAATTGAAATTGGATGTTTAAAAGATAGATTGTTTTATTCAGCAATAATAATATTTTCAGGATGGTTGGCACCTTAAATTATTCTCAGCTCTACATTTGGAGTATACATATACTTGGGAAATATCATGAACCCTTCAATAATATTTTCAATTATTAGTTTATTTCAGATCTTGCAAATTACAATCTAACAGTTACCAATATCAATCACTGCATTACTAGAAACGAAGTTATGTTTAAATAGAATCTAATAATTTCTGACTTCTTAAGAGATTATGACAGATTGTATAAATTATAAGGAATTCAGAGATAGTGCAATTGCTATATCTGTAAATAATGGGAATTTCTATTGGAATAAAAGTTAAGTTGAAAAATAAGAGTTAATTTTGAAGGATATTGACATGCTGATTCCTCCAGGATAGCTAGTTTCAATTATTGGGGATGTTGGTTCAGGCAAAACATCATTTGTATAATGTTTACTGGGAGAAATGCTTTACAAAGTTGGGCCAAAAGTTTAGATCTATGGTTAAATTGCTTATGTGAGTTAAAAAGCTTGGATCTAAAATGCTACTGTTAGGGATAATATTTTATTTGGTAAACCATATCATCAGCAAAGTTATGAGAGAGCCATTCATTTTTCCTGTCTTAAACAAGATATGGAAATATTAGTGAATGGAGACTAAACTATAATAGGGGAAAAAGGAATTAATGTAAGTGGGGGACAAAAAGCAAGAATAAGTTTAGCAAGAGCTATTTACAGTGAGGCTAGTATATATTTACTCGATGATCCATTAAGTGCAGTTGATTCTCATGTTGGTAATTTTTTGATGAAGGAATGCATATTAAATTATTTGTAGAATACAACTAGAATATTAATAACACACTCCTTAAACTATTGTAAGTATGCTGATTACATTTATTTATTTGATAATGGTTAGATAGTTGAAAAAGGCATATATTCTGATTTACAGAAGAGTAGAAGATTTCAAAATATAGCTGAAAAATGTGATATGGTTGAAGAAGTTAATGAAAATAATGTATAGATCTAAAAGACTTAAGAAGACACCTAATTCACTATTAGAGAACACAAGATCGATCCAAATGACAATATTATTATGGCAGAAGAAAGACATAAAGGTGAAATTAGACTTAGTGTCTTTAATTAATACTTTGAATATGGAGGAGGTTACTGCAATTTTATTTTAGTTTTGATAATAATGTTATTTTGGATTTTAGCATACCTGGGTTCCAGTTTGTGGTTGTCAGAATGGACTCTCTAAAATTATGAATTAAGTAATTACTCTTATTTACTGATCTACTTTATATTTGGATGTTTATAAGCCATATTAGCATTCATAAGAGCAGTGACAATTATCAGATAAAGTATTAGATCATCATCGAAGATACATGATGAAATGATGAATTGTCTGATGTATGCACCTTAATGTTCATTTTTTGAAAGAGTGCCTTTGGGAAGAATTATGAATAGATTAACCAAGGATATCAATTAACTTGATACAGAAATATATATGAATATCAGTTGGTTATATACTAAAGTAAGTTAATTGGCCAGTCACATATTCCTTAATATATATGCAAGCACATATCTTATGTTGTTTCCTATATCCATTTTTTTTGGAATTTGTATGAAAATATAAAGAATTTACACAAAAGCTAGTCGAGAATTGTAAAGATTAGAATTAATGAGTAAGAGTCCTATTTTAAGTTACTTTTCTGAAACTCTCACTGGGCTGACAACAATCAGATCTTATTAATAAGTTGATAGTTTTATTAAGACTTTTGCTTAGAAATTAGATGAGAATAGAAAGATTGTGGAGGCTCAAGTGATTGCTAATGCTTGGTTTACTTAGATATTGGGTTTGACTAGTTTGATTGTTAATATGTCAGCAATCATTTACTGTATTTTATACACGAATAATCCAGCATTGGCAGGATTAGTTATGACATATGCAGCAAATATTGACATGAATATTTAGTAGACTATTGAATCGATAAGTTCATTAGAAAATGATATGATATCCTTTGAGAGATGTCAAGCATTCACAACAGTTGAAAAAGAAAATAGAAATGAGAAGAAAATAACATTACAGAATTGGCCATCTAGTGGAGCAGTCGAATTCAAAAGTTTAAGTGTTCAATATAGATAAAACCTACCCAATGCTTTGAATAAGATATCTTTCAAAATCAATCCAATGGATAAGATTGGTATTGTAGGTCGTACTGGGGCAGGCAAATCTACTATCACTATGAGCATTCTCAGATTATTAGAAAGGGCAGAGGGATAAATTGTAATTGATGACATTGACACATAAAACATATCTCTAAAATAGTTAAGAGAGTCAATTACAAGTATTATCTAAGATGCAGTTATTTTTAATGGAACAATTCGTGATAACTTAGATCCATTAAACAAATGTTCTGATGATGAAATAAGATAAGTATTATTGGATTGTTGTCTGGATAAATTGGCTGATAATAGGAATGGATTGTATTCGAATTTATATGAGGGTGGTGATAACTTAAGTGCTGGTGAAAAACAACTCTTGTGCATAGCTAGAGCAATACTCAAAAAAAGCAAGATTATCCTTATTGATGAAGCCACAGCCAATATTGATGTTGATACTGAACATAAAATACAAGATACGATCTCAAAAGCATTTAAGAATTGCACAGTCATTACCATTGCTCACAGGATTAATACTATACTTAATTGCGACAAGTAAATCATATTTATATATCTTAGAATCATTGTCATAAATAAAGGGCAAGTATAAGAATATGGTTTAACCAAAGATTTGTTGAATAACGAATAATCAACATTTTACTCAATTTATTCAGAATCTTAATTAAATAATACAAAAAAATGAATTATTCTATGTTGTTACTTAATTATATTCATTCTAACCAATGCATTATTATATTATATAAAGAATTTAATTAATTCATTGTTTTTACAGTGTAGGAGTATTGCACTCTTTTATTTTTAATGTACTATCTGGTATCCTTATTTGTCTAGTGGAGTTGTATTATCTCACCATTGCTCCTATATTGCAATTTTCAGCTGTAGGATCATCATTACTATCTTATTTACTGCTAGCCATATGTTTAAGTTGACTGTTAGTAAGGGCAAGTCTATGTAAATCCTTTTACTTTTTTGGTTCCTGTTTCTATGGTATATCTATATACTAGAGAAGTAATTTACCAGTAATCTCTCTTGAATTTTGCTTTGATAGTTTAGCACTATATTAACAAAATTTTGATGCTCCAACCACGATAGAGGATTTCCTTTGGTCTTGTCTTGTTATAGAGACATTTGAGGATATTGAATCAGAGGAGTTGAAGTTTAAGGGAGATCTCTATTCAATTTCTTAAGTTCCTATTTTAACAGCATTCTTAAATTCTGAATATCCTTGGAGATTCTTTTAATATTTCTCTGTTTATCTGTTGTATTCCTTAGCCAATTCTTTGAAATAAGGATGTTTTAAACACTTATCATATTATACAAAATACTTCTTCTGAACTCAATCTCAAAGAAGGTTTCTTCATGAGCATTGATTATACTAGATCTTGCATTTAGATTGGAGCCAGTTTAAATTATTGATCCTTAAAATCCACTTCACATTATTTATTATTCTTTAGGATAGATTTCTAATCAATCCCTGCAAATGGAGTATTGCCAGTCTAATGATATAATATTATATAATACAATCAAAAGATACAAGATTATCCCTGCACTAAAGACATCACATTTATCACAATAGAAATCCAATCCATCTATGTATTCAAGGATTTCAGGAGCGACAAAGCCTGGTGTACCACATCTTTTGAATAAGGGTTCTTCATTGAGACTGGTGGCTAATCCAAAGTCAGCCAAAACGATTTCATAATTATTGTCTCTTGACTTCAACAGCAGGTTCTCAGGCTTCAAATCTCTATGAATCAGATTATTTTCATGCATGTGTCTCAATGCACTTATCAAATTGAAGGCCAGTTTCTACATAGTCTCAGCAGGCAGGAAACCTTTTCAATTGTAGATTATAAATTCATACCTGTTTCACGCACTCGTTATAATAATTCTCCTCCTTATATCATGTCCAAAACAAAGTAAATTGAATTAGTTGTTTCATGAACTTCATGCAATTTTACAATGTTTGGATGGTTCAATTTTCTCATTACTTTTATCTCATTTAATAGACTCTCAATTCCCTTTGATTGTTGAGACATATAGCTTTTGCTGAATGCCTTTATTGCATATTAGTTATTATTTTCTTTTTTTGTCGCTGAATACACTTTTGCAAAACTGCCTTTGCCAATCATTTTTGATACTGAAAAAGCATCATGAAAATTATTCATAATGCACTTCAATCGAAAGTGAGACTTCCAAACTTCATAGTTCGTTTTATCCGAAGTAAAAATCTCGAGACTCTTACCTTGATAGGAAAGTCTAAATCCATATAATGTCTCATCTGAATTGAGTTATACAAAATGATCTGAAGATGGATCTATAAATTAAACATGCATAGTAAGAAGGGGTGCTATTTTGAGTTACATTACTGAGACTTTAAACAATGAGGTTTCACTCATCAAAAGAAATTTTTTTTTGATTCTTTATTTAGAACCAACTAGAAATTCAGACTCTATTAGATCAGGTTGTTCCTTTATAGATTATAACATGCAATACATCAAGCAAACATTTATCACAAAGATGCCAAAAACTTGAAATTGTCTTACCAAAATCAAAAATGGATTATTACATTAACTCAATTATATAATTAATACACCTTATTTTTATTTAACATCTTTCAATTCCCTTTAGTTATCATTTGGATACTGTGGAATTACACTCAAATTTCATTTGCATCTAGATATTATACTCTAATAAAATCACAATTACTATTGAGGAAATAAGGGTTATGAATTCTTTCTTTGAATTGTATTATATATTATTGTAAGTTTATCCATGAGAGATGAAAATATAATATATAATAAATGTAAAATTTATAATTCTTATAATTCATTGAAATTCAAACCAATAAAAAGTCTAAGGAATTTAACTATTCTGGTATTAGTGAACCAATCATTTTTCTTATGAATAACTAGTATGAGACATGAGAATTTTATATTATAAAAAAATTATCGTTTTAATGAATAATAGCTTTTCAGCAGAAGGGCAAACTTATTAAGTTAGGACTGTAACAACTTCTTAGAATGTTTAAAGAACTAGTAATGGGGAATTCCAAGATGCTGTTTAAAGATATGAATTACGAAGATCGTCGAAACCTAGATAAACTTAAAATAATCAATAAACAACTGTAATTACTTCTAACTACGTTTAATTGGATAACGAGGGGAAGAATAATAATTATGACTTGGAAGCTTCAAGATAATCTTAGAGAGTGTTGGAGAAATACCAGGTGAATAGCTAGAATAGTCATTACGAAGTGAATAGATAGAGTGTTAAGGAAGTTATGGACAAATACAGGAGAGGAAGAGGTAAGACTGATTGAGTTTATGTAGGAACAACTACATCCTAATTATAAACGACAGAGGTGAAGTACTCTGCTGTTCCCCAACCTCAATATGAGCACTTTCAGTAGAAAGAAACTATTTTTGAAGGCAGAAATAGCAGGTATGTAGAGGAATAGGAGTATTCACAAGAAAAACAAGTGGCAATAAATTATAATACTATTTAAAGTATTTTATTTAAATATTGAAGCAAAATAATAGGTGTATGAGGTAGATTATGAATAAATAAAGGAAGATTGTCAAATCAGTGACATTTACAGGAGACCCGAGAGAGAAGATGATGAATAAGTGGACTTATTAGACAGTGATTATGTTTCTTGCAATATGTTTTGAAATTAAAATATTATTATTAATAATGAACGATTAAACAATTAAAATACTTTAAATTACAGCTTGTTCATTGTCATTGATAGGGTCTCTCTTTATCGTCGTGGTTTATTTTAAAATGGGAATGAGAAACAACTTTGCCTTAAAATTGATAATGTGCTTGACAATAAGTGATATCATATTTTCTCTCTCCAATTTGATGTACATTGATCCAGGTAAATAGTATTTTACTATAAGGATGCACGCCCAATTATTAAATCCTTTGCACTATTCAAGGATTCCTCATTCAATATTCTTCAATTGCCTGCTTCATATTTTGCTTCTTATTATGTTTATGCATCTTTTGGACGGTGATTAGAAATAGAGCAAATCTGAGCTAATATCAAAGATGTTTTTAGATAATAGGATTCTGCATTCCCATTCTATTTGCTCTAATTCCTGCTATAACAAATTCATATAATACCCAAATATATGTTTGTGGAATATCAAACGATGATGTTGATTTATGTCATAATAAATCAGATAAGTCCTCATAAATTGTGATGGTAGAGTCAATATTATTATTCTATGTGCCCTTGTGGTTGATGAATATTGTGGGGATATCATTTATCATTAGAGTAAGTGTTTTTATGACAAAATTAAGAACGTAATCAGAATTAAATAATAGATCACGGAGTTCAGATCAATAAGAAATACAATTATAAACACAATAAGAATATGAGTTGAAACTATCCTAAAGGATTACTTAGAATATGTTATTATATCCAATAATAATGTTGATTTGCTACAGTGGAATGACTGTGTATGCAATAGGCAAATTATGTAATTCAGAGATAGTGATTTTGAGAGGACTAAGATTTATAATGGCTGATTGTCTGGGGTTGTGTAATTCTATAGCATACGGATACAATGCCATTATAATATTGAGACTGCAGAAAATGATGTCTCAACAACAAACCTTGCCCATGATGCAATTTCGACAAGGTTCTAATGATTCTGATGTTAATAGAAAATAATTTGAATCATTTCTTTCCATAGCAACTATTTATAATGATTAATGAATAATTAATGATATTCTCAGAAAGGATTAAATTTTTGATGATGTGATCTGCATTGCGATGGAGATCGAGTTCGAATCACGAGAGACATCTATTTAAAGATCTTCTCTTGTTTCTTCATGTCTGATTTCATCATAATTTCCTTGTTTGTTTCTATAAATTACAAATATAAACGATGTTCCTTTTGGGTCCAATGACCTTGCATAAGATAATCATATTACCATTATTGTATGTTTTCCTTGCAGTCTTACGTCTTGTTTTCTTGATCGGCACCTAAGGTTTTAGATTGTCAGCAAGTTCTTTAACAGACTCGATGGTTGATTTAGATTCAATAGGTTATTCACTAGGATTGGAACAAAAATAATACTCTAAACCTTCCTCTATTTTTATCTGGTTGAGCTGATTTGCCATTATTTGTTGATAACGCAAATTCTCAAGAAATAGATATTGGATATAAGAATTATAGACATTGTAAAGTTATTATTCAATCTAATAAGCTCAAATTTTACCCACTTCTAAGCTTTGATTTGACATCATGGATTCAAAAGATTTCAGAATTACCTTCCGGAGGAAAAAAAAGAAAAAATAAATGTTTTTCAATTATTTACACTACAAAAGTAATAAATTAAATATACATAAAGATACATTTATTGATCATTTCCTACAAACTTTATTTACTACAATTTACGAGTTGGTAAAGCTGGACTTTTTCATATGATAATGCATCAAATAATTCGACACACTCTCTATCATCGGAGGGTCTATGGAATTGATATTACTCTCCACCCACTTTTGAGTTAGAGTTCCCAAAATGCCCTTGAGTTTCTCTGGCTATTTGACCTTTTCCATCTTAACATATGTGATATTTATTAGGCTAATCACTTTCGAAAATGAACATTGAATTCGCACTGGGTTTAATTTTTGAATATACTTCATCTTTTATATTATAACTAAATTCGTACCTTCTTGGCCAATTAAACGAACTCATTCTAAAATTTCAAATTGCCATTGCTACCACACCATAGAACTTACTTATTCTCCAACAGAATCATCGTGGATGTTCTACCACAACAAATCTATTGGGTCTCATATTTTAATTACACCAAATTCTATCTATCTTAAAAATCTCCCAATCCCAATTGACCTTACTGATTCCAACCGCACACAAAAGCCTTCCCATTACAACATTAAATGCTTAGATGTTTCAAACCACAACTAATTAAATTTGCTTTGTAAGGAATTTTAATTTAAATTAATTACTCCCGAAATACAGTATCTCCCAAACCCAATTGACCATGTTCATTGGTTCCCTTCACCAAGACTTACCCTTGATTATTGAGCAATGCAATAAAATTGAATCCAATCGATAATTAAGAAATGGGAGAATTAGTTGCTATGTTTTATATCACGTGATCACTCTCCCAATATTACACCTATCCAGAATTAGTAATTATGTAAGTTCTATCGAATCTGCACTATAAGTATTTTATTGGCTATATGTCAACATAACTGATGGTACCACATTGAGCACCCCAAATAATCAGTTTGCCATCTTGACATTTAACATAGCTATTGAAATCAGTACATTCTATTTAATCCATTATTACATTCAGACTAAGTTACTAGGGTTATTGTGGAATATCACTTAATCTCCCCTATCCTAATTGACCTTCATTGTTCAATCCCCAACTATATAACTTATTTGTACTCGTCGATGCAATACTGTGGAAACTACCTACTCTTACACTTTATATGATATTTTCATTTTTATAGCATTGTTAAAATAATTGTTTATAATTTGATGAGAAAGATGGCTAATAACAACCAACATCAGACAATATTTCTAAATCCACTATGATATCAAATAATTATCCTTTATCACGAAATTAATCATCTTCTTAATTTAATATTTAATCAAAACTCATCGAATTCATATTATTACCATACAAATCATTTTCTTCAATCCTTAAAGTTTCATTTAGTTATTCCTCTAAGGGCTTCAAAAATTATTCTTTTTTGATACTCTTTGCCCTTTATTTAATCAAATATCTTCGAATTAATTTCTATATCTTATTTGTACTAATTCTTATTTATTTAAATGTCTATGACAACCATTTCATCTTCACAAATCCTTGTATCTTAAAAGCCGCCTTATTCAATTTTCTTATGTGTTCTCTTACTTGTACTCCCTTAATCCACTTTTATATTCTAATTGCTGCCAATTCATTTCTTTTGTTTATCCTAGCCTATTTGGATCTAACAACCACATTCTTATGAATCCTTCTAACCCTTGCTCCTCTAAAGAAACTCTATATTACCAATACTTTTTTCAATCTAATCTATTACCAACTGTTCTCTATTATTAAATTAATATTGAATTTCACCAACACTAATTTTCTTATTCTCTTAAAAAATAGCCATTTCCTTATCTATCTTTGGATGAAAATAATTTGTTTCATTATTACATCAAAATTGTTAATTGCCTATAATCTGTACACATACTGCAATATCTTATCCAATTAATTCTAGTACAACTTCATCTTCGATTGTCGTAATTGATAGTAATAGAGATTCTGAAATGCCTTTAGAGCCTTACTCCAATTGCATAACTTAATCTTTTGATAATGACCGTGTATTCTCTTCAAATTCTTTTTGATCAAGTACTTATGCCAATTATACTGAATTTTTAATGCAATTTTGCTCTTTTTTGCCATGATCTCTGCAAATACTTACTAGATTATATCCATGCCTTCAATTCTAATGAATATTCTTTTCTATCCAAATAGAACTAATTCAGGTCCAAGTTTTGGATAGTATTATTGGAACATTTACAAGTTAAGTTCTCTAAAATCAGCATTTTATTATTCTAGGACATTAAATAAAGGATTAGAGGTCATTTCACCAAATTATTTATAAAATTGTTTGTGCAATCTTCTAAATGGATAGTTCTATTTTCTAACTTTTAAACTATCTAAAACACCTAAATATCTTATTTATTGTAATGCATAATCATCCTCCAATATTTGAGGTTTCTTAAGATCATTTGGTTTAATACATCTAACAAAATGAACATCACATTTATTGGTTAATTCTTTCATTAGATCATTCATCTAAGTTCTAATTTTCTTAGATAAACTTTTGTCTTTCTTAGTAACTGTTTAAGTTTATTTTTCTTCAACAGCAAAAAGCTTTGAAATCAAAGGATTACCACTCTATTAACTATAAAATGCTGTTAACACACTGATTTCATCCACATTTTTTTCTCTAAATCCAGAAATCAAATATTCAACATTTCTGGCAGTATGAACAATAATGAAAGATTAAGTAGATGGCATTTTAGGTTGTAAGACATATTTTGGATCCTTCTACTTTTTTCTGATATTGCTTATCAATAAATCATCATCTCCACCTACTTAACATACTTCATCCAAGATATCAAAAATGCCCAAGGGAGGTTTGTCCATGCAATCTATCAATGCTTAATTATCTTTATATTTGATATGCTAACAAAATTTATCAAGTCCTTCCTCTTTAAATACAATTTCCTCTCCTTTAAATACATATTATATATATAACTAATGCAATCTCTCATTCGTATAGTTGATTATCAGTTACTCAAATCCATTTTTATCAAAGACTTCAAATCCATAGATATCTAACAATCCAATGTAGGTATTATTGTTATTTGTATCGATTTCCTCTTCTGGTAAGATATTCTGATTCAATTTTTAAACAAGCCAATTGAATAATCGTTCAAATAACTCTTTAGCCCATGAGTCTCTATTTTAGATACACTAATTGTAGGAAACAGGAGAGATAATCTTCTATTTATTTATAATTCTTTGTTTGAGTATGAGGGCTTCACTTATTTCTTTGATACTCAATTGTAATAGCTTTGACAAGTATTCCAACTTATTCTCAGTGACAATTTAACAAGGAACATCATCAGTTAGAGTGGCCTCGTTGAATTGCAGATCTCCTAAATGCAATACGGCTGCTACTATTTAATGGATGTTCGACTTATCTGATTCCAAACCTAATAAATTATAGGACTGAATGACTTCATCATAGAGTTTCTTATCATCGATTCCATCAACATCCTGGATAGTATTAATGTATGAGACCTTGTTTAATTGGATGGGTTAATCATTTTCACTTAAGAACAATTACTATAATTCATTAATAGGCATTCCCTTTAAAATATGATAGAAGATATGGAAATTCCTCTCACCCTTTCCTTGCAAACAGATTCTACTCTTCTCCAGTAAATAATTGTATATCTGAGCTCCTTTGATTTTCTTGTCGTTCTTCGAGATATAAATTTTAGTATATTTGCCGAATCTACTTGAGTTATTGTTTCTCAGTGTCTTGGCATTGCCATATGCTTCCAAGATTGGATTGCATGATAGGATCTATGATAGGATTGAATAGAGATACTCGATCTTCAATGGCGAATTTATTGATACTATTTTTTTTCTCTTGTGATTGCCTTGGAGTATCGAATTTGACACTGGTGATTAGATTCATGCATGACTTTGCATTTTCTGTTTTGCCTGCTCCGCTCTCACCAGATATGATGATTGCTTAATTTTTTTAATTTTCAAATAAACTCTTAATTGCTTCAGCACCTATTGCATACATATGTGGAGGTTGACTGCTCCTATTTTCCTTATTGATGGCCTGTTAAATATATTTGTTCTTAATTTCCATATTGATAAGGTGAGGACATGCCTCAAATGGATTAATGACCAACAATGTGGGTCCGACGTATGTGAATATTTTTTTTTATTAATATCTCTTTTTCAGATTAATCAATAACTCTTGATCATTTATGACTTCCATATCAACCATATCATCAAAACTCTCCATTTTTGAAAATAATATATAATAAACACATTATTAATCACTAGTCTGTAACAATCGAATAAAGAGCCTCTCCAATATGATCAATAATCTTAGGAGTGGTCAATGAATAATGCTCCTTATTAGATGCCAAGTTAGCAGCTCTTCTAGTCACTACACTACCTAAAATGCATCCCTCTATCTTATCTACTTCCTATTCCTACGACCAGTAAGAATAGAGTCCAATCAACCCACTCAAAATATCACCCTGACCTCCACATCTCTTTTGAGAACCTTATAAATTAACTGCATATCCCACCTTCCCATTAGTTATAATATCGTTCTGTCCCTTAGATACAATTATGACATTGTTTAATTTCCTACTCAATTCAGCAATTAACCCTGGATATCCATTCTCAATTCCAATTTATTTATAGTTTACATCCTGATCATTTATTACATTAAGTGAATCATAATCAGGCTTTATGTATTGAATATCAAAATATTCTAATAATCTCTTTACTTCCATTGCATTCGGAGTCAATATAAATTGATCGCTCTTCTCTTAGATGATTGCAATCAATTTATTCGGCTTCTAAGAGATATGCCACAATGCATCTGCATCCAATATTTTGATACTATTATTTTTTTGGAATAGATTTTCCAACATCCTGCCTGTTATCTGTTCCCTTCCCAATCCTGGACCTATTACTAATGAATGCATTATCGAAGTAGAGGACACCAATTTATTAACAGCATTCTCTAGCAATACATATTCTCCCTCCTCTAATAAATAAGGATAGACAATGCATTCTGGACTATAACTCTTTATAGGAATGGCTGCTGATTTAGTACAAAAGATATATGCTAAATCTCCTCCTCCTTTCAATGCGGAAATGGCTGCATAATAGGGAGCACCTGTGTATTCGAATGATCCACCTATGCTGGCTATCTTGCCATTCTAACCTTTATGGCGTGTCTTATCCAGGAGTGGGATTATCTTAGAGAATGATTTTTATTTAAACATATTTTAAAATGTGGATGATTAAAACTTATCGTACCATTTTATAGATAATTATATCAATCTCCACTAGCACAACCTCTGCATCCACACTATTTACATTGTACCAATTTCCCTTCCTCTAATTTCGCTTTAGGAACCCTACAAATACAGGTTCCACCAAAGTTATGCTGCGATTTAGATATGCAATGCAAACAACACAGTTTTTCATATCCGGTTTTCTTCCATTTGGCTATTAATGTTGCATCCCCATACTACTCTTATAAACAGAATTCATATAATTCTCTGGTTATCTCCTTTTTGTAATAGTACATTTCGTATATATAACGAGATCTTTATATTTATATGAATAATGTACCTCTGATGATGCAATTTGTAAATCTCCCAAAATTATTCTGGTTTCTTCTTATCACTGTATGCTTGATTCTCTACATCTCGTATTTGATTTCCAATTTCTGTGATTGTTGGTTCAATTAAATCCCATCCCTCAGGTGCTTTCTTAGTTCGAATAGTTTTAATTTTAGGCATTTATATATTAATATATTTATATATATGAAAGTGTAAATTCAAAAGTAGTCATGATTTTAGTCACCTAATGCTTCATATAACATTTCTGTCATATTCTAAGTGGGACTATTGAATTCAATTTGTAATTTTGGTTATTTCTTAATTGTGGTTGAATTCCTAAAACTTGGATAGTCACTTGTCTATTTATCAATATCAATTGATTATGATAATGCTGATGAACAATTTCTTTATCTGGAATATTCATGACAAGATAGATTTAGATCTCTTTGATTAAAATTTCGAATCTTCTCCATTAATTCTAAATTAACAGAAACTTATAAAATGTCCTTATTCAAAGTACTTTATACTCTCTTCGAACGATCTAAATGATCAAATTAATTAAATACCATTAATCTTGGGTTTGAAAGAAGGAGTTGCGTCAGTCTTGAGTCTCTGGATTCTCTCCTTCTTCTTGTCCTCATTCTTATTCATCCTCTAGAAGAAATCTGTTTGATTGGTTGTTTTAATGATCTTTTACGATACTTTATTGACCATTGGCTTAAACAAATTCTCTTGGCTTATTTAAATCATGGAAGACTCCTTCAATCTATCGATATGATCAGCCTTAATCTATTAATAATTAATACTTTTTATTACATCCATTTCATTCCTTATTAATACAAGTCATTCTTCTAAGTGTTCTAACTTTTAGGCTTAAGGATTTTTGGATGAAATGTTGCTTCTTGAATCTCTTCCTATAACTTCCTTTGAATCTACTTCTCCTTCGATTGTTACAATCGCTCATTTTTTAATTTTAATTATGATTATTATCTCTCATAAAATTAAATGTGATCTGATTAACTATGTGTTCTCATTAATTAAGGTGATGGACTATGTTATTTTTATCTAGCTCTTCTTTAATCTTCATCGATCTGAAATCTTGTCAACTATTCCTAAAATTTCACTTTTGTGGTATTTTCAGTCATTATTGATTTCAAATGTTTATCCAACATTTAGAGTAATACCTTCCTTGTATTTCTATTTCTCAAATCCATTACTGTAATTTTATTATTAATTTTTATTATTACTAAATTTTAATTCTCAATTTTAAGTAGATATACCAATTTCAATTGTAATAAATATATAAACAAAAATGTAAAAATCAGACAGTTTAGGTTATAGTAATTTCAGGGTTTGGTTAATCGATAAAAAGCATTCTACAAATTGATCTTATTGATTAATCATCGATTCTTGTAAACTTTAACTACTTTTTAGGAGCTTCAGGACACGACAATTTCTTTGTTTTTGGAGTTAACAAACAATTATTCATTTATTTTAATTATGAAGAAGAATTATAAAAAAATATAATTTATAAATTAGTGGCGCATGGAATTTACCGCCTTATAAATATCACAATTTAGATACACTCTTTACTTTTTATTAGTTTCTGAGTTCAAAGAGATTATCTATTTATTTGAAAAAATTAGATTCATAATTATGAATGACTCCAACCAAATCCTATAGAAATTACGCTAACATGGTAAGATTTTAATAAATAATGCGTTTTTCTTTAGCTTGAGTTTAAGTCAAAATAAACATTATAGTTTTACTGACATACTTGTATTCATCCAAACTTATAGATTAATCTTTCTTAATGAAACCTTAGCCATTGATTAAATTCTGCGATTCTAAGTAAACTATTTAATTAGTATTCGGAGATTGTTCATCCAAAGTTACATTTGCTAGAAGTTCATAATTATTAAAATATACATTTCTTCATTTTCCATGAATGAGTCTCAATATTACTTGGGATAAACTTATCATTTTTTATTTGATACATAAGACAACTACTATTTGTATCAATAGATGCCAAATTGATATCGAAATGTTTGGCTAATATTTTTACACTTTCAGAAAATTAGTTTACACTCTAAAGACATTCCTGGTTCCCTGTATCATATAAAGATCTTAGATTCTAACATATTCTCATATTTGTTAATTAAAACAATCCTTCAGAATAATCCCAAGGTCCAGCATCTAATTTTTGAAAACTTATTTATCCATCATCAATACCTATGGCATACCATTTGTTATTAATTTAATGAATCATTTTAAAAAAGGATGAATCTTAGAGTAATTAATAAGTGAAATAGTTCTCGATTAAGTATAAAATTTAAAAGTAATACTTTACATTAGGTTTAGGGAATTTCAAGATACCCATTAATGAAAATATGATTTTACTCTCCACTTTAAACTTATTCTAAAATTTCAATTCATTAATTCTCTCAAATTTCTTACCAAATGACATTTTAAAAAATCTGTCTTCTTATTATTTAATGTAAACTTCAGATGCATCTCTCAATACTGCACTCTAAATAAGTAAGTGATGATTAGAAATATTAACATTCTTTTTTTGAAATATCTCATCCTTCTTAATTTCATTTCTTAAATGAATCATATAATCATTAGCCACCTAATTCATATCCAAACCATCTCCTTATTATTTTACTACCCATTCTTAATAATCAATGAAATGCTATTCATAATGTTCTACAATATTGGTTCCTATTTTACGGTCAAATTGTGTATTATGGAATCCAACTGGTTTACGACTTGAATTATAATTGGGTAAAAGTTGATTTCTGGATCCTGGCTGACTTATTATTAGATCAGGTTTCTCATCTCTTATCAGATGTTCGGATATACTCCTTTACGGATTATAAACCTTTGTAAGTGATTTACTCTTTTTGTCAGTTCTTAATTTCTTCTAAAATTTAATTACATCTGGATTATCATCATTTAAAATAAGAGTCTTCTTTTTTAATTGATTAGCTGCTGTTTCAGGAGTATATTTAGAATCTACTTGAGTACCAGAAAAGGCATAATTATCTTAATCCTAAGAGATATCATTTACTTAAGGAACTTGTTCCTCTGCTTAACGAAGTTGCATTGACACTACTGAAAACACTTCCCAAACTAAACCACCTATTAAAGCCAAAAGAAAAATTGACAAAAATTCAAAGGAACCAACAAATATCATAGCTGATAACATGTCATCTGTATCATATGTCAATTCAAATACTACCTGATTCCATTCAGCTGCAATGAACATCTGCAGCATCATTAAATAAGATCCAGAGAATGATGTAAAGTCTGCATATTTACAATTTCCCCATTGATATTCAAACAAATTAGCATCACATTTAGAATTAGCATAAGGATTCTCTGGGTTTCTTTAGATCTTACCAAATAGATACATTCCAACACAAGTATATATGAAGAATATCATTTAAACAGGCAACATCAATCTAAAAATCAATGGTACACATATTATAATTTTATAAAGCAGATTTCTAACAATATCCAAAAATTCTAATCCAGATAAAAAGAAATTTAATATTTTGATTGATCTAAATGCTCTAAATAATCGAAACACCTTTTATATTTTGGCCAATCTCAACAATCGATTTGCTTTAATTGATTGAACAATGTTTCCAGATACAATATTGAATAGGATGTAATCAAATATAATTTGCAAAATTACTAAAGAGATATCAAACACATTCCTAAATTAATTACATTACATACCATCCTTCTTAGAAATATGGTTTAATTCCCAATGCAATAATTTTTACTATGCATTCAAGACCGTAAAACACTAAATACACTGTATCGAGCAATGTAAATATATCCAAGATATTCATATCATCAATAAAGAAGGCTGTCACAATAAGAACACAATTAGATATTGTTATCACCAACATTCCTATACTAAAAACCTAAAGTCTTTAGCAATTTGTACATTTCCTTCTACAAATGTTAACAAGCCCTTGGAATTAAAATAGTCTCTAAAGGATTCCCAACTTTCTAGTGGTTTACTTTCAGGTAATTTGAATATGGAACCATCCTAAATTAAGTGAAGAAATTTGTAGAACTCATCAAATTGAACCTTATCACTATTTCTTATTGAATTTTTACTTAAAATCTTAATCAATTAGAGAAAACAAAGTAGGCATATCTACTTTATTTATGCTATTTGCATAAAACTATTCAATAAATTCTTGAAACTATATGTGTGTCAAAAATCCTTGATCAGTCAAATCCAAAGAGATGAAACTTGCCATCATAGCTGATTTTTATTTTATTATATCATTGATTGCTATTTCCATCCTATGTCTTCTAAATCCTTCGTATACAACTGCAAGTGGAATTGGAGCAAATAGGAAGATAAAGAGTAACAAATAAATTATAAAGAATAGACTATAAAAAGTACCTTGCAACATTGGTGGAATTAGAATATCAGGATAAAAGTCTAGAGTTGCCACCATAAACAGCATTGAAAAAAATTTAAAAAAGTCTCCGTAATCCTGAGTCCTCAAATCTACATTTTCCAAACGACCAATCAAATTGATGCCTACAAATGAAAATATTGAGATTATGATTAAATAAAGCAAAATTAAAAGGAACAAATCTCGACTTGCCTTCATTATCCCTTTTAAATTTCTTCTTAAATCCTTTGAATACATAGGCATTAGCAACGTCCGAAATATTCGACTGAATCTCATGATATTAGGTTCCTTACTATGGATAATAAAATCGATTAAGCACACATAGTAGACAATCAATTTAAATTACCTTTTTGGATTAAATGCAAATCTATTTTCCTTTTTAGTCACCAATAATACTATTGTAATTAGTGAGTCAATTCCTAAAAATGCTAAAATTATGCCTTCTAATATCAATAAATTCTGATTATCCTCCACGTCCTATTCTGGAAATGGCAATTCAAAGAATGTCATTACCTAATAGATAATTGATAACAAAAAGAGAAAAGCAATCCAAAATTGATTATTCTCTAAATACCAAAAGAATTTTAGGTATTTTTTGTTGGTTAAATCTATATCGTTTCGAATAGTTCTTAAATAATATGCATCATAAATATGTCGAATTGCTTTGTTCATTCTTTGTTATACTGATAATCTCTTTACTATTTTCTAAATTTCAGAGGCTAATTAATCATTCTTCTCAAGCAATTTTTGTGAGAATTCTTATAAAGCCATTGATTATCTATAAATAGTAGACTATCTTCTTTTTTTTAAAGGTTTATTCATTTAATTTAATTATTAGACATAAACATATAATATATAATTTTCATAAAATTCAGTCTAATATTCTAAAATGACTATAAATTAATCAATTCTCATATGTAAAATTACAGTCCAACTTTTCAATAGTTTAACAACATTTTTAATATATTGGTGAAATTTAATGCTGAAAGCATACTTAAATTATATAATCAAATTTGATATGCATTACTAAGCAGATTAACTCTTTAGATATTCTTATTCAATTGTTCTTTTTCTAATTTATTTTTTTCTTTAAATAGCATAATTTTGATCTAATATTTCTTAATTGTATTCTGTTAAAATAAATTAGAAATAATTTAAAATCGAAAATTGATGAAGCCATTTCAAACACCAAACTCATGTCATTCAAGAAAGGGAAGTGCTAAAGTTAACAGACAGCCATTTGCCATCATTAGCAATTGTCCAGAGTTCTAATAATGTGCCAATTATTTGTAGAGTAAAGTACACGGATTAGAGATGAGAGTAAAAAACCTTAATAGTCATCATGCAAGTGAAAACAGATCTACTACAGCTTCTAAAACTACCACCAATTTGTCTCCTTTTAATACTCATAAATAATGCAAAAAATATGGATCTAATAAACAAATTGACACTCAAAGTTATTACGAAACAATCATCAACAAAAGATTAGAAAATATTAGTAAAATTGAATAGTCACCAATAAAAACAGAGCAATCTGTCAATTAGGACAAGTACTCAGTGCATAGTCTAGTCAGTCATTAAACAAGATTAAATTATAATTGTATTTAGAAAATATAGGCATTAACCAAAAGACTCAGACAATTTAAGTTGGTCAAAGATCAGAATCAAGATGAATGTGCTCCATCTTTAGCTAAGATCAAATGCTTTTGTCAAGAATTCTCAAATGAGTGTTTCGATTTCTATAGGTGCACCGATCTAATTACCCTGAAATACTTTATTTATTTGCTTCTATAGGAGTTAAACAATAATTCAGAAACATATAGAGGTAATGACAATCAACATTATGTCTAAGAAATTGAATATTTGAAATCACAATTGGAAAATCAAAATAATGATCAAATGACTTTTAAAGGTCAGATAAAGTTATAAAAGATGGTGTACGACACTTAAAATCTAATATAAGAGATTGTTAATCAATTTCAAACTCAAAATAATTAAAATGTCTTAACTAATTAAGTTGATATCTTGAATAGGTAGATAAAATCATTAAAGGATAATATGGATCAATAACAATTTTTAAAAAGCTCCTTTGGTGTCAATTTAGCCAATTATGAGACTAATGAAAACAATAATTCTCTTATTAATTAATCTAATTATAAGACAAATGAAGATAGATTTATGACTTAGATGAGTTCCAAATCAAAGTCTCCATATTGTAGAAATAATCGAAAAATATAAGTGGAAGGGGATTCATAAAATAACCTTAGATTATTGGAAGAGTAAACAATTATCAATAGATAATTGATGGAAAAGATTTTTGAATTGTAATCATCAGATAAATAGAAGTAAGCCATTTAAGAATTACAAGATTAATTAAATGAGAAAAACAAACAAATTATTGATCTTCAAAAAAGTATTAAGAATCAAGAATGTTATTCTGAATTAAATTAAAGAATATTAGACATAAGCAGAAATTTAGATAATGTTATTTAATAAAATTCTTAATTGCTTTAAGAAAATGAATAACATAAAAATAAAATAGACTCAATGAAGTAATTAGAGTAAAAGTATTATGATTTACTTTAAGAGAATAACAGGTAATGTTAATAAATAAATTCAATCATAAATGATAATTGTTAACTGAAAAAGATTTAATAGCAATATGAGGCAGAATGTAAGGGATATCAATAATAAATTTTAAAATTATAGGAGAAGTGTGAAGTGCTATAAGCCTCTTTATAGGATTAAAATGATTCAAAAATTTTATAATAATAAATTAATGAGTTATTATAATAATAATAAGAGTAAAATAAAATTATTGTAATTAAAATTAATAATAAATTAGAGTTTAATCACAGATGAAGCCTTGTATTTGGGACAAATGACCTTGTAAACAAATGATTTGTTATAGAAGCAATAGGGTGACATCCCTACTTCAATAAGGGTGTTACAAAAGGATTTAAATAACAAGAAAAGTGCTATTCAGCAGAAAATGAAAATTTTATAGCAATTTGGAAATAATATGAAGATAAAGCAATGCATTTCGCATAATAGTTCATTCAAAACGAATTCTGATGTGGATCTGTTGGAGAATTTGGAAAATGATGTAATTCCAGTGAAATTTTAACAATAATCGAATTAACATAGTGATTTAATGATGATGTTGGTGGTGTAATGCCATACAATAGAAAAGATGATTGACTTTTGATAAATAGATATCTATATTTAAAGCTATTTATATAAAAATATAGATATTTAACAATTAAGCGGCGAAGATGAGTGAAATATTGATTAAAATAGTAATGTATTAATAAATAGCACTAATAAATATTCATTCCATTATTTTGCATAAAAATAAGATTTAATATTTAAAATATTAATATGAAACCTAATTCTGAGATTCTTTTATGCTAGATGTATTAGCTGGGACCAGATAAATGGAATTATGTAGATATTGGTTATACGCATATCAATTCGAAGGTAAGAGGTTTAGAGTAGACAATAATAGAACGAATTGATTTTGCTGCAGAAGGACACGAGTCAGGAAGTGATAGTTGTTCCAATAAAGTAAGAGAATGAGTTTTGCTTTGATTAAGGTATGGATAAAATTTAAATTGCAATAGAAGAAGCAATCTAATTCCATTGTGTTTAGGACTATGCCTTGAGTTTTCAGAGTAGAGAAGGTGCAATGGGAGTTTGGACTCGTATTCAAAACATTTTGGTGGAGAATGAGGCTGAGGATTAAGATTCAATAGCATTGACACCCGTTTCTGAAACAAATTTGGAGACTATTTTGGATACGATGAATAACATGATAGCATACGGTTCTCAATCAAAGTAGATGTTGTTGAGTTATTTGATCAATAAGAAAGTAAAAAGTGATATTGAGTGTGTGTTAGGAATATTTCGATAAGCTTATAAAATTGTTCCAATAGTTGGAGAAGGACAACAATACCAATCTGTTATAAACAATGTGTTAGATTGTGAAGAATGTATAAATCCATATTGATTGTGATTAGATAGTTACAGTGGCGGAACATGAATTATTTTAAATAATCCTGAACGATTAGAATTATCTATTTATTTTCGGTGCATTAGAATGTATGTTATTTGTAGATTAAATGTTATTAGATGATACTGAGATGAACAAGAAGAATTTCGTGCCCCACCGTTAGTATTTAGAGAAACATGCGTAATTCTTGCAAGTAGTCCAAATTAAGAGTAAAGAGCGACTTAAAACCATTCATTTCATATATCGGCTGCAGTACTTGCGCGATTGTGGTTTGGCCTACTACATCGACGAGTGCCAGTTGATGTTCATAAAGATAGTTTTAACGTAATCAAAATCATGATAGATTATAAAGAGTTGTTATGTTGACCTCTTTAAGTACATTGAAAATTCGAAGGATTTTTTGATAGAAGTCATTGACAAATTAAGAAATTTCAATTTCTTGGCATTGCGATTCCTTTGCGAAATTTGTTCAGTCTTTAAAGAATTTCCAGATGTATAACAGTGATTCATTATTACTAGTTGAATAAAGTAGTCATCTATTAGAAACTCAGTGAATACGGGTTGTATGAGATAATTGAAGATTACATCAACGATTCCCTAAAGGGGTTTGAGAAGTACAAAGCCAAATTAAAGAAACTCAAATTAAAGATATCTGTAATATATATTCATAATCTCATTAAAGGATGATGTGTTCACTAAGATACCAAATATGATATTGGAATTGTTAATAGTGTGTTTATAACATTGTCCCAACTATTTCAGATAGTATGTTATCAGTGAACATCAACAAGTACTGAAATATCCATTTTTCAATATCATTGTGGAAAATGCCTTCTAAAATGAATTGTACATGGAGGCATTGAAATTGATGATCGACAATAACTCAGAAGAGTAGAATGAAACTATGGATTTATTTTTACTGCAATTCTATCCGAAAATCACTGCCTAAATCTCACACACAGCCACCAAAGAATTCAAATAGCAATTTTTAGAGATCACCTTAGGGTTGGTCAGAGCTATGAAACCATAGGTTAAGGAGGCAGTGATTTTGAATTAAGTGGCATTGAAAGTTGGCTTCGTTTTGTAAGAAAACTAAAAGCTATTGTAAACTAAGTGTTTGCAGATAATTAAACTGATTTGTCTGTCTAGAGATGATGACATTAACAATGAGATTACAATGATAATCCCTAATTTAATTAGTGTTATTTTAGCGTATAAGGGATTGAGGGAAAACCTAATATTTTCTTAACAATTAGAAATAATAAAAATAATTTATGAGGGGATAAGTTAAAAATTGATTACATCATTAGTAAGATTTTGTTAATAACTAATAGGAAGATGAATTAAAGAGAAGAGAAAACCAACCAAATTATCAAAGAATACATGAAATTTTCAAGAATCTTAAAAACAATTGCATGAAATAATAATTCAGTTCATAGCCATAATAATAAAGCCAGATGTAATCTAGATACAATGTGGTAGTAGATGATGAGATGGATCTATTCATATCAGTTCAGGGACACAGCAGCCCTCATCTTGTTAAACAATAAAAGAAGACTTAGGATCATGAAGAAGAAGTAGATTTAATAACCAAGAAAATAAAGATTGATTGAATTGAAAAATATAACATAGAACAACATAAAATAATCTATATATATATATATATTTATGCACTATTTGATGCAATCATTAAATTGAACATTTTCCGCTTGCATCAGCATTGTCATTCGAATTACTCTTTCTTTGAGTTCCAGTTTAAGTCTTAGCTGGTCCTGAAGTTTGAGATGTTTATTGTGGGAATTTCTTTTTCATGGCTTGTTTAATGGCTTCTAAAAATATTTATTTTATATTGGTTCCATTAAGTGCACTGCATTCAATGTACTTGCATCCCAGATCTGAAACCACTTTTTAGGCTATGTTAAAGGTAACAAATTTATTCTCATTAACATTTTCTGTTGGTCTCATATCAATTTTATTTCCTATAAATATCTTGGGAGCATTAGGTTGATCTGCTTGCAATTCAGGATACCACTAATACAATTGATAAAATTCGGTTACTTTTTTAATCGCATTTTAAAATGAACTTGGCTCATCTACTGAAAATGTAATTAAAAACACATCGCTTTAAGGATAACTGATAGATCTCAATTATTTATATTCCTCTTGTCCTGCTGTATCCCTTCGTTATTAATATAATTTTAGAATACCATAAATTAAGGTTTACCATTTTGTTCTCATATAACACTTATGCACAATAATTCTCAAAAATAGTTGGTACATAATCAGTCGGAAATTTGTCCTCAGTGTATCTATTATTAGTCCTCTCCTATTTACCTTATCAATATGCATGTCTTCCCAACACTACCATCACCCACAATGACTAATTTGATAGAAATCGCTGAATTGGCTTAATTATTATTCATTTAATATTATTTATATTACACAAATAAATTTTCTCATACCCAAGTCTAAATTGTCTATCTTACGTTAACTTTACTCTCTCACTACACTGCCCTTGTTCACTCAATCTAACCCAAACTCCATTTCTACTACCCATGTCTTCCAAAATCAACCCATCATTCGTGTAACTAAATTAGGCATGAACACCAGACAAATGCTAACTCCATATATATCATAATTACCGTATCCATCCTAAATTGATCTAACTATCTGCCAAACTTCAGACAATTCTGATTCTTAACTAATTAGAACGAGAACTTTTAATTCTTCTGTACTCCCTCAATCACTCTCAATACAACATCGCATTATTGATTACTGCCATTCATCTACTCTATTTTGTATTGCATGCTTCCCATATGTAAGATCAATCCCAATCTCATCAATGAAGGTTGCATCAACAATACGAAAGTCCCAGAAGTGCTACCAGTATCTTTCAAATAAAAGTTCTTTGTCTTCTGATCAAATTCAATCTGACAATGATTTCTACTCACATAATCTTCACCCAACACTAAAGTATTCTCTGGGTTTCTTCCTATACTAAGTCCCTTTTCTGACACACTCACTTTCTAATTATCACCTATGCAAACCAGTTCCATAGTATGCATGGATTCTGTCTACTTAATTTGGTTTGGGTAGGATGGAATCTTAGTGGCTTCTAGATTTTGTTTTGGCTACTTTAATATCTGAGGGGCTTCGACTACTTTCATTGATTCTACCAATTCAACCTTGTGATTATCTTGGAAGCTATCTCTTCTTGGTTTGAAGTCATTCAATCTTTAGATTGGAGTATAGTCAAGATTTTCCTTGTTTACAATCTGTTTGCTTGCAATTGACCATTCACTTTAACCGACATTATTTCTAACAAATTATTTATATTCGATGAATCCATTTTGAATCCATTATAAAATCTTCTTCTTTTTCACATTTGAACTGATTCCCAATTCATTCAAATCGTCATCATTTAATACTTCCAAACAAGCCCCATCAATTGCATTTCTTTCTATTATATAAAATTATCAAGTATTACAAAAAACATCTGATAAATCCTGTAACCCAATAAATTCCAACCACGATTCAACATCACATTGAGTCCATCTGCGAGGTTCTTTGGGAATCACACTAAATAATTTCTGATAATCCATTAAATTTAAATTTAAATTATATATTTATAAATTAACAATCACAAGGTTTAATTATTCATCTTTCCCATGTTAATTTTCAATATATATATATATTATTTTTATTCTTCCTATTCCGCCACGATTATCTTTTATTTGTAGAGTCAAATCTACTAATATTTGTTATTATTATTAGCAATAATCTCAGGTAGATTTGTGATTTTCAAAGGGCTAAATTAATCTTAGTTTTTTCAAATTGAATTCTTCAAATTTAAATAGTTGGAGTAACACCTACAAACTCTTCTTTTTAATAAGAAATTTAATAAATTAGATTATATGATGAACCCTTTATTCTTATTTAATTATTTTATAATATTAAAAACAATTATATATTGGAATTCATTTACATTGTGAGACAAAGAATCAAATTTTAACTAAGTATTGACTTCAGAAACTAAAATGAAGTTTAATTCTTATTTGGGAATTAAACGCTATTATTTTCATTTTATTAATCTTGCATAATTAATAGACTCATAGAATAATAGATCATTTATTATTACACATCTGAATCAATAAATAATTTTCTATGAAGTAAATTTTATTTAATATGATAATAATATTAATTTGAAGATGATTAGTATTATAAGAGCAGTTAATTAGAATATTTAGTATAATAATCATAATTAATTCGAAATACTTAATCATCATTATCAATATAATTAAAGTTAATGATATTTTCAATTTTCAAATTTCGCTTTGGCACAATACAAACAAATTTCCCAAAGCTTTCATTCAAAGTGTTAGATTTTCAGACAATGAAGGAAAGAAATCCAACCCTTATTTCTGACTCTGATATTCAAACATTATGTAAGATGCATTCATTGAATTCAACATGGAAGATAGTAAATTATTTATAATAAATAGACTCCTCAAAAATTATATAGGGAAATCAAATTTAACAATTTTAAGGAAGCCTTTTCCTTTATGAATTAAGTAGCTATTTTTTCAGAGCAAATAGATCGTATTACAATATTCTAATCTTAGATCATCCTGATTGGGAAAATGTATATAACTTAGTTAAGATTAATCTGAATACTCATGATGTTGGAGGCATTTCAATTAAAGACATCTTCTTGGCTTACGCAATAGTAATAATTTGTGTTATTATTTAGGATACAATAGCAATGAATGTAAGAGTGAAATCCGCAGAATCAACCAACGACACTCGTATTTTGGAGGTAGCCAAAATTGCAGAATCTTGGAATTTAAATTTTGATCAATTCCATAGAATGATTGAAACAGATTCTAGATAAATATGAATATTGTATATGAATATGATGATTTCATTCTGACAACTTTTGATTGATGTATTCAATTAATCTATCGACGATATCGATTTCAGTTTATCTAAATTAGATTAGATAGATTACCTACTAACTTTTTGATTACTGTATTCTTGGTCTTCCAACTCGTTGATTCTAGTGGCATCTTATATATTTAATTAGGTGACTTCAACAATAGCATTGGAAATATTGATTAATCCATCTAATTCGTTTAATCTTGATTAGATCTCCTTGAGTCTGTTATTAGCAGTGGCCAAAGAGACTTATAAGGTTTGCTTTTCATTTCTCAAATCATCACCCAATCTACTGAGATTCTCAACTTGAGTCTTATGGTTGGCTTCTAATTAATCTTAACCTTCTTATAATGCAGTGATCAATCTAGCAACCAAACTCAAGACGTTGTTCAAGGTTTCTGGGTTGACTTTTGTTGTCATTTCAGCCAATCCTTCAATGATTGGTTGGAATAAGGTCAAAGAACTTTTCTTTGTGTGAGCTTCTAAGATCTCCTTGATCTTCTAAAAGTTCTCTTTGGTTTAAATCAAATTGCTCTTAGTGTCTTAACTAAATATTTAAATAACTCTGATACGTTAATTGAATTAATGATGCTCCTTCACCTCTTAAATTTAACAACAATCTTTGAGCTTCTTTGCAAGCAAGAATTGCATCACTATAGTCTTAAAATTTAGCTGCAAAATCTGTGTTCTCAGCATCTAATCTACTTTAAGCATCACCACTTCCTCTGCCATTTCTGTCTAATGCAGCTTAATCTATGAAATTATATTGTGTGAACAGTACCTTCTTTTACTCTTGTTTATAATGTGCTCAATTCATTGGTTAAACTTGATTATTCTTATCTTTGGTTATCAAGATCTTATTCAGCTTATTCAAGTGTGGCTTAGAGTTTGGCCAAATCAACTTAGCTTCTTCTTGTGAATGTTGCATTTTCTTAATCTTGTAATTATGTCAAGGCAATCAATTCATCCTTAATTTATTATAAGAGCTATTTTAATTCATTTAATGATCCTCCTGTTTTCATGTTGACACTCACTAAGTTAATCATAGATGAACCAAAGGGATGATCTCCATATCCTGAAAGTCTTTCTTTCAATTCAGAAACTGTGGTTGCCTAAATGCAGGCAATCAAAACAACAACCAACAAAGCTGATTTCATATATTATTAATAAAAAATCAAAAAACAGAAAAACGAATATTATCTCAATCACAAATATTACTTCACTCAAATCATTTTTTGAATCCTGAACTCTCCATTTTTCACTTAATCTCTCTTCTCCTTTTTTAATTACATCAATCTCAATCTACTTTTCACATTCCCTTATCTCATAACTTAAATATTTGAAATGATATTCTATCAAAATTAAAAGATACTGTAATGAATCATAGTGTTGTAATTTTAATAAAATAATAACGTAATCTATCAGAATCCAATAAGTTGTATTTAATCACTAATGTTGTTCAAATCTCAAAAATGTCTTCTTACTTACAATAAATTAATATTTAGATTAGAGCATAAAAATGATTTTAGTAATAAAATACTATGGAAAATTGAAGAGATTGCAAAGTTTTTAACTGAATTTTAACTAAATTCTAGTTTCTTAGAAATAGGTTTGAATATTAAAGATAGAATAATAATGAAAAGAATGTAAATTATATTATATGATATTATTTTATTTATTATCAATCATTACGCATAGGGGTTTGATAAGTGATGTATGGAGATTGATATCCTCCTCGCATAGCTGATTATTGAACACCTTCAAGATCATCCCAAACTCTTGTTGACATGCCTGGATGATGTTGTGGGGTTTTTCCAACTTGAAGATGGGAGTTTGAAGATTCGGATTTTATACATTCTAATGGAACTTTAACAACCAAATTTTTAGCTGACAATTAGATTGTGGCAACTCTACTGGTGACTTCTTGGACCATTCCTCTGTAAGATTACCATTGTCCTTTACGAATGGTAACCATCTGTCCTCTGAGATTTTTCCAATCTTCATTGGGCATTTGGGATATAGTGTTGGCACCAGGATCTGGCTTTTTGGAGGAAGAGACTAGACCACAATTGTTGGCTTTTTCTATGATTACTCCTTGGGTGTTGTCAAATTTGCCATTGAATAGGAATAAATAATCTCTATATACATGTAGGACAGTTGCTTTGTTATCTAAATGAAATTTGAATAATAAATACTTTTATAGAAACCATCCAATATGACTACTAGATCCTATTACCTGATGTCATTACCATACATATTTTTGACCACATTGTTTCTTGTGTTGATGGAGTTTCTGATAGCTAATTTATTGATATTTTTGATTTGATTGGTTAAATCGAGGACACTGACTTCGTTATTGCTGATATTGAGGATACATCCGATATCATTATCAATCAGACCGAACTTGACTAGATCGTTTCTCTTGAATCCTGGTTTCTGTTGTCCAGCTCCAGCATCTGGATTCTCTTCGATGTCCATTTTTTTAATAACATTTTTTTATGATTGGAGATCTGAAATCAAAGCATCAACAATTCTGCCAGCTTCAGTGGATATCTGAGCAGTCAAATCATCCATTTTGATAATGGTACCACTTAATCCAGTGTTGGGTCCAGAGACAATGGAAACTTATTGATAAAGTTTGAAGGCCAATTTTGCTTCACTGATATCTAGTTTATATTCATAGTTCCTTTTCTCATTATTATTCTTATTTTTAACAGTCTTGCTAATAATGAGTTTGTTCTCATCTTATAGGATTTATGAAACCTTGTATCTGGAGGATTTAGCTTGATCGTGAGTGAGAGTGATGTAATCTCCGATTTGAATTTGGGACTTTTGTTCAACCACTTACTTCAAACTGGAATGAAGTTTCTAGAGGATCAACCTATAATCCTGGACATCGGGATAGAAGTATTACAAGTCTTCTACAGTGGGTTTGATATTGCCAGTAAGAACCTGATGAACTGGAAGAGTGATGATTTCAAATCCATCCTTTTTAGCAGATGTCCATTCATCTCTAATGGTAGTATAGAAGAATTGGGAAGTAGGTTCGTCATTGTCATCATTAATGGATTTCTTGGTCATCTAAATAGGTATTTTAGGACCACGAATGTATTTCCTTTGTTCTTGAAGATACTTGGCTCTTTTTAAGAACTTGAATTTGCTGCCTCTTTAGAAAGGCTCATTGTCTTCAATGGGTGGTTCACCTTCTTCTTCTTTCATTTGGAAGCGAGATTGATCTGCATTGGCATTATTCTTTTTGGAATTCTTCTTTTTATTTTCTTCCTCTTCTTCAAGAGATTTCATTAGTAATTTTTGTCTGGGAACTACTTTGAGTTTGATAAGTTTTCTCTCTTGATCCACTTACATGACTCTAGCAAGATCTCCAGAGTAAATGTTGTGTTGTCTAACTCTGACCCATTGGCCTTCTTCAATGTCTATTTATTCGACTTCAGCAGGCTTGAACATGTTTGGACATTGTTCAGATTCAACCAATTCAGGTGGACATTGTCTAACAATAGTCAGACCCTCGATGGCTCTCATGACATGTTGTTCAAAATTGGCTTCGATGAAAATGGCTGCTGGGAATTTTTTGAGTGCAAAGACTGATACAATTTCAAGTGGATTGGTGTCTATCAAGTGATTATGCTTAAACATGATCGATGTCACAGCCTCTTGTTCTTTGCCCTTATTACATGAAACACGCCAAAACTTTACTATAAATGATTAAATACTTTGGGGTCTCTGAGACCTGGTTTTTCAATTTCATCTTCTGATTTGTCCACATCATCCCCAATTTATATATCTTAATCTCCATCTTGATATCTTTCCTCGATTTGCTTAACAACATCTCTGTGATGTTTTCTCTTGAGGGCCAATTCGTTGTACATCTGCTCTTGCTTTCCCTTCGTAATTTCCCCTACTGAATTGTCATCTGACTCGTTGTCTGATGTTTCAGACGCTTCTGTGTCTATGAACTTTTGCTTATTCAATCTTGTCTTCTTCTAGTTCTTTTGTTTCTTGAGTAATTTCTTGCTCTTCGACTACTTGAATTATTCTGACTCTGAAGAATCAGGAAGGTCTTCAATTGAATCAATAGAAGACTGACTTTTGTCATCCTAATCACTTCGATAATCGTCATTTTTTTAGCTCATTAATTAAATTAATTAATCAAAAATATATTTACGACCTTTGAAGTCTCATTATTTGGAGGTTTTTAACAATCCCTAATGTATTTAAAAGTTTCGGAAGTCTCATTATTCAAAGGTATTTGCCAGCATCTAATGTCCTTAAAAATTTTGAATTCTCATTATTTGGAGGTTTTTAGCATTCTCTAATGTATTTAAATATTTGAAGTCTCATTATTCACAGGTTTTTACCAATTACTAATGTATTTTTAATTTTCATGGAGTCTCACTATTTGAAGGTATTTAACCCCCTCCCTCACCAGAGATACACTCAGAATAAGAAACCATTGTTATATCTTAAATCTTCAACACATTTATCACATTTATCACATAAATATTAATAATCTCACATCCCTTTTTCCAATCCTTAATAACATGTATTTATCATGCAACAATTAAGCCTACTCCAACTACTCCACCTTCTAATCATTAATTAGTATTCCCCCTTATTGCAATAATCTCCGAATCTCTGATTTCGATGATCTCAATTTTAATAACACCTCCATCAATTATGTCTACTTAGCTACTCTTATCACTACATCCTTATCGATCTCTTCTGCCAACCTATCAAACTCCTATGCACTCATATTCATCAACCGATCCCTCCTTAACCCATATAGTATCTAGTTCTTCTCAGCAGAACTCTCCTCTCCATAAATCATCCTCAATAATTCATCACTCAAACATTTCTAAGCCACTCTCTTCTCTGGACTCTACTTGTGCTATTCCATTACACTATCAATCTGCTCCTCCTTTAAGAATGTCAACATCAGTAAGAAATCTCTCATTGAATCGTCCGCTAAATTCAACAAATACTATTTCATATTGTGCTTTGAACTCGCATCCAAAAACAATGCATTCCCTTCACTCTTCCCAAACTTCTACCCATTCTTATCTGTCAACAAAGGAGTAGTAATCCCATACACTTGCTTCTTGTATTCCTTCTTTACGAAATCACAGCCATTAGTAATATTACCCCACTAATCACTCCCTCCTATTTACAAAGTGCAATCGTATTTCTCATTTAAATATGCGAAGTCGTAACTTTGTAAAATTGTATAGAAGAATTCAGTCAACGACAAACCATCATCACCGCTGTTCAATCTCTTGTTTATGTGATCTTTGTTTAATAGACTGTTCATTCTGAATTATCTTCCCACTTTAGAAACGAAATCAATCAACTTTGTCTCTCTATAAAAATCCATATTGTCCAGGATTTACAGTGGTTGTCCTATCTTGGCATGATTAGCAATGTTCCCGTACACACTTTCCAATTATTTCCTAATTTTCTCTAAATTCTCATGGATCACAACCAAATCCGGCTCCTTTCGTTCTTCCATCTTAAAACTGGGGTCACCCAATTACACAGTGGCTCCTCCTACTATGGCTATGGGTTTGAAGCCTAATTAAGCAAGACGTGCCAAATTCAGGATCGACACCAAGTTGCCCAAATGCAATGAATGAGCTGTAGGGTCGAATCCACAATAGACACTCCCTGACACTGGGATGCTAGGGGCTGTTGCTTAATAGAGTAGTTTGCGAGCTGTTAGAGCACTCAGAACTGAACATTAATAGTATTAAGGCCTGATTCTTGATAGCATGTTAAAATATCAATTTGGTTAGAAAATTGGAGAGGGCACTTTTGCGTAGGTCTATATTGGGGCTTGCAATGACGAATAGGTATGCAGATAGTAACATAGCATCAGGTGGCCATTAAGGTGCTCCAGAAGGAATCTCTTAAGACTGATCGAGACAAATTTAGGGTGAATAAGGAAATCGAATTACTAAACAAGGTCAATCATCCAAACATCGTTAAGATGAAGGAGGTAAGGAATCATACTTAGAGTGTAGATAGTAGAGGATGAAGAGTCCATATATTTGATAACTGAGTATGTTTCTGGCGGGGAGTTGTTCGATTACATTGTGGAGTAGTAGAGGTAAATTCTATATTAAGGTAGACTTTCAAATGGAGAGGCAAGACACGTGATTAAGTAATTGGTAAACGCAATTGAATATTTGCATGGTTTGGGTATCATTCACAGAGACCTTAAGCCAGAAAACATTCTAATGCGAGATAATGGAGATATTTGTTTGATAGATTTTGGACTTTCAATGGAGGTCGCAAGAGGATAGCTATTAGTAACTCCTTGTGGAAGTCCTTGCTATGCTGCTCCTGAGATGTTAGAAGGCAAAAATTATGATGGCACAAAGACAGACATTTGGAGTTGTGGTGTCATTCTTTATGCTATGCTCTGTGGCTACTTGCCTTTTGATGAAGAGAACACTCAAGTAATATCTTATAGATTACATTTCAGGATCTGTATGACAAGATTAAACTGTGTCAATACAAAATTCCCAATTCTTTACACAAAGATGCCAAGGATCTGATCAGCAAGATCCTCACCTATGAGGATTAGAGAATCAATATGGAATAGATCAAGGCACATCCATTCTTTTAGGATGACAATGAGGAGGAGGAGGAGGAGAATAACAATGAATTGTCCATCGAATAAATTGAATAGCCTATCCAAGGTTAAGAGGATCTTGAAGACCAAATTTAATAAGCCTCCTTTATCCAGTCTCAACCTCAGGAAGAAGAGACTATCGAATATGTCCAGCCTATCTTGGAAGTGTAAAACAGACCGAGAGGTCATACATTAAAAAGAGAATCTATAATGAACGAATTGGAAGTCAACATTAATACGATATAGCCTAAGAACAAGTTTGAGCTGCCTCTTCAATTTAAGGAGAAGAGGAATCTTAAGACCATTGAAGAAGCATTTTAGATAATTCAAGAATCCTCAAGACAAAAGGATAGAAAAGTTACAGAGGAATAGCAACAATCGCAAATTTAATTGCCTTATAAACCAGCGATGAAAATCAACACAAATAAACCATATACTAAAATTAAGTATGTACAAACTATTAGATATCGTTATTGATGTGTTTGTTATTAATATCAATGCAATTTTAGAACAAGAATTGTTACTAATACTCCTACAAGAATGATTGCACAAACAGCTAAAACAATCCATTTCTTAGTTGTCGACTTCTATGAATCTTAGGCTTTGTCTAATTCAACAATGGCACCCTTTATGTTCTAATCTGCAGTTTTTTGGTTGACATCAATGATATCAAGAATTTCTTCTGCTTTGTTGACCTCAAAAGCCAATTCTCCCACTAATTTATTAAGCATTTGGGCTTCACGATCCTATTTAATTTAAATTGAATACAATTCTTTGAATCTCTTCCTCTCTCTCTCTTATCATCTGATTATCAACATCATATTAATCATGCATCAATTACTCTTACAATTCATCAGCAGGTTTTGGTTTAGGGTCATTCCACTTAGCTTACGAGTTCATGGCTATAGTCTTTCTTTTCATTTGCAATTTTTGTTCCACTTGCTTGCACACTTAGGTAAATTTGTCGATCTCTTTTTTGTAGAATTACTTGATTTGTTTCATTCTTTAATAGCTAAAATCGAGTGATACTTCTGTTGACGACCTGATAGATGTCCCGTGTTATTGTCAAGTCTTTGCATGTTATTTTGGAGTTGTTTAAGTAGGTTTTGTATCTGATCTTGCAAATCAATGACGTCTTGGCCAATACTAGAATTATTAACATCTTTATGATCTTGATCAAATTATTCCACATTATCGTGCAATTCAGTCAATTATGATTAAACTTGCTAATATTTTGAATTATATTACTTCAACTAGTTTATTAAATGTGCTGTCCTCCATTATTAATAATAAATTAAATGAATAATAATTAGAACTAGCCTCCAACAATATCAAGAATCATCCCTCCTCCCTTTGCCAATTAATAATAGGCTCTCCAGATTGAGAATGTCTCTCTCAAGACCCAAGTTTAGAAGTTATAAGATTAGTTGAAAGACGCCAATGTGAAGAACACTTAACTTTAACACCAAAATTAAGAACTATAAAGTACTAACCAATCCTTGTTAACCCAATTAAATCAAAAAAATTAGAATTCTATAATCAATTAGTTACAATTTACTTTATATTTTAATAGAAATTCGAATGAAAATTAAATATTAAAAGATAAATGTATAGAACTACAATTGCACAACCAAGATTTGCTATAGAAAATAACCTAGTTAAGTAAAGAGAAGCAGGAGAAGCAGTTCGTTGAGATAAAGGTAGTAATCACACCTAAATCTAAGTCCTATTTACAATATTCTCCAAAAGTTTAGGAAGAGACCATCTGCTTGAAGTGGACCCAGAAAATAGCGAACTTACAAATCAAATACAAAAGTAAAGGCAAAGCTGTTGAGTTTGAAGGCTATGGAGAGATATAAAATAAAAATGTCATTTTCTAATGCCAATGTGATTTGTCCAAGATGCCTGTAGATAATTAAGAACCGCGGATAATATTAAAAGAGTGTGAGTTACATTTAATTTATCAAATTTGAAATTTGATTAAAAAAAATTAATTTTTTAATTCTGGATGAATAGAATCATTAGATTTGGATTTGCTACTTACGAGTCATTGATACAGAAATTAAGCAGTGCTGATGGTCCCACAACTATTTTACAAATATTCTAACAAAACAAAGATTTATTTAAGCAAGAACATGTGGTGCTCTCTTTGAGAATGTTGGGTAGATATAGTAGATAATTGACACACGATAACAGCTATTCTGAATTAACTTCTAAGTTAAATGATATTGTGGATCAGTTGACTGAATATGGTATATAATTGAGTATTCATAATTTAAGATGTTATCGATGTGTTGTTTTGGTTGAGGAAATTTAGATAAAATAAAATACCCACCAATTTCCAATAATAGGCTTAAATCAGATTGTTCTAGAGAATCCAATAGATGTCAGAGAATGAAATGTTCTCCTTCAGAAATATGTGTAATGTCTATTTCGACTTATCACTCCTTAATCATTCAAATGACCAATTAGCAAAATCAATATCTGAATAGCTCCTCACCACCAAATAGCTATCCCCATTCTTAATCATCCAACTCTTCAGTTCCTTGGTGGTCAAGATAAACAATTGCTAGCTCTCCAAAAATGATAATTAAGTCCTTACCAACTCAGTTAAAGTAGTGGAAGGTCTCTTGGAAGAATTAGACGTTGAGCAGGTATAATTCTCTTTGTATTTAGAAATCATTACTCTTCAAAAATCTAGCTGAAATACAATTTCAAAACATCGGACCCAAATTTTAAATCCCCAGTCTAGTAAAGCAAGTCAAGGAACTCTTACTATAGAAGATCGAATTATTACAGGAGGACTCTGTCCTTAATATCTTTAAGGCCTATGCAAGTCTACCAAGATATTTTGAAAATGACCTTATCAAAGAATTGAGAGATATGATAGTAACAACAATTGAACAGAACCCTAACAATTTATCATCAAAATTCTTAGTACATCTGATTGAAAGAATTATAAACAATCAAATTACCAAATTCCCTTAAGAAATGATGAGGAAAATCATTAAAGAGTTGGCAGCAAGAATTCAAAAGAAGGAAGTTGAACCTCAACTCATAAGTTAATTATCCAATAGTCTTTTGAATTCCAAAAAGTATGATGATTTGACAGCAGCTATAAAAGAAAGTGGAGAAACTAACGTTAAAGTTCTCAGTTATTTATATGTAAGTGGACAAAACATGAAGGAGTACGTCGATTAATATGTTTTGAACTCAGAATCAAAGAGAATCAACATTTACAATGCTTTACATTACTTAATCTTCGCTCATAGAGATGCTTAAGAACATGTAGAAAAATTCATGAGCATCTGCAAATCATTAATTAAATAAAATCCACAAAATCTATTAAAAACAATCCTTGAAATCAAGGTCGTTTCTACAATCAAGTCTTAAATACAAGAGGAAGCATTTATGTAGCTCATTGAAGATATCAAATCCAAAAAGAATGATCTCTATAAAGTGCTCAAGGAATTGTTGAATTCTTGCATCAATCACAAATGTAAATCAGCTTTATTGCAATTATGTGAACAACAAGATACCAAGAATTTAGGAAGAGTAATCTTAAACAAAGTTATTGGTGATTTAGAAGAATTTGATTCTGACAAATTATCCATCATTTTACAATTGCTACAAAAGGATCCAAGTGGTATTCCACTTTTCAAATTTGTTGATTATTTAACTTTGAGCATTTCAAACTTATAAGGATTATTGAGAAGCGATCAAATCTAATGGGTTTGTTAGGTTATATTGAATGCCTACTAAAATTAATCAACATCCAGATTGAATGTAATTGTCAACTTTGCATAAAGATTTGAAAGTGCTGGTTACACAAGCAAATCCGTTACTTAATTGATTAAAAAAGTATCTGAGATTTACAGAGCAGCCAATCCTAATACTCCATATCCAGATTCAATCTTTGTTTAAATGTTGATTGATTAGAATATTCTTACACCTGAAGATGCTGTCATTTAGTTGAATAATGAAAGATCTTATCAATTTTTGAAAATTTAGTTATGTGGTGTTGCATTGACCTTAGAGAATCCTCCAGAGAATGTAATTTAATTAAGTGAGAAAATTAAAGCTGATTGCTAATTAGATTCTGAAGATATCAAAATAAAATAAATATAAGAAATCTCATGTTTATTCAAATTGACTCAAGATGAAATCGATAAAATTAGACTTCAAATCAAGACTTTAGCATCTAAAATGACATCTAGATAATACTATGAGTTGGTAATGTATTCCAAAGAAGTTGCAATCATCAAAGAATTAGCATTCCAATTCCCATCCTTTAATACCAAATTAGGGTTTATTAAAACTTTAAAGATTGTTGAAAAGTTCTAAAAATATCATCTATCAAATCAAATGATCTATAACATACTTTTAGAGTAATATGGGTAATCCTTCAATAGCATTTATAATGAATTGAGAATCCAACTCCTCTTAGTATTGTAAATTGGTAAACTTAAACAAGTCGATGTATTTTCTAAAACTCTTGAGAAGATTAATAAATCCCCTCAAGCATACAAACCCTTCCTTTATGATCTTTTAGAAAGTGTCATCTAATTGGGCATGACTGAAAATGAAATCTTAACACAAGTTAAAATTTTGAGTGAAAAAGTAAATCTAAGCAACACATAAAAATTGAAAGTGATTCACTATTATGTTATGGCTGGACGACCTCTCGAGGAAATCGAGATATTAGCATAGAACTTTGAAAACTTCAAAACCAAAGATACATATAGAATTAATTTAATCTATGAAATTTTGAAGAGAGAATACCCAGATTCGAAAGTAACATAACTTCATGAAACCTTAACCAAAGAAGAGAAAACAACAATTTCTTTCAAAAAAAGTCAATTTTCTATTGAGTATATCCAAACTCTCTTGCAGGCAGTAGGAGTGCAAGTTGAGATTAACCATCAAATAGAAAAAATTCAAATTGAAATTTATCTACCTTAAACGTACTATCTATATTCTATTTCTAATTAGTCAATAATCAGTCCTAATCCTTTCAGGATACAACTTAAATTATGACAAGCAATCATTGACAGGCTAAGGCATTTTGTAAAAGAAGTTACTATCACTTATTACAAAGCAGGTTTGTATTGTCAATTTTAAAGAATTAATTGATATAACAAATTATGAAGAGAAAGTTAAATATTTATAAAACTCAGGTATTTTAATGTATTAAGCTTTAGGAATTCAAATCACTGTAGATCCAGCATAAGCTGATTATACTGCTCTCAAGCAATTAGAAAAGAGAGAGAGCTAGAAAAAACAAAATAATAATAGAAATTAATAAAATCAACAACATGAATTAGATGAAACATAAGAACAAATAGAAGTCCCCTAATGAGTTCTTTAATATTTCTATTAAATATTAATAAAATATAAACAAATTCTATTATAATCTCCTTAATCAAGTTCGATATAAATTTTGAATGGCAATCATTTTCGGAATAATTATATTTCTTTGTAATAAATCGAAGTCTTTTTATTATATACTATATTTTGATTGGCAATAATACATTCTAAGTGCATATCATGAATATTTCTTAGCAGTTTCGTTTACAATTATATTTTGGCTATTGGCTTGTCTTATCAATTTAATAATATTAATTAATTCACAGAAATGAATTAAAGTTTGACTGTAATGGAAAAGGTTGAACAAGATAAGATGGAGAATCCGTAAGCGTGGATTAAAGACAATATATTGAATTCACTTTCTGGGAAATAGTGGAGATAGAATTACTTGCAAAGATTGGGAATAAAGCAAGTTTAAGAGAAGGAGAATTCAACTAAGGAATTTCAATTAAACTATGTAATAAGAACGAATGAGGATGTTCGTAACAACTACATCCAGAAACTTATGAATAATAAATTGATGTAATAATAAAAGAAGCATCAAACTTGTAATACTTTTATATCATTTAGTGACCATATTTGATTGGGATGACACCTTGTTGTGCACCACCTTCTTAGGAGGATATGGCTTTGTTGATTTACCCATAGATGTGTTGGAATAGTTGACTGCATTGAATGAGAGCGCTGTAATTTAAATAAACATATAAAGAGTAGATTGTTAGAAAAAGCTTCTTAAGTAGGGGATGTCTTTATAATTACAAATGCTGCTTAGGGTTGGGTTGAATATAGTAGCAAATTGTAGATATTATAATTTAAGTAGATATATGAATAAGGTGTTTTAAGTCATCTTTGACAAAAAAATTGTTGTTATCTCTGCAAGACATGGATATGAAGAAATGTTTCCAGGGGATTGTGGCAAATGGAAGATCGAGGCCTTTAAAGATATAAGATCTAAGTATGAAAATGATGTGTTCACCAATCTAATCTGTTTGGGGGATTCAAACATTGAAATTGATGCAGCCCACGTGTTAGCCAAGTTTAAATCTAAAATATCTTAGGGAATTCACTGTTGCATTAATAAAGACCATCAAATTCAGGGAGTGTCCAAAACCTGAAGAGTTGGTCAGGTAGTTAGATTTAGTATCTGATAAATTCGAGTAAATTTATACTACTTTCAAGAGTTTAACCATACGGTTAGAGAAGTAATTATCTATTTAAATTGTAGGAAATCTTCTGGTAGTTGATGGATTTTATTTTATTAAATATAAATATCTGACATTTAACCTTTATCATCTTATCTTTCTAAGATTTTGTATCCAATAGAAATTAAATTATGTTTATTAAATATCCATATATTGATATATATATAGACATTCAAATTTGTTACTTAATGGGGACATTGTTATTTAATCAACATTCATAAGAACTTGAATGTTGTACAGGATCTGTATCTTAAATAACCTTAGTCAATGGTTCAATGAACTCTGGTGATAATTATGAAACAGTGGGGTGCTTAAACACCTCAGTCAACAATTATCTTAGAGTCTCATTTTCATTTTCAATCACTTTAACCTAATTATAGAATTGAATATATACTTTTTTCTGCAATTCTTCATAGGCATCCTGAAGTGGACCTATCTTTTCAAGAGCTTCTCTTTTCTTTCTTTAGGATTCTTTAGCCGAATTCCTATTTCTTCTGATGCATTGACACTTTTTGCAATTGCATTCATCTTCTCCATTATACACACATTTATTTTTCAATTTCTCAATCATCTTAAGATAATAATTGGAACTATTCTTGACCTAGGTGTTCTCATTATATCTATCTTATTGTATCATGTCAATCATGTGACTCTCAATTTGTAATAACATAGGTAGAATGTATAGGATTGAACAATTCATCTATTTGTGAATTCTTTAAGTTCGAATATTGAATTCGTTCAAATCAATTTCATCATTATTTTCCTCAAAATACACACTAGTGGCCTTTCTAAGAAAGTCTTGAGTAGTAGCTTTGAAGCTTCCCATGATTAAGAGATACTAATGATTAATGTGTTTAAATACTTCTTGGAAAATGGAATCGTTGTGCATCTAGGCTGTTTGTTTGACCGTGTTTTCAACGACATCAAAAATCAAATTGGACTTTTTGAAGAAGTTGTTCATATTGACAGTGTATTGATTGAATTGGACTAAGAATTAATCTTTGTTCAATTTCTATTGTTATTAGCTAAGCATCTTGAAAATGAAAGTGCCCCAAACATCTTCAGGTACCTTCTTGATCATAGAATTAAGTTGATTGAAACTCAGTTATTGACTCACTTATTGGTTTGTAGATATCGAATACTAATAAAGAGTGTTAAAGAAAATGTCACAAAAGTCATCTCTAAATATTAGGAATTTGGAAAGGTATGGAGTACCTAATATTTACATTTAAATCTTGATTACCTTTGTCATATTATACAAGTTATGATCTCAATAATAGAGAGAGGGTTTAAAACAAAGAACTACTCATTGTAATTTTGGTTGGTTAGGCAATGAATTAAGTCTTAAGCAAGGCTATTTGTTCTGTTTCCCCCTATATTTGATCCAATCCATGAATGATCAAATTACCCAATACATTCAAAAAGTAGGGCAGGTGATATTCAATACAGTTTTTGATTGTTACAACTTACTTTCTCAACACTTATTATTAAAAGTATTAGGTAACTCTATTTTGAATGTCAATTAGAGACCAAGCTTTTCTAAAAAATAAATATTTATTATTACTTTTCAATAAGGTTGTTAGGCGAGTAGGACATTAGCGATAGCAGTTGCTGCTATTTCAGAATCTAATGTATTTATTATAATAATGTACCTCGTTACTTTACTTTTGGACTTGTTCTTCTTACTTCACCTTTTCTTGCTCTTAGTGCTTGATGATTGCCTACAGGTAAAGCTATTGCAAAGGATTCATAGCTATTTAAATTTATTTTTGAATCTTGATTTGAGCAATTGCTTTAATTTACAAATCATACGTAATATTTCTCATATAGAGTTAATTACATTCAAACAAAAAATTGGAGTTAATTAATGAAAAATACACCGTCATCTTTGCATTGCCTAATTTAGCAAACATCAAAATAAATATGAACTATTTATTTAATGACTTAATATTTCTTGAGGTTGTACAAATTATATTAAATTTCAAAAATAAGAAATATCTTTATCAAATATCATAATCATAATCAAATTATTTCGTTGTTTAATTGCAACACGAATAAGTTCCATCACGTATAAAATGACCACGAAAATATTTCTTCTGCTTTACCTTCTTTTTCGTCTCTATGAACTCTGTCGGAACCTTCTGACTCTTTATTTTGTTCTCCTCCTTCAATTCAACTAGATTCATCACAAACGTCTCCTGTTCATTCTATGGCTCTTTCGCTTTTGAAGGTTTTAACAACACACTAAATTGATTCTAGTCTAAATCATTTGACTCATTAAATAATTTAAATTTAACAGTATAGTCATGCTCTTGAAATAGCAATCTGTATAAAGACGATTCCTGATTTTTCTTAATCGTCCTAGCCAACATAGGATGCTATGTAAGTTATTCATCTTTACAAATCTTAGTCACATTTATTTTCCTAAGTTCCTCAAAGTAATGCGCATAACAATGGATCTTCTTGTACATTCTTCGCGTTATCATTTGACTAAATAAACCATATACCTCTGTTCTGCTTTTTACATCAAAATTCAAAGCATACAAGTACAGTAATTACTAAAAAACACTGGCACATTTATAAAAATCCATTATTATAAAATCATCTTAGTAGTCCTTTAAATCGCAATCTAAAATCTTAAGCATATAGAACGCTGATCTGGGTGGTATGTATTAGCATTTTGAATAGAATTCAGTCTACGCCCAAGACTTGTTTCTTGATGGCAAAAATACGTCTCTCATATATTTTAATCCTTATCTTAACCATCCTTTAATATATGATGTATATCTTGAAATATAAATATGTATCCCGGTTCTTTATTCAAATTACTTACTACCTGCTCTTGAATTACCTCTACTCTATATTGCAGATTCAAATAACTCCACCAATTATTCTCTTGTAAATTGTTCATCATATTATGTAAATGAAATGTAGAGTCTCTTTAATTCATAAGCTTTTCTCACTCTTACTCCAACTTAACTTTCATAGATTCTAGCCACTTAACTCCAACTTGTACAATTGATTCCTCCATGTAAGTTCACAATTTCTATTAGTTGTTTATCTGATGGCTTTAATTTTCCTTATATTTTTAAACCTACCTGTGGTCTCATACTTATTAATAATATACATTTTATGGTGGATTTCTCCAAGCTTTAATTATTTATCCTTTGAAAATTTATCAAATTGGATGGTAATTTTTATAAATTTTCAGATTGTTTGATTATATTATGTCTTGAAAAATCAATTTATATCTTCGAATTCTTTAAATTATATTGAAATCTGAATGAAATAAAAATTACTCATCATTAACACTGTTTATACTTTATAAATACTTTTATATTACAAATATTTTATTAATTCAATTTATAAAGTAATATTTAGTAATTGCTTCACCTAAATCAATATGTAAAATGAATAATTAACATCATTCTATGTATTAAAATAATAAAGTTAGACACAATAAATAAAAAGCAATAGTTTTCAAACTATTTTATCTAACAATATAAAATTAAATTAATTAAACTATACTGTTGATTTTAAACATATTTATATTTATAGCGATCATTTTCAATTATTTCAACAGTTTTATTGATTTACCATATTCTTTAGAGTTTAGATATCTTTCCTTTATATCTTGAAAACTTTATTAAATGTTTTTATTTTTGATAGAATTTAGTGAGTTCAATTAATAGAATTCCATTTCAAACGTATTAAAAATTAACTAATACTCTGATTTGATTATTAATATATAAATTTTATTAAATTCAAAAAGGTATAATAGTATTAGAATAATAATAATATTTTGTACCTGTTTAATTTAATAATCAATTTTTGATAATTTAAGCAAACTTCTGTACTTATTTCGAATTATTAATAAATTAATAAATATCTGAATAAATAATAAACATATATAATATTTCATTTATCATTCTTTGAAGTTTTAAGAATAAATTATTCTACCTTTTTATTATCTTTGATGATATTCTTCTTTTTGAATATTTTTATTGTTAATTTTAATTTTACTATTAATTTTCTTAAGTTGATATTTTCTTGAAGTTTCAGAGGTTTTAGATTTAGCGATTTCACTCTAATAGAGAATAGAATGAAAAAGTATGTAATTTTATTGAGATTCTATTGGGATATACAGTGATTTTTTTTCAATTTAAAGAATCTCTTAGATTTGTTGGTCGTTTTTTAAACCAAAATATTTTTTTTTAACTACACAATTTTATGTAATTCCTTTGATTTGTCCTTCTTATTCAGGAATATCTTATTCGACTGAATTTTATTCTTATTTGATTGAATTACATGATGATCCCATAAATAAAAAAATTATTTAATTTTCAATTTGTGATGCTAAAATTTATAATATACATCTTTATATATTTTGCTACATATGATATCGGAAATATTATTTCAATAATTTAAGCATAGAATAATGATAAAAACTTTCAAAAGTGAATCTTGTCAAATTGAATCCAAATTTCCGAGATCAAGTAATTATAATTTTCTTATAAAATCATTTTCGGTTTGCTGTGTATGCAAATATCTAAATAAAATCAACAAGTATCATTTATAACTGCTTTGTTTTTAAGTTGTATCTGTGTGAAATGTTGTATAAATGTCGTTTTGATATTCATTCATTTTACGCCTCTTCAATAATTATTAGTCATCTCATATATTTCGAATTAATATTTTCTATTATTTCATTTATATATTCATTTCTCAGCAAGAAAGAAATTGAAGAAATACATTTACATTACAAAGCTCTCCTCAATCATGCTTTAAGCGTTCACTTTTCTGAAGATATAAGATTTTTATTTTGAGTATATAAATATGAACATTATCATTGTTATATTTGCCTCTCAAAATTAGAGGCATCATCTGGGGAAGTGCCTTCCGAATGATTGTTAGAGTTATAATGTTATAATCTCGTTATCCTCCTGCCTTATGATTATTATCCCTTAATTTCATTAATATATTTTTTTAGAAACTCATTTAAACTCTGTTTACCAATTTCATAAATATAAACCTTATTTTATATTTTTTAGACATTAGCATAATTCTAGAGAATTTCACTTACCACACAAGAGCAATTTTAAGGCTTACTTTCCTAATTGTCCTAATTGTCCTTATTTGATCCATTTTGATTCAAATATTAATTGGTACTAGTCTTTAATAATTTTTTGTCTGATTCATCTATATCATATTTATCTACTTCACAATAATTATCTAATTCATAAATAGTAGTATAATTTGCAACACTATTTTCAGATTTATGACCGATTAGAATAAGAAGGTTGTTACTGAATTATTGCTTACCATTTTATTATTAAGAAATAAGATCCTTAAAGAACTCTCGGATGCTTGGTTGATCATTTTTTTTAACTAATTACTCGACATTCTCTACTACTAACCGCAAGGCTGTTTTACTCTTCTCACTACAGTTTTTGTTGGTTTCAAGCCAACAATTCAACAAATCCCTTTAGAGATTAACAAAATAACAATTGGATAAGAATGGCCTTGCTCTACTCCCTCCAATTATTTTATCGGAAAATCTAAAAAATGTTGCTTCACCTTATTTATCTTTTGAGAATTCCTTTGCTTTATTAGAGCAAGCGCACCCTACATCATTAAAGAAGAACTTTATTAGTGTAGAATAAAGAAATTATGCATAACCAATTATTCTATTCGAGTTCATTCGGAAAGCTCTAACCGTGCCTTAATAATTTTTAGATAATCCTCGAATTTGAGTTTTAGTATTTTCATCTAATTCTCCACCTTGTAAAACCTAAAAAATATTTTATAATTAATCTTCTAATGGGATTTCCTTTTAGGATGAATTTCGATCTTAATTGGAACCCCCTTGATCTTATAAATCCATTTATAAATTATTTTCATCTTCTTCGTCAAAATCGGTTTCATTTGTAGATATTTCAAAAACTTAGCTATATGTTATACCTATATCCTTTTTTTATTTAACTTCTTTTTATTGAACTTCTTAATTAACCTCATTTTCTGTTTTAGTTTCAGGTTTTGACTAATTTAAATCGTTGACATGGATTAATTTTAATATAGCGCATAGTATCTGAAAAATGTGTTTCAATTTCACTAGGTAATTGTCTGAAAATAACTTCTTCATAGTAGATATGAAACCATCCATATTATTTTTATCTTCATCCTTTTATTCTAAAAAAAGCATCATTTAATTATTCCAACATAATAATACATCTTAATATTGTTTTCTAAGGTCTTCTATAAGTACTTTTATATCCTTATCCTAAATATTTTATTAATTAATAAGATTTATCATATAGTAAAATATCTTAAATGTACTAAATTAATCAGATGCTTTTTAGTAAGGTGTTGGAATGACGAAGATTCCCTCTAATCCAAAAGATTAAATAGTAATTTCATTTAAATTAAATAACTGCAGGTAATAGCCAAAACAAAAATCATCAATTTAATTTTATTTTTTGCTGTTAAACACTCTCAAAGTTAGGAAAGGCATTATGAGCGATGTTACATATTCAATAACTTCAGCTAATTGCCTTAATGATTTAACTATAAATACTAATTCAGCTTTGTAAAACTCTTTTTTGATTACTCAATATTATCACTAAAGACTGGCTCTTTTTGATTAATCTCGTTTAAATTCAATTTTTTTTGTTCTTTCTTATTCATCTATTATTATTATTATTTCTGAAAAAATGTTCTAGTCTTCATATTTAAACAATAATTTCTACTATCTTATGCTAATAGAAAATGAATGAAAATTGATTTTATCAGAAAAATGTTTAGAATATAATAACGGAGATCTATTTATGATTTCATATAAGGAATTCACCCTCGGATTATATATTAATAATGTTAAGGGACTTTTATTTAAAAATAATTTTAAAAGCATCCAAGGGTAATAATTCTAAATGCTATATAATAATAATTAATCAAAATTAATATTACTAATCAATACTATTCAGGCTATTATTTGGTTAGCATGTATAGCCCTTCAATTTTTTTGATACAATGATTGTTTTGTTTTAGATTTCTTGTAATTTATGATTGTATTTTGGTAATACTGAAGGAGCTTCATAAATTCTACTTATAGAATAATAAAATTTTTAAGTTTACGTTTCAACCTATTAGTGATTCATGAAAACTGGTATTTTTTTTATAGTTTAAAAAGCTATCAGTTTGTTCTTAGGCCTTAGGGTAGATTTAAGGTAATTTTAAGCAATATATTTCTTTATTTTGGGATTAAGGAATTGTTTATAACTTAGAATACTCTGATGATAATGCACTATCTTTCAGTTTCTAATTTGATGAAAAATAACAATAAAAGGTGTTCCGAAGATTTTGATATTTCAGATTCAGTCAATAAAACATAAGAAATAGTATAAAATTAATTAAATAAATTCTCTGTTCTGACGGATGGAGGGATTAGTTAAATTACTGAGAGTTTTAAGTTTGAATTATATAAAATTAATTTTAATTCTATTAATAATATGATATTCAAGAACAAATTGAACCTGACCATGCTTTTCCTTACAATCTACATTAAACTTTATTTTTGTCTGCAGTAACTCCTAATCCCGTAGTTATATAATAATTAATTCCTGTATTAAGAGGTGTTACAGTGATACTACTTGAGGTACACTATTTAGCAACCATATTGCAAGTAAAGGTGACTCCAGTTTCTTAAGTGATTCCTGATTCTTGAACATTATTAAAAGGAAACTTGAATAGTTTAAGATTGGCAGCAACAACGGTTAATAATGGGTCAGTCCAAGTCCATGTGATAATTAATGGTTTGAAAGAAGTATCAAAAGTATTTTCACCTACATTATAAACTAGGGCTGGGGGGCTTCCAATGATTGGTCTTATACAGATGACATCTGAGTATGCATTTCTAATTCCAAACATTTCAGGAGGAAATGAATACACCATTACAAATCCATTTTAAGAATAAGCATATCCTGACCAATCGATTTTGGTTGTGTGTTGTTGTCCATTAATAGTGATTGAGTTTCTTGAGTAAGGAATGATGGCAAAGTTGATGATGTAGTAATTTGTTTAATAATAATTAGGTTAAAAGTTGACCATTCTAAATAAAGCAATGAGGGTAACTGACCATATTTTTTGGATTAAGTTATCTCTCATTGTATTTTATGGAGTGGTTTGTAAAACAATGAAATCCTAAGATTGATTTATTCATATACTCTCAGCATTTGTAATGATTAGTAAACAGTTCGTTCTAAATAGAAAGGGTGCGAATCTGGCATAGTTTGTAATGCAGTTGCCAGAGTTTTATACTAAGTTAAGATGGCTCCTAAATATGATTCAAAATTGGCAGCAGTAGGCAAACTCGTAAACGACGGCATGATTTTCCAAGGGTTTACTGTGTACAATTAGAAAATGGTTGCTGAATTTTATGTGGTCAGAGATGTTAATGTTGTTGTGCCATCACTTGCTTTATCATAATAGCCATCGGTGGTTTTGGTAAATCTTACAAAAGCATAATTTAGTTTGCCTTCAGATTTGTCACAACAAACATTATCATATTATAAACTGAATGTTTCCAGGGAATCGCAAAGAGTGGATGCACCTCCAGTAGGTAATCCAGAGCCTGTTCTACAAGCTGCAACTTCATCAATCATATAGCATGGAAGGGTTTAGCAAGTGCTATAAAGAGAATTAATTTATAAATTACGTTTCCCAATAACAATATCCAATTCCAGAAATTACACTTGAAGTGCAATCAGCGCTTATTAATCCTGTACAAGGAGTTTCTGCAACGTAGGTGTAAGCAGTGGATGATGTAATCAAATTTACGATTAATAAAATAGGAATTATCATAATAATATTATAGAAATATAAAATATTATTTTCTGATATTAATATTTATGTTCTTCATCAACATTTTGATAGTCTCTTATATGGTTCTGTAGATGCGATTGTTGCACAGTTGGAAATAGTATCATGATGGAATATCATCAATTTATCTATTGATGCAGCTGGAACTGGAAAAGTTGGGCATGTAGTGACTGTAGTAACAACATATGCACAAGTGACTGGAACTGCAACATTTGCAATTGGCGCAAAAGCAGCTGCAAATAATTTGTCAAATGATTAAGTATAGACTGCTGTGTAAGTAGCCGTATTCACCCAAGTGTATTTAATACTTACGGGAACATCTGTAGTTGTTTGGTCTGTACCGTCATCCTTAACTATTTTGATCCAAATTAAGTCAGACAATTGTTTTACACTAATAATTCCAAATTATTCTGGAGCCAATGTCATCACATATATGTATCCATTATTAGCATATGTTGCCCATGTGAATTCAATTTCGTAGGTCTTAGTAGTTATTACAAGTTTTTATCTATTTAAATCTGAAAATCCAAAATTTATGAAATCATAGTTTTAAACATAGTATGCTTTGTAGCTCCAATATCTCTAGAAGAGAATGTTCACTAAATCCCAAGCCTTAGATAACTAAGCAGATCTTGTAGCCAGTGTGTATGTAATATCATCCTATATTTAATAACAAAATATTTACCCTGATGCTCTAAAAGGTCTCAATCACAGCCTTTTCCAAGAACTTTGGTTATACTGCATCTGTAATCAATTAGTTGTATCCGTGATTGAAGGCATCTAATATTGCAGTCAACTAAGTCGGTGATGCTAAAAGAATGTCTAATGTAAATAATTAATAAGTGTATTTTTATGGTGTGGTTGTTGTTGTCAAAACTGAAACAGGGGTCTCTGATAATGTGATATCTGGTGATCTAGTTATGTTTGCTTACCTTCTAAATCGTAAAAGTCCATTTGGAACACTGGTTTCTGCTGTCTTCACACAAATATTTTCATATTTATAATCGATGTTAAAAGCTATACAATTAGCTATTGTATTGGCTGCTGGTGATAATAAGCATGCTTAGACTTCGCTAACTCTATAACAATCTGTAATGGTTTGGCAAGTGACTGGAGAATAACTACTGACTTAGCAATTTCCTGCCATCTTGCAAAGAGTTGCATTTGTAATCGAACTGCAAGTCTATAGAGTGAAGGCGGCCTTTATTATTTCTACTAAGGATAAACTTAATATAATGAATTGCATCATCTAATTAATTATATAAATTATATTTAATAATATATTTTCTTTCTAGCTCATGTACAATTACCTGTAGAATCAGTCCAATTACATTTACCAAGTCTACATTCTGACTAAGATCTCCCGCCACAATCATTTATGTTTTTATCACCGAATATATAAGCCCTTCTTCCTTACCCACTTAATGTTCCCCCACAACTTGAAAATGGTGAACAAACTATGCTAGTATTTGTTTTTTACATATTAGTTAGGTCTATCGAATGGAGAGTTTTCGAAAAAAATGCTTATTGGTTTCTATGATAAAATTGTAATTTTCTTTGATTTACTATTGTATAACCATTTAGATCTGATGCCCTTATCACTATGATATCAGAATGTATTGAATAAAATCCAAATTACTCAGCAGGCATAACCAATACTTCAAGATAACCAGGCTATACATACTCCCAAGTGATCTCAAATACTTAAAATTGAGTCTCCAATACTATTTTCTCTAATTTCAGATTAGCAAATCCAAAATTTATCAAATATTTATAAGAAATATACATATTGAGTTTTTATTTTCTGAGTTTTTAAAAGAAGGCATCAGTCATTCCCCATAAAGCCAAATGAAATTAAAATTTATTAAATGTAGTTGAAGTATATGAGATAGTTTCATCATCTCTTATTTATTGCATGCTCTCATAAATGGCTTTCTCCAAAAATGCTATAGGTATGTTGTCATCATTGCATAACTCATTTGATTGTTATAGATATCCATACATGATGTTTAAGAGATCATTATTTTTGGCCTTCAAAATATTTAATGTTAAAATTTCTGATTTAACCTGTGTTGGATACCTATTTGTAGATATTTTGGATATTTAAAAACCACTTGCCGTGGTGTAAGTAGAATTTTGAGTATTGTCTTGAGGGTAGACCAAGTATCCCCACATCAAAGTATCCTAATCATACTCAATACATAAATTTTAGAATTTGGGATCCAGATTTGGACTTATTTTACATCTTTAGTTCTAATATAAGTACCCTGATAGTTTTCCTGAACATGCTCTTGGTTCTGTCACTTTATGACATTCAAGTAGTTTACATACTCCAGATATCCAATCACAATAGCCTGAAGCGAAACAATTATTTTGATGATAGGTACTACAAGCTATCTAATACCCATCAACCACAATTCCGAATATGGCAATTAGTGTTAAGATTATTTTCATTTAATTTAGAAATCATTAATATAACATTTTATAAATAATATGAATACATTCTTTAATTAACCATAAAATCTTAATCCCCATATTGCGTATTTGATAACAATTGCATTACTATATAAATTGTTGGATTTATGCAAATTTACATTATTATAATTATTCTTATGATCTATTCAATTGCAAGAAACTCATTCTCAGCAATCTATTCGACAATTAAAGATGTCGTAGACTATTCAAGCACTACAATTTATGATATGTTTATTTCTCATCCCATAACTTCATTGACCTACGAGAAACTATGTGAAAGACTAACAGGATAATAATAAAGAATCCTGGACGTAGGAGTGGGCACTGGAGTTCCTTTGAATTAAGCTCTCAATAGATTCCCAATAAATTGTGAGATCACTGCCATCGATATCAATCATAACTATTTAAGAAAGGCAACCCAATTATTTAAAGACAAGCCTTAAGTAAAATTATACGAACTAGATTTCTACCAAATGAACTCAGAAACATATGGAACATTTGATGCTATTGTATTCTCTTCCTCATTTCTATTACTTAATTAACCAAAAGAGGCTCTTCAATTAGCCATCTCGTTACTTAAACCGGGTGGCAATATATATTTTATGGTTACTTTATCTGACTCCCATTTTGGTGATACACTAAAGTATATTACTAGTATAGATTTGCATTTGCAATCTGAAAAAGAATTTGAATAGATGATATAATAATCTCAGCTCAAAATCAATTACAAGTAACGATTACAAAAGGTAACAAACATAGCCACTCTGCTTTTTAAAGTTATTATTTATGAAACTAAAATATGATTTATTTTTTAATTATTTACTATTATATATATACTAAAGAATTTTTTAATAACAATTTATTTGCTAATAATATAATTTCTATTTTAATGAATTTATGATAATTAGGCTTCATATTATAAACCGATATAATTAAAATTATCATATTTGGGATGATTGCTCTAAGCCTTTTACAACTATTAAATCTCTTGCTTTTCTTGAGTTTATTTCAGATGATTTAAGCATTTCAGGGAGCATCTGAATGTTAAAATCTTATCTTAAAACCAAATGAAAAATTTTGCGAATTAAGAGATATGAATACATTTTTTATTGGTTAAGAAAGCGACAACTTAACCAATATTAACACAATATAAAAGCATGAAGACTTAGTCTAATTCTCTAGTGGACCAAACATATACTTAAAAGAAGATAAAATTATTTCTATATAGTTTAGAGCACTTATTGATGTGAATGAAATTTGTTCATTAATTTATAATCCAAAAATAAATAAGTATTCAATAAATCTTATTTCTACAGAAACAACTTATATCATCGATAATAAGATGAAACTAAACATTAAAAGTCAGGTTAATATCCTTTTACAAACAGAATCAGATTAAAATTGTACCTAGTTTTATTATAACACAAAAGGTTTGATTATATTTTGCCATTCTATTGATTAACTTATACTTTACTAACTATAAAAAGAAGGGTAAGAGTTCAAATAAACTATTAAACACCAATCAGAAATTCTTAATTTATCCTGCAATTTAAAATTTCAATAATTTTCTAATCAATTTTTTATAATATACTCTTAATGTAAAGAATGGATAATTTAAGTCTATGATGACAACTCTATCAAGCTATATTTAGATCAAAATATATTACGCGAAAACTATAATAGAGAGGGAATTCTTCTTGATGTTCTAACATGTTAAAATAATCTGTTCCTTCTACTTTCCACAGGTGGATATTAATTTTATAATCGATATTTTACAGATCTGTTTTAGTTTGAAAATATAAATTTGAATGAAACTTTATTTCATTATGATTAAAATTGCTAACTAAAATTTGCAGTAAAAAGTCCGTCTAAAAATTATTTTACATCAACATTTCCTTTTCATTTTAATAACTTAATTATTAATACAACATCATTTCCAAAAGCTATTTTTATAATTTCAAATCCAATAATTGCCCTTCTTCATTATGATGATTAATTACTTTTTTAAGTAAATTCGCTTTTAAATCAAGTTGTTAAAATCAAAATTTAACGCCTAATTTAACTTTCAAATAACAAAATATATATTGGGATAGATGAAGCAAACCAAATAACTTACTTTTAGATTGTATATACAAAACCATGCTTTCCATATTAAGGCGATAATTTAAACGCAACAAAATATTACCTTTAATTTATTTATAAAATGAATCCAAATTTTAAGGAAGAGAAATATTTTCATTGTTATAAACCCATCATCATCGAAAATGAAGAATAAAAAAAGGAATATGCAACTCTAGTTAATATAGCAAGTAACAATTATTATATTGAAAGAAAAAATTATGAGGAATCCTTTTTTTTTAAATTGTCGACATCTTCTACTTAATCAATTTATCCTTATAAAATGAACTTTCGATCTTAATTAGAAGGAGAAACTAAGTTGTAGATAAAAAATAATTAAATATAATGTAGATTCAACTAATATTTAAAGAATTACAAAGGGAAATTTATTATTAAAACTAAAAATGAGGATTTATATTCTATAATTGTTTAAGGTTCTAAAAATTAAATTAAAGAATATAAATGTTAGGGTGCATAAGATCTTATTTATCTTAATATGTTTGCCTTAGATGAATAAATATTACAAAAATTTTCAAATTTTAATATATTGATATTCTTAGATTCGTAAAGATAGTGCATTTATAGAATTTAATTAGAGGAAGAGCTTAAAACTGATTTGATTAGTAAGATAATGTGTTTTGATTCAACAGTTGAAAATATTTATGGTGTTAGTTCTTAAATTATCTTAAAATTGAAGGATAAAGGAGTATTCTACAATGTGTTTTCATCAATAGGTTAAATACAAATAGAATAAAATTAATATTTAAGTTAATTAAAAGATAAAAACCTTAAAGATATTTTTTAAATAAATCCAGACTTTTATGGTGTTCTTTACGAAAATTAGATACATCTAGTCTATAAACAAGCAACTGTATAAAGTATAATTTATTTATCTATTAGTTATCAATATTACCGCTATTATACTTGGATTCCTCATTAATTCTCAAACTAACTTAGTATCAAGTTTAGCATTAATAGATCTAAAAAAGAATGAACTGCAATTTTATATGGTTTAATTGAATGAATTTATACTAATTAGATATTATAGTTTAGAGAATTATGTTCCTGTTCAACCTCCTTCATTTAAAATATGTGAGTCTAAGATAATAATTTCATGTTCTCATAAAATTAATAAAAGGTTATACCTTTTGATTTTCAACTGTGCCTTTCAATCTAGTTTGCATTTTTTATAAACAGTTATTGAAATAAGCAATTCATATTTTTGGGTTGACAAATTTTATATTTATTATTATGATGACAAAAATTCCTTAGCTGCTTACGATATGTTGCATATCATTTTGGAAATTAAGAATATGGAATTAAACAATAAAATCAGCGAAAAATTAACTTTATAAGTTGAAATAGATTAAGAAAATATCGAACTTCCTCGATTTACTAAGGATGTCTCTATAGAATTGATTAATCCAAGAATTTTAAAATTAATGACAGCGAATAATACTTTATTGATTAAAAATAAATAATCAAGTAATAAATTTTACAAATTTTATTCTTGGACAAAATTAACGATATTATTTTAAACTCCAATAAAAGATTTTTAAATTAATTATATCCTTTAGAGAAAAGAAATCTTTTTATCTTGTTCATATTATTGTAGTAAGTTATGCTTTTAAAGAAATGATTATGATAATTTGACATTTTTTTAAATTGATTTGTTCTAGCAGACTTAATTTGTCTATAATTTTCAGAATTATTTCTATAATCCTGTATTCGTGGAAGCAATGAAGGAGAATTTATTTTTGTTTATAAATTCAATAAAGAATTCAAATATTCTAATATAAGTTGTGTTACTCAAAGAAAATTTCTTTATAATTAAAAAGTAATTAGATGCAAAAATTTCCGATTCTATATCAAATATATTATTAAAGTATTCTTGTTATTAAAATAGAATATTTTACTAATTTAAACTGTTTCATATGAGTACAGATTCTTAATTAATGATCATGGCATAACTTAGGTCGATACCATTAATTTTGAGAAGCAGGGTTATATTTAACATGTTAAATAAAATATATATGTAGAAATAGGCGCAAATATTTTTGAAAAGATTATTATAATAAACTTGTTTGAGATATCTAATTCTTAGCCCAGAATCTAAGGAATTTTTTAAATTTTAGTCATGAATACTTCAATGAAGAACCTATTCTTAGAATAAGAATTTCTATTATTATTTGAATCCATTAAATTAATCAAAAAAGATTACAATTAAGACAAGGACTAACTTGATTTGATTCTATGGATAACGAGTAGACAAACATATGATGTATAATTCTAAATTCGTCTTTATCTAAAAGAGTAAAAATATGAGTTTATCAACCAGAAGATTCTAAGATATCCCAAAACGTTTGATTCCTGCAAATATGTTGTATTAACTGAAGAAGAAATCATTTTAGATTGTGGATTGACAAGATATTTTTATGATATGTAAAACTCTGACTATCTTTTTGATCCCGTATACTCAACAACATCACTTGTTTAAATGGAGGTATTAAATAGTACACATTATTTATTTGTTAATTACCTTTCTAAAAATCAGTCATATGTATTATCTGTAGGGAAAAGAGGAGGATATAGATTAGAAAAGTTATCTTAAGATAATAGCAAATCAACATCTCTTGAATTTTAGGTTTTTTATGATGATGTAATAGCGAAAGGTAATTTATGTTTATTTATAATAAGATAATATTACCTTCAACCTTGAAGTTATTTAAACAAATATGGATTATAATGAATTTTGTTAATTAAACGTTGTGATTTTATTAATGATCTTTTTGATATTTCTGGCAACTATAGGAATCTATAGAAAATGTAAACAAAAACAGTCAAGGAAAGTGATCAGAACAGAAATTTCATTAGTTGATATTAATATGAGGAACCATTCAAAAATTTGATTTATTTTATAATAATTTTATTGTTTGAAAATTATTTTTATAGTTATATTTATCTTGAGAAAATGTATTTTCAATTATATTTTAAAAGTGAGCCAAATTAGTATAGGAAAACCGATAATTATATATTAATAAAGAATTCTAATTGTTTATTTTCATTTTGATGTTAAAGAAAGGTAATTTTTATTGATCAATTCAATAATTTATAATTAATTTGAGGAAATTCTAATCATATTTAGATCAATTTAATTCAATAATTCAGATTTATTTTCAATCAACTCAAATACTATTAGTTTAAGATTGAGATTAATCATATTCATTTTAAAATACAATAATAAAGATAATGCTAATTTTGAAAAAATGGCATATAAATAATTATTAGATAAATAATAATATAATTATAATAACATATAATCAATAAATTAATAAAGTATTAATAGTAATATGTAAGTTCCACTGCTAAGTACATTGAGGGGCAATTTATTGATATGATAATATAAATATTTTTTTTTAATGAATGTAAAGGAAGTTGATAAGATATCATTATAACTAGAATTCCTAATGAATGGTATTGGAGACAATGAGATATTTACTTAAAGGCATATCAATAAATCTATGATCTGATTCTTAAATATAAGCAATTAATTGGATAATAAGAAAAATGAGGAATGATTAAAGGTTATGGAAAAATAAGTTGTTTTTGTAGTATTTGATATTATAATCTCATTTATTTTCATCAATATACTTACTAATTATATATATAAACAAAAGAATAGATATTTATAAAGTATCATTAATAAAATTTTATTATCAATTCAATTATGATTATGATTATATAAAATCACGAACTGATTGGTCAGAACATTGAAATATTATTTAATTTCTTAATTAAGTCATTTTGAATACATATTCATTAATGACCTCATGAATTATATATTAGAATTTTTATTCTATTTATTATTTATTATACCATTTATCAATGGTGAATGGCAAAAACTTATTCTTTCTCATCCAAACATTCACAAGATAGATTATTATTTTGTCTATTGACCATATGAAGTTTATCTATCTTTATTGAAAACAACTCATTAAAATATTCTCCTTCACTTAAAATTATTATTTATCTATATAATCCGTTATTTTTTCAAATTCCAACCCAAATTATTACTCACATCTTACAATCAGAATTATTGTATATATATAAAATAGTATATTGATCTTTCAATAATATATTATTAATTTTTCATTAGCTAATATACCTTGTTTATTAATCTGTTCCTCATATTCAATTCATCAGCAAGTTGATGCTAAAGATTGATTCTAAATTTTTGATTATGAGATTTATAACGAACTTTTTAATAGTAAATTAAATTATTTAGCCATATATTTATTTTTCAATTATCTTATTTATAAATATATGAGCCAAAAGTCTTTATAAGATTTTAATAATACTTATGGAAGCCTAATTGCAATACGAAACTCTTAATGCTTATACAATGATCAGAACAGAATAAACATCATCTACAAATTAGAAATAAATAAATCTCAATAACCATAACTCAATACATCAATAACACAAGAGATTAAACTTTAAAATGAATTAGCTCGAAATATCAAATAATACCTCAAAATTATTGAGTATGCAATTGAAGAAACTGAGTAGAATAAAAAAGTTTATATGGTAGTATAAAATGATGAATTAAATAATTCTATTTTATATTCCTTTAAAGAAATCGATGATAAGCCCTCTAAAATATAATAATTCAAAAAGATTTTGTTACTAATGATGGATTTAGAGAAAAAAAAACCAAAAATATTTTATTTTCGAAAAAATAATATATTCTATGTTGGAAATTTAATTTATTTAACAATTTTTGGATGGACCTAAGATTTTTTAATCTCAAATGCTACGAATTAAAATTTAAAGAAATTAGAAGATTTAACCTTCAAAATTGCTGAAATTACATACTTAGATGAGCAAGGTTAAGAAAAATAACATAAACTTACAAAACATAAATTGGACCTTGGAATTTTTTTTTAGTAAAGCATCTTGAATATTGACAGAACACAGATTTCTATATAAGATATAAATATGAATTGCCATGATGAAGATTTAAAAAAAATTGCTAAAATTATAAAATGCTTTATAATAAATAATGGTTCAATTTAATAGATGAATCTACAACTTTAATAAAGGAATCAGAGTTAATAATTTAAAGATAAATTAATTGAAGAATGGGAAAAATTTGTTATGATATTATAATTAAAATTAATGGATGATGCATAATTAAGAGTTGGACTTGATTTATCAATTCTCAAGGAATTATCAGCCGATTAATTAGATAAATATATTTAAATCTAAAAAGGTGAATACCAAAGTGGTAATATTTAGAAGAAAAAAAGAGCAAGAATACTAATTTTTTAAGCTGAACAAAGATAATTAGCTCTCGGTATGTTAAATAAATAAAATAAGGATTTTCACCCAAATTTAATTTATTTCCTTAAGGAAAATGAATTAGAATAGTTAAAAAATGATAAAAATCTTTTGAAATAAATACAAATTGATGAGAATAAAATAAACAAATATATTGATTTACTGTAGAAAATGTCACTTTGTCAATTAGATTAAGTGGTTTTGGACAATGAATAATTAAGTTTAATCCCTATTAAAATGCTGTAATCGATTTAAAATAGTACAATTTAAGAGTTCTGCAGTAAAAAAGAATTTGCGATAAAGCAAAGTGCTAGTAAAATAGAGCGCTTTGATTTTGAAAAGGCTTTGGAGGCCAAGGATAAATATAATAAATTTCAACTTACAATTAATAATAAGAGCTCTATTAATGCTGATAGTCTACTGGAAAATTAATTAACATATTAATAAGTTCAATTATTAAATGAGAACACATAAAAAACATATAGAGATACAATTATAAGAACAATTGAATCTAAGAGAAATTCAACTAATAAGAACGATCGAACCTTGTTGGAAACGTTAACAAGAGTTTTAAACCAAGGTTTCTAAGAATTAGATCACCAATAGCCACTATATATTGAGAATTTTCGTAATTAATTGTATATAAAATAATAAAAGGAAGGAGTTTATTTTAGGAATTTAAAATTTAATGATAGGAACAACCTTAATTTCTCTGAAAAAGTGAATGAATTTTTTAAGTATTGCTTTACAGGGGATATATTATACAATGAAAAATTTAGTTAATATCTTAGAGAATTCTAAAGAGTTTCAATTTCAAATTATGATGGCTATCAAATAAATGGTAAGAAATAAGGTTTAGGATTGAGAAAAATAAATGAAAATCATCTAAGATTTGGAATATTCTAACTTGATTAATAAATATGGGGTTGGGAAATTGTCTTTCAATCTTAAATTATCAGTTTTTATAAAGGACCTTTTTTAAATGATCAAAAGGATGGATAGGGAATATAATAAAAATGTAAATTTTAAGACGAAAAAGTTTTAATTGAAGAATATGTGGGTGGATTTTAGAAGGATAAGAAGAATGGTACCGGTGAGTTAAATATTTATAATAATTCTTAATTAACAACTGTCATTAAAGGGGATTTTAAAGATGATCAAGTGCATGGTATTGCCACAATATCTTAAAATGGTTAAATAATTTTCTTTGGTTAATTTAAAAATGGGAAAAAAAATGGATAAGGAGAAGAAATATAAGATTAAACCAGAATAACAGGGTGTTATTTGGATGACAAAAAAACTGGTATTCATATTACGAAACGTCCAGATGGTACAACGGAAACTAATGATTATGGGTCACCTGCATGTTCTGTGTTCTGAGTTTATTTATTAATATAAAGATATGTAATATTTATAATAATTTGATGTATATTGAACATGTTTTGAATCAGAATATAGGGATAATAGATAATATTGATTAAAATAAGTTCTAGTATTTGTGAAATAAAATATTAATTATTATATCAAAAAAAGATAACCGATGAATGTTTAGTAAAAAGTGGTTTAATTTATTTAGTGATTGCACAGCGTTTACTGGAGACAAATGGGAGTTGCTTGAATAAGACACGATTGGCTTTTTGGCAGGAAGTAATTAAATTAATAAAATTATTTAGATACTTTATGTAAGTGGAATCTAGAAAATAATAGCAAGAGCTTTGTGCATTCTTAGAGACAAGGGTTTTAGTGTTTTACAGTTCATTATAGGAAAAACATTTTGGTTGTGGCAGAATATGGGCTGAATCCAATAGTTCATGTTTATGATAATGAAAATGAATATGATTTGGTTGGCGTGAGTCCATTGGAAATACTTTAAATGGAAGTGTCTAATTGTGGACGTTATTTGTTGGTGATTTTGGGAGTACCAAAATTTGAAATTTGTTTATGGGATTTGAAGGAGAAGTGCAGAATCAAAGGAAAGTTTAGTTAATTGCCATTGAAGTTGAATTTTATAGAGGCCAAATTCACAATATTAGGTGAACGAATTCTAATTCGATACGCAAACTAGTTGTAATTATATTAAATTACACCTCATTATGATAATTAAATTCAGAAGCAGGTCTAATTGGAATTGGTAACATCGATTGATCTTTCAGCTCCAACCATAATGGTTCAAGATTACAATCTAATTGATGATTCAAAAAACCAATTTGAATAAAACAACATCTATTTAATCTAAGGAAATGTATTGATTTATCTGGATGGAACAAATTTAACTGAAATTGCTAGACATGAGTGTCATTCAGAGATTAAACACTTAATTCCAACCTAAATTCATTTAATTGTCGTATATGCTAATGCTAAAATTGAATGGTTGTACAAATATATAACTAACAATCTGGAAGATAAAGTAGCTGTACCATTTAAAGTGAATAAGAAATATAATTTACATGATCACATAGAAGTCAAAAAAATAATGTACAATCAATAATGCACTAAATTGATTTGGTTCATAAGACAATGCTACTCTCAATATAATCCCTGTTTCTGCAGAAGGCTTTTTGGGAGAAGATGAGGCCTAAGTTGATTAACAAGAAGAGGATAAAGTCATTGACTTGACCCATGAGATTGAACCAGTTAAGTTAGGTCCCTATTAAAAAGGAGTCATAACATTTATAAGAGAATACAAATAACATAATGTGATTGTTTGTGGATCAGATCAAGGAGTAGTATTATTTATGGATGTGATATCAAGTAAATTTTTGTTGTATATATAGAATAACCTTTGAGTAGCTTTAATATTGAAGGCAAAATCATTTCTGGGGAATTGATAGAACCAAACTTAATAATAGGTACATCAGCAGGAGTATTAAGATTTTATAATGTTGCTGACATTCGTTAGCCAGTACTTTTCAAGATGATCAAACTCTATATTGATAAAGCTATATCGAGTATAAGTATAATTGATAACAATTTGGCTGTTTGCAGCAGTGATTCTCCAACAGTATTTTTCTTTTAAAATGAAAATTTGATTGGGTTTGTTGATCTTCCATTTAATTGTTAAGCAATCACTTACGGAAAAGGTCAATTATTTTGTATCTGCTCATTTTTATTATTGAGCATACCTCAACCAAAATAATAATCATCTTTGAAATTGGAAGTGTAAATAATGGGAAGAAAGATTGACCCAGATTAAACTCTGTTGATTGTTACACCTTAATAAGAAGTAATTACAACTGGAAAGGATAAGATCTTTAAAAAATATAAGTTTCCTGAAGAATTATTATCGAAAATGGATTTAAAAATGAGAGTTGCAAATTAACCTCCAGTTGATGAATAGGATGGCCATCAATTACCAGCTACATGCTTGGCAATTAAGGATTTTCTATACTCTTCAGCAAAGGATGGCACAATAATGTTTAGAAGTTATCAGCAATTAAATTAAGATGTCAGGTTATTGAGAGGACATAATCTGAAATCAGGTGGTGTCTCTACTATATATGTATCATAGAAGTTTAAGATGATATATTCTGGTGGTTTTGAGGGAGATTTATTCTGGTGGACAGGAGAAAAGATTAGAGGAGATTCAGATGCAGCATAATTGATGAAGAGCAATTACAATGCCCCTATGGAAATTTAGGATATGCCAGATCAGGAAGTCAGATACTATTAATAGGTCTTGGAGAGCGAATTTCTTGAATAATAGGCACCTATTAGAGAATAACAAAAAAGATAGACAAAAGATCTATTGAAATAAATTCAAACTAAATTAAATGCACTCTTATAAGAAAATGCTGAGTCTGATGAATTAGAAAAATTATAAAGAGATGAATTTGTTATTGATCTATATGCTCGAGATGCTATTCTAGAGGACGGAAAGAAATAATAATAAGCATTGAGAGATTTGGTCAAGAAAGAAAATGTTAAGTAAGAGATACTCTATTAATTGATCAAAGAGAGAACTTGGGATCAGATTGAAATTCCTTTGAAAGGTGTTAATGGATTGATTTAACACATCATTGTTACCAATTATCATATTAGAGTTAGACAATCTGAAGAAACGAGAAAATTAAAATTAATTAGAGAATTAAGAAAATAAGAAATTAGAGAACTCAAAATTAGAAAACAATAAGCAATTAAAGAAGCATGGAGTATTGAAGAACATATTCAAGATCCAAAATATATAATCAATTCTAAACCTGGTGCTTAGACCATGGTCTTAAATGATTACGAAAAGAAGGAGGAAGTGGCTCCTACTAAGGTTGCTGCTAAGCCTGGTGTTGGAGGTGTTTAATAAAAGTAACCCCCCTGGAAGAGCATAGGCAGGTGCAGCTAGTATCAAATAAAGATAATAATAATAATAATAACAATAATAATAAGAGGAGGAGAAGAGATAAGAAGAGGAAAAATAGAAAGAATTGGAGAAATAATAATAATAGTAAAAGGTCACTGAAGAGAAGAAGGAGGGAAGTGAAGAATTGACAGAATGGGATTATTTATATGGAGTTAGCGAGTTATTTACTCTTAATAGAAAGAGAAATCAAATGATATTGATTAATGATGTGATATTTTCAATGAAAAGATAATTTAATGCTGAGTTTGAATTGATCTAAAAATAGAGATAATAATAATTGGATAATATTAATGAAAGAAATAAGAGAATTATTGAAATTAATGGAGAATTGAAGAGAGATCCTCAATTACAATTAATGAAAAAGAATATTTTGGAGGACCCAGAAAAAATATTGATTGTTAAACCAGAAGAAATAGGATTCCAATAATATGAGACAAGAGAAATGAGAGAGAAGAAGGAATAAGAAAGATTGAAAGAAGAAGCTCGTTTGAAGGCTTTGATGGCAGATGATTCAGGAGTTAGAGCAGTTAAAGACATGATGGGAGGTACCTTGGAAGAAAAGAAGGAAACTCCATTAGATGAGAAATTAGAAGTAGAAGAATGGATGAAGAAGAGTCCAGATGATATGACAGAGGAGGAGAGAATGAAATTAAAAGAATTTGAAGTTAGGAAGTAGAAGTTGGAAGAAGAAAAAGAGAAGATTCGTAAAAACTTAGAAGCTGAACTCAAAAAATTGAATAATGAAATTACTGATATTTGTTAAAGATTTGATGATAAATTGTTAATTCTATTTAGAAGGAAATTAGAATATGATTATAGAATACTTGAATAAGAATTATCAATTGTAAGATTGGCATTATCTATTATTATCTCATAATAGGCTTAATTGAGAGTTTCAGAATTGGAGAAATTGCATGATGAGATGACTGCTCAATTAAACCAATTGCAATAAATGAAGAATAATCTAGATTAAACTAGAGATTTGACATAATAACAAAGGAAGACTTTGAATGATTAAATTGTCAATTACTTCAATAGAGGCTAGACTGCCGGTATGGATGCAAACAAAGTTAAGATCCTTTGGCAATATGCTTTTGAAGATTAGAAGACCAATGAAAGAGCAAAATAGGAATAAGATGAAAAATTGTTAAAAATTCAAAAATATAAGGATGTACTTATCTAAATTGATCCTTTGTTTGAAAATCAAAAGAAAATCATTTCTGCATAATTGGATGAATAATTTGAAACCTACTTATTTGATATCCAAGAAAAAGCCAGCAATTTATAAGGAATTGATTTTGAACATGTTCGTGATCAATTATTGTAAGTTCTAAGTTAAAGATTCAGAATGAAATTAGATTATGAAAAAATTGATAAGGATTCTAATGATCTTGAAAATTTCAATAAAAAGTTTGAATAAGAATTTAATCAATTATCTTCCTAACTCTAAAATAGTGAAGAAGATATTTAGAGTCTACATAATATGCTTGAAAAGAGTAGATCTAATATTGAAGTCATGTTCAGATTCAAATAAGGATATGTTGAAATCAGTCAAGATAAGCCAGTCCCTAATTTATAGGATGCAGCACTAATTCCTAGAGAAACTATTGAGAAAAAGAATGATGAAATCAAAAAGGAAGGAGATACTAAAATTGAATTGATGAAAGATATTATCAAAAGTAAATATTAAGTTGAAAAAAATGAATATGACCTAAAGAAGAGAGATCTCATTATATAGGATTTAGAATGCAAGACTAGAGAAGTCTAATTGTTGAAAGTTAAAAAAGAAATGCAAATTGCTTTAACCAAAGATGACACCAGATTGAATGAGAGAGAACTGGCTAACCTAAAAGATTAGATTGATCTTTTAAAGAGTGCTACTGATAAGAGATTATAGATTATTAACAAGAAGAGAGAGAAGATTGAAAAAGATATCGATTTCATTAAAAAGGAGAATCAATAATTGATTGGATAAGGAGGAGTTTTATCTGTATCTATTTTATATTATTATAGGGAAATGTCAAATAATTATAAGATATCTCAGATATGTAGAATAAAAAGAATGTTAGGTAAGGAGAAGAATAATAAGAACCATAAGAAGACAAATTTACGTATTTACATATTTTATATATTTTAGTTAAATTGCTCGAAATTACAGACTATTTAAGAAAGCCAAGGAATAGGCCGAAGAAATCGAGATTTTGAGAGACGAGCTTACAAAACTTAAAGCTAAGACATTTGCTAATTTCTAATAAGTTCACCGCTGATATAATCAAATTTATAAAAATTAATTACAATTAATGAAACTTGTGATAGTATATGTTAAACTTACTATTATGAAATTTTAAGTAATTCAAAAAGACATTGGGTTATTTTATTCTCTAACTTCTATGAGAACGGATCATTATTAAAACTAAAACGCTTAATATTTAATATTGACATTAGCATTTATAATAATGTTTTTGATTTTATACCTCATTTTTGGCAATTTTGTTCTATTTCTCTTTCTCTTTGATTAAACTAATATTTCTTCGAATTATAAGTTTTTTTAATAATTTACAGATATATAATATAAATAATTAAAATATTTATTAAATATTTTATTATCGAAATTGATAACAGATTCGAGGAACTATATTAAATCCAAGGTTGGTAATAACGAACTAAAAATAGATAGGATATGTAATTCTTATTGATTTAAATGAATTGAAATCTTTTAATTCAGAAAATATTTTGAGCCATTTAAACTATTTATTTTCTATTCAATTTAATTTTTTATTTTTTATTGATGTTCATCATTTATTAAATTGAAATTAATTGGCTTGCAATCCTTCCAATTAAAGATTATGATTATGTTACCCAAAATAGATTAAACTTACATTTCAAGTTAACAGAAATTTATATTTACATTTTTTTAGAACACAATTATTTAAAGTTTTTATTTATTCTTTCGCCTTAATAATTAAATCCATGATCCAAATATTTCTTAGATGTTTTAGGAACTTAAGAATGAAATTGCAAGTGTTGATAATAATTTTACCGATCCTCGCGTTAACTATGTTGTTGGTTGGGTTAACTAGCTATATATAATCTACAGTAATTTTTAATTTACTTGAAAACTAATCAAACCACTTATTGATGTATTAAGAATATAAAGCCCTATCCCAAGTAGCTTTGGAATTGCAAACATATATCGGATATAAGCATAAATTTTGTAAATTTTCAATTAATTATTAGATATCTCCAGATTAGGTCACTTAAATTAGTTATTCAGCTTTATTTAATAAAATGGGAGAGATTCAAACATGAATCATTTAAAAAGTTGCCTAAGACTAGAGGACATATAAAATAATTTTATAGAGTTTGATTTACCTTAATTTTGTTATTTTGCCTGTGGATCAAATGATAAAGTATCATTGCCTTAAGAAAATCAACTGATAAAGATCTTCAATCAAACAACTTAGTTGATTAATTAGTTTACTATTGCTTTGGATGCAACAGAAAATTCATTAATTGCAATGGTAGATTTTTCAGATACTATTTATTTTGCTGCCTACCCTCATATTTATTTGAATTTGTAATACAATCCTCTTAAAAGACCTTGGTAATTATCACCATAAACAAAAGGTACATAAGTCACATGAATGGATTGAAAACACATCCTGAGAACAACTACTTTTTCTCCCCTATATTTACGAATTACGTCAAAAATATTTACTAGATGTCAATTACGTATTCTATATCTGGGACTTCTAATTCAAATATTGGTATAATTATGTAAAATATCGAATTAAATGATACAAATATTAAAGAAACCCCCTACAATATTATTGTATCCAACGAGAATGGGGAGGTTGTACTATAAGGAATAGAATCCATAAAAAAAATGGTATATTGATTTCTTTAGATATTAGATATACATTAAGGATGATGTTTTGTTTATCAATGATACAAACCAAACCGGTTTCAATGATACTGATTGGTAATAAATCAAAAAAGTCGCTTCAGGAGAAGAAATTGAGAATAGATGTAACACGTATAATGCCAATGCATTCTGTTTATACAACAAATTCTTTTAATAATTCGTTTTAGTGAATGCAACTAGAATTAAAGAGGGCAGCTTTTATTTAATAATGTAATTGTAGCATAATTAATTAGATACTCCAATATCACTTCCCAAACCATATTAAATTAACAGTTAGCAACTATCAATTAGAATTTGTAGTCATAGTTATAGTAGAGTTAATATGTCATTTTCTTTTCAGGAATCTCTTTATTATTTTTGTCCATTTTAATCATCCATTAAATGTTCCTCCCTTTAACAGATCTTATGAGAACTCTCTTCTTTTATATTAAGTCCACAGGAAACAATATTAATAAGGAAATATTTTAATTGTTAAATACTCAAAAGAAGACAAGAAAGAATAATATATTTTCAGATTTAATGCAATAATTTTTGAGGTTTGAAGCAAAACTAAATGGTAGTCAATAGAATAAAAATAAAGAGTGCTTATACTTTGAATAAATCGAATATTAAAAATAACCATAAAGTGAACTTATTAGTCCTTTAAATCTTAGTTTAAATAATATCTCAAATGATTATTTGACTATGTGCAAGATTAAAAATATATTTGATTTATTAAAACTTAAATTATTTAATTTCTGAATTTACATTATTCTAAAAATAACAAAATCATTATAAACTATTATGCTAAGGAGATAGTGGAAAACCTTGAAAATTAGATCCTAAATCTCAATATTTCTATTTGTTACTTAAATATTGATTCTTTCATTAATAATAGGACTTCTGTATATAAATTTGAGTTTTTTGGAATTTTACATTGAAAAAACCTCAACAAAAATATTAGTTTAATAAGAATTGAATCTCCAAACCAAATTAATGAATTATTCTATTACAGACACGAAACTTTAATTATATAGAAGCTTAAACTAAATTTACAGAGTTAAATATCTCTTCCAAAAAATTGAAATGGAAAAAATTAACTTTCTATTTCCAACATATAACTGTTTACAAAATTTTACAAATCTAGATGACTATGCATATTAGTATTCGTTCTGCTATGGAGAATTTGGATTGGCAACCGCTGAATCCAATTCTATTGAATCCTTTAAGAATTTAACAAGTAGTTTGACAATATTATTGCACTTATTGGATTGGGACTTAGATTTGTCAATATGTACTAATACCTAAGAATAATATTTTGCACTATGGCCCGGCGATAAATTTATAGACTATAAACCATAAATAAGACCATGGTACCTATCACATTTAAGGTAAATGTAAACGAATCCGAATCAAGAAGTATTTTTTAGTGATCCATTTGTATTTTGGACTTGGAATGTCGTGATGATTAGTCAAACTCTTACACTGAAATCTTAAAGTGGTGAATTTTAAGGGATAGCAGCAACAGATTTGAACTTGACTCTTTTCTAAAATCTGAATAATCTCTATAAACAATCAAACCGGCTGTTTACTTTAAGCGATGGTAAGATTTTGATATCAAATACTAATTTCACCTTTGGTAATTACATTTACAATGAATCAACTATTGGGTTAAATTACGAGGACTTCATTCACATTTAACGCTATCTACAGAATGAAAGCTACACTAGCAATTGCCTCAAACTTAATTAATATCTTGGATATGATATTTTTTGTAGGTACAATTAGGTTTTCTAGTAGGATTAAGTAATATTTGCTAAAAATTTAGGGATATCAAACTTAAATTTAATAATGTAAATTTAAATATTGATGTAGCATATTTGATATACTTTAAAATTATGAACTTATTTTAAAAAGCTTAGATGGAATTAAAGGAAGGTTCTTAGAAATCTCTGCATATTCATTTTTCTTTATCATAATCATAATATTCTTATCTTTTCTGGTAAATCTGATAGTCATTAAATTCATCACTAAGCCATTGCAGAATGTAGTAACATCAGTATAACAATACATAAGATCAAGTGGATTTATTTACGATCGACAAAAGACAAGGAAAATAATTAGAGAGAACAATCAAAATGATATGTGCAGGTCATTAAGCAATGTTCTTAATCATTTCCAAATTTAAAATAGTGAATTTCAAAAGTAGTAGTTAATGACCTCATAATATCCTTTAAACTACTACAACTTCTCAAAATTTTATAAGACTTCAGATTTTAATGTAAATATTTCTACTTAATTTAGCATATCCCAGATTCTTACCTTTAGTAATAAGACATAATTGATATGGTTATCAAATTATTATAATAGCAGTCAGCCTCGTGATCATTATTTTGATTGATTAAAATAGGTTTTATTTAAGTTTTTATTTTTAAATTTATTAATTCTTTAAGAAGGGTTGAGGTTGAATTCCCAGAAATTAACAAACTGCTTGAGAACATGATAGACTCTTATTTAACTGAGTTTAAATTAAAGAAGATGTAGATATGAGAAACACTAAGTAGAATTAAGATAGACTGCTGGATATTATGCAATAAATATAACATAATTGAAAATAAAAAAATGAAACCTCTAAATCTACTAATTTATAGTAGTATCAGATATCTTTGTACTTCCAGCATAATATTATGTTATAAAGAATACTGATTACACTTAAAATTAGGTATGAGCTTATAAATCTATATTAAGGAAGAAAGTGGATGATAGAAATCACATAAATTAATGATTAAAAGCTGTTCACTAGATAAAGTATTATTGATGTGAAAATATATAATCCAAAATTCTATTAAAATTGATAATAGTTCAAAACTTTAAGTATCAGATATTTCTAAGAGAGGAAATAGCAAATTGTCAAATTCAAGAAAAGAGGAGGTGTCTGACATTCCCACAGATTTTAACTAATTTATGATTATTTTTCAATATTAAATTAATAAATGTCGTAGGATATCGTTTGTACTATTGAATATCCAGGGGGAAATAAAAAGTTTACGGTGTAATTGAGTTATGAAATTACTCCAGCAGAACTAATAGAAGAGTTTAAATCTCAAATAGTAACGAACTCAAATAAGATAATGCTCTATTGTAACCAGAAGCTGCTGGATCCGAATGTTCCATTTCGCAAATAAAATGTTTAAAATGGTGCCACTATTTTAATGAATGTTGAAGTGGAAGGAGGAGGAGATTTTTGAGAGATCTTATTAGATAATATAATATTAATTTAAATATGTTCAAGTGTTTGTCTAGAAAATTAGAGATTGCGAACAGGCCTTAGATTTATAGATTAAGCAAGGGGAAATACAAAGAAGAAGAATTAATTGATGCAGGTGGGTACTCTCAGATTTGGAAATGTGAAGGGTTTGCCATAAAAAGGATGTTGATTCATTCTCAAGAAACCTACTTGATGGCTAAGTAGGAGATTAATATTATGGTATTGATATAAGAATGAATAAGAAGAAAAGATTACCGGAACACCCAAATATAGTGAGATTGATTGATTATGGGGAAGTAAAGATTCAAAATAAGCTGTTCTTTTGCATTGTGATGGAGTTGTGTGAAATGAACTTATAAGCAATGCTGACGTAAGAGATGTTAACGGAGAGCAGAATAATAGAAATATTTAAATAGATTCTGGATGGATTAGAAGTATTACATGCAGAATAGATTAGTCATAGAGATTTGAAGTTGGAAAACATAATGATCAGACGAGGTACTTGCAAGATATGCGATTTTGGGTCAGCATCAAATGAGATTATTGATCTGAATGTATTGAGTTAGACTCAATTGAGTGAGATGGAAGAACAATTCAGTAAAATAACAACCATTACTTGCAGACCTCCTGAAATGATTGATGTGTTTAAACGGCAAATCATAGATTTCAAAGTTGATATTTGGCAATTAGGATGCATCCTATATAGTTTATGTTTTAGAAAGTCTCCATTTTAAGATATCAACAAAGTGTCCATTGCACAAGCTGAGTTTGAAATTCCACAATCTTAATTATCATAGAAGACTGTGTCATTGATTTAGAAGATGTTGCAATTGGATCCCAAAAAGAGACCCAATCTCAAAGAATTGAAATTATTCCTTTATAGTAGAGAGATTGATGATGGCGATGATTTTTAATGAAATAAATAATAATAATTCTCAATATAAAATAAATTAATGAGTGGTCTTTACAATTAGTTCGATCTCAATAACTTCTTGCCAAGCGCATATGTAGTGGAAGCCTTACCGTTGTGTTCCATCCAAGAAAATTAAGTTAGATCTGAGAGAGTGGGGGACCAAGATGCTCGCATCTACAGTGTGTACAATCAGAGCAAAGATAGAATCACGCAATAAACCAATCTGGTAGATAAGATTGCCAGATTCGTTAAAGAGGATGAAGAGAAAGAAGAAGATCCAGAACAATCAGCTGAAGTGCAGACCAGATACTTTAATCTCGATAGTATTGATGTACTCTCGAAGGGAGTATGTAGAAGATGCAAAAAAGTAATTGCTAGTGATAACCAAAGCCTGGCCATTTTGAAAAATGGTGTGTTGAAGACATTGCTGAATCTAAAGTGACTTGTCGATTTTGCTTGGGAGATCATTATTTTTTAAAATGCCCTAATAGTTTGTGTTTCAAGTGCAACCAAGCTGGACATATGGCAAAGGATTGTGATGTAGAGGGTATCAAATGTCATAGATGCAACAAAAAGGGACACAAATCTAAAGATTGTAATGTTATCATTATAGATGATGAAAATGTATTTGAAAAGGACAAGTAAAGATTAAAGGATCTCTTGTGTTTGAACTGTCAAGAGAGAGGACATTTGAATTGTTTCTCAAAAGGATACAAGAAATACGATCTACTATACTGTGAAGGCAAGGAATTAAGAGAAAGGGAAAAAATGAATAGAACCGATCATTCTTCAAAGGATAAACATAACAGTTAACATCATAATAATTAGGATCGTCATTAACATCACAATAATTAGGATCGTCATTAATATCATAATAATTAGGATCGTCATTAATATCATAATAATTAAGATCGTCATTAACATCAGAATGATTAAGATCGTAATTAACATCGTCATCATTAACATAATAATTAACATCATCATTAACATGATAATCATCACAATCATTAATAACATAATAATTAATATGACAATCATCATCAATAAAATCATTAACAATCACATAAATAAAAACATTTGAAAGAATAAACCCAAAATTTACCTCATAAAGTCAATAAAACAATCTAAAAATAAAAGTATCAGCAATAAGACTCATCTTCACAATATTCCATGTGGTCAGAAGAATCTCCAAATACTAAAAGGATGAATAATAATAAATAAAGAAAAAATAAGATTAAATAGAAAAAGCATTTCAAATAATTTAATTGATTATATTATTATGTTTAATAAACCTTAAGAATATGCCGCACAAAAAAAAGAAGCCTTTCGATCTGAAATCCGTAGAATAGACAGAGAACGAATATTTAATTAAAAAAGGATTTTAATTCATTAACAGAATGAAATGAAAGAAAAAGACGATTTAGAATTAACCAACTTAATACCATAAATTATATTATGCCAATAGAATCAGAATATCAAGGAATTAAAACAACTTCATCGATTTGCATTCAATTCCATCTCAACCAACAATCTTAACTAAATTACTTAGAATCAAGAATTCCTAATTAAAAATAACTACTTATAACACAGCCTCCCAAGTTTGATCATTAAAGAAGTCCAATGTGAAGTCATTAGAACCCTGGCTAATTCATGTAATCATCCTCTGTTTTTATAATAATAACCTTAAAATTTACTCCAATCTTTAGAAGTTTCATATTAACTACTCCTATCCTTAACAGATACTTAGGATATAAGCGATGTATTCATTATAACTATTTTTTAGATTCTTATATATTTAGGCAATATCTCCAACAGATGGCCAGAGATCTGCTAATATTTAATTAAGAGTTTTGATCGTATGTTAGAATTAAGTTCTTCAAATGACAGTAATCTATATAGAAATATTTGTTTCTGTATGCATAATATATGTTATGTTATGGATAATCAAAATTTAAGCGTGAAAGATGTAATTGATAGTATTAGCTTAAATTAGAGAATCACCTGCTTAAAAGTAATAGACAAAGGAGTTAACAGGAATGATTGCGATTTCTTACAAAATGAAATATTGCATCCTTTGACTGTATTGTATTTCCAAAATGAAGAAATTGATAAGTACTTGATGAGTTCAAAAATAGTACAATATGTAATTACAACTTTAAAAGGAGAATTTGTAGAAACAACTTTGCAAGTTTTGAAATAGTTTTCATTAACTGAAACCATAAGCTTTTCGAATGTATGTGTTCAAATGATATAATAATAGTTTCTAATTGAATAGGATATTTTGGGGATAGCTTACGAGTATAGCAACAATCGAAAGAAGTAAATTAGAAAATTTTCATTCCTAATTGTGATCAATCTGGCTTATAATGATAGTAAAATCTCAAATAAAATTGTTAAACATAAAATCATCAATAGAGTTATTAATGGCTTAAATGCATCAGGAATATAGGAAAAGCAAAATTGCATTCAAGTCATCCAAAACCTACAAAAGACAGGGGACAATGCAGTGTTTTAAACTCTGATAGAATTGGGTACAGTAGAAATCATAGGAAATTTGATTGATGAAGTGGATACAGTAGTTTTAAAAATCTTTGTAGATGCTCTTTGTAGATTTCTAAACTATGCAAAAGAAGTTCAATCCAATAAAGTGATTGAGGATATCAAGAAGATTAAACCTAAATTAGAATTAATATATAACGACAACAAAGATCCAAAATTTTAAGATCTATTTCAATTGTTTTTATAGCTCTTATAATAATGATGTTATATTTTATAAGTAATATAAAAATCATAAATCTCAAGTCGTTCATAAGAAAATACAGGGCATTTAGTTTAATACGCCCGGATAGCTCAGCTTGGTAGAGCGAGAGACTCTTAATCTCTAGGTCCAGGGATCGAGACCCTGTTCGGGCGTAAATTTTTTATTTTTATAATTTAATTAATTAATAATTGATTAATAATTATTAAATATTAAATTTTAAATTACATTCATTTATACTCATAAAGCAACTAATAAATGATATTCATTTTTATAGAAGACTTAGTATTAATAATAGACAATAAATGGAAAAAATTAAACGGAGTGGTTTGGAAGGAATATAAATTATAATTGATTGGATAATATATATGAAAATGATATAATCATTTACTTTGTCTATTCATGTAGGATTATTAATAAGCTTCTGAATTACCCAATGTTGATTGTTCGAACTATGCGGACTATTAAAGAACTGGTAAATCCATGGCAGATTGAACGTATTTCTTAGGTTCTTAATGGAAGAGTGAAAAGCATTCAGTAGCACACAGGGTTATCAGTTTTCCTGAAATTTCAGAGCATGATTCACATTCTACCATTTCTGTAGGAACCTTTTTACAAACAAGACAAACAAGTTTATTTTGTAATTTTGCAGGAGGATTACATTTTCTTGGGACATGGAAATTGATCTTAGGCAATAGTTCCATATCTTGAGGATTGAAACTACCCATAATATCAGTCACAATTCCGATAGTTGAATATCTTGGTTATGCAGTTTGAAGATTGTGATGTGTTTCTGAAACATTTGGAATATTCTTCATTTTAGTTCTGAGTAATTGTTTAGCTAGAGTAAGTCTAAACTCTAAGAAATTGATTTGAGAATTTACTTTCTGAATGCTTTTAAATGCAATGAAACTATTCCAAATGACGATCTCTTACATTTCAGTATAGATGGCTCCATTGACAGTGGCTGAAGAGAACAAACACTTATAAGCATCTGATAGAGCAGGATATTATTCTACTAATTTAATGTATTCCTAATAAATGACAACTGCATAACTCTTTTTATCTTGACTGGTGTTTCTGTGAAATCCATCAGCAGTTGAAGCAAAGACTTTGAAATCAGCTTAATTAGGAGTGAGCAATTTAAGCAACATCACATGATTGTTTGTTACAAGTCCATCTTTGAAGTCTATCTTCTGTGTTTAAGTAGTTGATGCCAAAATACCACATGAGTATATAGCAAAGAATTCCACTAATATTTGCACTTACTCTAGAGTTAGCAATTCCTGCTGGAAATATAATTTGTGATTCTTGTGTTTATATGGATCCAACATGTTAAATATTGTGTTGCTGACGTTTTCCCTAAAACAAAATCGAATGGCTATTATATATTGTGTTTGTACATCCATAAGCAATATACATTCGATTGATCTCCCTTATAGATCTTAGGCTTCAAATAGATTGTTTTTAATAACTGCCAAACATTGACCTGCATCATGAGATATCCTAAATTTCTTATTCAATTTCTTTGTTAAATAGCTGTAGACTTCTCCTTCCACTTTGAATTTCTTCTCAACATCCTCCTATTTCAAATTGTGATACTTTGCTTGAATCATCACCTCATCTCTCAAATTCGTATTTTATTCCAAGAACTTAAACCTACCAACTTTGATTAATTCTCCGATCTTATTACGGAATGGCAATTTATCATTAAAATAGTCTTCTGGATCAGGCATTCTATTGTAACCCATCAGAATTTTCACTCCAAAATATTCGTATATCTAATCCAATTTAAATAATCTCTTTTTAACATCCTTCTCATGTTACTCTGAAAAGTGATCCTTCATCTAATCATTAATCATTTTCAAGATGCTCTAAACTATTTGTCTATGAAACAAAGAGTAATAAATGTCCTTTGCATCATTTGTTACTTATGATTTCCAAAAATTATAAGCATTTCTATCTCCTTAAAATGGTAACTGCTTTGTCGTTGTACTTGAAGCATTAATTGATTGCCATTTGCTTTTTGAATAAAAGTCTGGATTCTCTGCCAGTTTTTTGCCAACTTGCAATCGCAATTACTCAGATCTTATAGTTTATCCAGGTGCATGCTCATGTTTCAAAGGTTCTTATTTATCTAATTTGATTGGTGCTGCTGGTAACTAAACTTCACAATCAATTACACTTTGACTTATCTGATTCTTTTGGTTATTTACTTCCACTACTGCTTGCTCTTCTTCATTATTATTATTATTATTAATTTATTCTTGTGGATTCTAATCTTCAGCAACCTCTCTATCGTTTTCTTATTCAATATCCATTTATTTTTTAATTATCATTCATTATTATTTTCCATCTGTTTTAAAGATATTATTTTCCAGGAATTTTTAATTATTGTATACAAAATTTTGCTATCTTTATTTCCTTAAGCTATTTTCATCTTAAGACCTCAATACTCAATTCCTTCCTATTAGCATCACTCAATTAACTCATCTTAACGAATTTGACAACTATTCAACATTCCAAGTATAAGCCGTTTGATATATATTGATTAATGCAATCAAATAAATGAATTATCTGATAATATGAAATCAAATAGACTCCTTTATATGTACATTTTATTGCATTCGACCAGTCAAGAAGTATCACATTAAAGAGAGTCAATATCTTCAGTTGAATTATATTTTATCAAGAATAGATAAAATTTCCATTTTATAATAATTTGAATTAAATATAAAATCAATAGTAATCTACAAAAATTGTTCCATAGTTTTTACATTTAAACTAAAATAAATAATTTGATAATAACATATCTATTAATACAATAAATAATCTTTTTGAAATTAACTGCCAAATAATTAATATTCATTTAATTCACTCATGGTTTTAAGTATTTAAAAATAGATTATCCTCCATTTTGTTCATTTTCATATGCTTTATTGATTCCTCTATTAGTTTTTCTTCCATTTTAAAATTCACCTTTGTATAATAAAATTTTTTTTTCTTCTGCTTTGACAATCTCCCACCCCCATATTATCTATCCATATTTAAATATTCCAAATTATAAAGTCTCTTGGTTTATTCTCTGAAATCCTTATCCATGAGGCTTATCATTGACTAAGTATCCAATATAGTTTTTTTTAATTTAAATACTGCCAAATTCTTTTAGATAATCTAAGTACTTGTAATCTACTTTAATCCTTACACTATATTTTTATTCGAAAAACATTTATATTTCCTCACATAATTCTGATGGTAACATCCCATAAGTCAACATTATTTCTGCATATTTTTGTCTAAATTTGTATTTGAGTGATGGATATATATGATTGACTCCTGAAATAAATTATTAGACATCTTATTTATTTTTTATTCCAATATCTATGCAGCTGAATAATGTCTTCAAATACTGACTTTTGAGTTTTGCTGATATAGATTGATATTCTTCAAAGCCTAATAAATATTTAAGTTATTTTTCGTTAATGAACGCTTGAGCCTTCTACCTGGTTCTTAATGCTAAATTAAATGGGAATTATTCAGCACCATATTTCTTTTTTTCCTCCTCCTTTTTTTCAAGAGTATCTTTATATTCTGGTAAACCTTTTAAATAATAAATTGAAATTATCTTTTATTAAACTTAACTCAACTTAACAGGGACTTAGGCTTCGATTTTAAGTTCTTTTTTTCTTAATTTGATTAAACCTGCTATTTTTTTAGGTGAGAAGTATGGCTTAGCTTCAATATTTGTAAGTTAATCTGTTACTTCATCAGGAATTTAAAATTGCTTCTTCCATTAAAGAATATTTGCTTCTTTTAGATTATAATAATAAATTATATCTTCTTCTGGCGCTTCCATTTCATAATTATAAAAGTATTATAGAGCCTACTTCCTATTTTCTACCAGAAATATATTTTCTTTAAGCTTCTCAATGTTATTTTTATGACTTTGTTGTATCGCTTCATTTTAACTTGTTTCTCTCTAAGAGATCTCAGAGAGTTCAATCAGCAATCTCATTAGATCATCCAAATAGGATTAAACCTCTTTAAGATCAAGTTGAAGTAACATATGAAAATCCAAAAAACACCAAAGTTTTTGTTCATTATTTTATTAAAAGAATTTTCCCAATTCAGGATAAATTTATTTTTGTACTAATTGGAGAAATTTATCCATTGCTTAAATAGTCCCATATTTAGTGACCTTTGCTTTACAACATGTTACAGGGTTGGGAAAGGTTCTATTGAATTCTGTAATTATAGAGCTCGTGCTTAATTAACCTTGCTAAACAATTACACTGGTTGGAAACTTTTAGGATATATTTAACTATACATTATATTAATATGGTTATTATTATTATTATTATTATCTTTAATTTTCAGGATAAAACAGCATCTATAATCCTTAACCTATTTGACTATCTATTAGAGTTATTTCGTTAATTTTTTTGTCTAATTCTACTTTTTATAAAGCATAAAATGTTTCAATTGGTGGATTGATATAATCTTTAGGATAAAATATTTGAATAATGATTACTCCAATAGCCCATGCATCTAGATTAAAGGAATTTTAAGGAACATTCAGAACATCTTCGAATTATTTTTATCGTTTCATTTATTCTCTTATATTATCGAACTCAATAATTCTCATATCATAATCTGGCAAATTTTAAATGATATCTAATATTATCTTAGGATTATAAAAATAATAATCTTTCTGCCAGTTCTATTCTGACCTTCTATCAAATTATTAAATATAATTCTAATGAAATGTTCTATTACTCCCAAAATCTGAAAAGAAAATATCATTATCATAAAAGAATACATTATTAGGTTTAATATTTTGATGGAAAACATTACTTGATCTTAATATGTTATAAACTTCTAAGAGTCTCTTGCTCACAAATATTTTTCTTTCTATTCCTGGCGCTTGATTTTTGATATATTTTAATATTGGAGCACATTTATCATCATTATAATATGCAATCATTACAACTTTTCTATTCTTATTTTCACTTTGGAATATAGTAAAATTCTTAATTTCCAAAACACAATTCTTATTATTAAGGCTTGTTTAGATTTTAATTTCATTTCTAATTTCCTCTATAAAATAATCTTAATATTATCCTTGAATCCTTCTTTTCTTAATCCAAAATACTTCATTTTCATTCCTGCTTTTATATTATATGGTAAAAGGTTGATCATTCAAATTTAGCTTAGTAAGAGGACTATATTTTCTATAGAAGTCATCTTTGGTCAATTCAATATTCATAAAAATAAAATAAAAAAATATTCTATTAATAGAGATTCATAAATTTAGGTTATCTAATTAATTAAGTCATCACCACTGATACGTTTATAAGGTCATAATAACATGATAACCGAAATTATTATAATTGAATAATTATATGCTTAAAATACGGATTCAATTTCTAAGTTTAATGTTAGAATAATTAATGTTAAGTATATCTAAATCTATAAAAATAATTCTAGTTTGGATTGAACAACTCTGGAACTTAATTAATATAATTAACAATCATAATCAATAAGAAATTAATAAACTAAATTAATTAATTAATTAATTAAGAAAAGAGTCTTTAAGACTACTCTGAAGGAATAGGGATAGTTAAATAAATTCTAATACTTAAATGAATAAAACTTTAAGGAGAATGATTGGTTTGATTTATTAGATTTTAGAGGTAGATAATTTGAGTATTTAATTTAATCATACAACCCACATATAGAAATTGATTTGAGAATAATCTCATCATTATTATTTTTTAGTTTTAGATATACCATAATTCCTTTCCAGGTAATCTATAGTGGGAGTTGTAAGAAGAGCTTGGCAAAAGTAAGCTATAATTCTAGCTTGCCATCCTGCATATAAACCAGCAAGACCGTAATTTTGATACACAATCCTAAAAGACTAATACAAAGAAATTTTTCTATAGTTTTGGTTTTCTTCCATTTAAACGAGTGTTTTGATTGTATCGAAGGGATGCACTAATTTAAATCAAGAATCATACCTGCTAAGATGTTCAGAATGCTACTCAAGGTTGAAGCAATCAATGAATTAACTATTGAGAGAGGTTGTCCAGGATCTGCTTTTAATGCATAACGGACTTTGTGATCCCAATACAAATAGTTTGTCCATGAGACTACTTGTCTTGTTGTTTGAATTCTAAATCCTACATAAATAGATTGCAATGTTATATATTTAAGATAGCCAAAGCCTGTAGCCATGGAGGTCATCTTCAATGTTTTCAATCTTTCGAAGGGTGTAATAATGCAACTTTCAAATAGGCCAATGCTTGCTCCTGTGATTATTTTGTTTATTGATTGGTTGTGGATGTGATCATTCAACATGGAAGGAATGAAAATCATCATAGGCCATCTGTAGTATTGTTTAACCATGTTTCTAAGAAAGCTAGGGTAAAAGCCGTCGTAAAAACCAATCAATCCTCTTGCTCCTTTGATGTCCAAGTAACTCTAAAGTATAAGATCTATTATTATACTTATATATAAGTTATTCCTTATTTGGATTGCTTATACGTCTTGATTCTGTCCAAAACATGTTCTAAAGGCATTGTTAATGCAACTCTAAACGCTCCTATGACTTAGGTTTCAATTAAGGCTTTAATGTAATCTCCCATTCGTGAGAAAAGGTAAATTCTTTAAAAAAAAATTTAACTATGGATCAGATTAATTTAGCTTTTATATGAAACAGACTTTATTGCAAAAAAGAGAGAGTTTCTGAAAGTGATTTCGATAAATTCACACTTATAACACCTTTGTATAACAACACTTGATATAATAATTTAATAAATTATAAATATGTTCCTACTCATTTATTTTTAATTTGCATTTGCTCTTTAAGATTGCTAATAATAATATTAAGATTGTTTTAATCAAGATAATTGCATCATAAAAGACTGCGAAGCTTAATTATTTGTATAAACTACATGGAAATTTTAAAATATTACTATGAAAAATGTTGTTTTCAACATAGAAAATCATTAATCTTAGGTTGAAGAATACTCCATAACAGCCTAAATTATGACTATATAATCTTCGACGTTTTAATAAAACATCGGAGAATACTTTGTAGATTTAGCATTTCAGGGACTGGAAATCATACTTTAAGATATAGACTTTGTCTTATTTGAGAAAGTTTAATTTACAGCAAAAACTCTATAATTGTAGGATGTTGTGATGAATACCAATTTCCTAATGATGTATTCTGATTATGTTGAATTGGAAAACTCCCTAATATAATGCCATTTTTTAAAGTGTCTTGGTGCTGATTGTCTGTGTAATTAAGGTTACTGTAATAAAAATTTGATTGGAGAAATAAAACCATTTAAGAGAATTCCCGTTAATTTAGAAGAGAATTTCACTCTTGGTATTGCAGCAGATGAAGTACTGTTACAAAACACATAATTATTTGGAAGTAGTATTGGTATTTATGCGAATAAATCTAATATAACCATCGATTCTAAATCTATTGTTTATGCATCTGGTTTAGGATGCAAGGAATAATAAGGATATGGTTGTGGATTTTATGATTGGATGTTATCCTACACTTTGAAATGTGGATCTTCTGGAGGGAGTCATGGTGGCTTTGGTGGAAGACCCAAATCATAAGTGCTTGATTTTGATGAATAGTGCAAAAAGTTAATACCTAGAGAAGCTTATGGAAATCCATTTAATCCATTATTTGAGGGATCTGGAGGTGGAGGAAACTACTTTGGAGGATATGGTGGAGGAGTTATCTATTTTTAGAGTATCAATATTATAATAGATGGAACAATAGAAACCAATGGGGAATCTTCTTAGAGAGATGATTCTATTATCTATGGTGGGGGGTCTGGTGGATCAATTTAATTTAGAGGCAAACTGTTTGGAAGAGGACTTGTATCTGCTGAAGGTGGTGAAGGATCAAAAATTAGTGGGAAAGGAAGCGGAGGCAGAATATTTTTTGATGATCCAATGAATCATAATCTGAAAATAACTACAGGCCTGAAGTCTTCATAAGGAACTATATATTATAATGAGTGTCCTTAAGGATTTGGAATAATTAGATAAGATTCAAGGTGTACATAATGTCCATCAGGGTTTTATACTTATTTATCAAGCGTTGGAGAATGCAAAAGATGCATTAATTATGATGATGATGTTAATATTTATGAATAATCGATCAGTCCAATATGTAAAATATAATCATGTAAATATGGAAAAATACTTGATAAATAATAATGTGTCGTATATAATTTTGTTAGGTAATCTGGAGGTGAAAATGTTTTATTTGGCATCATTTTCTTTATTGGATTACTGGTCGTAAATTTCATCATATTCCTCTGTCTATAAAAGCGAATCTCTAATCATAAAGTTAACTAAACTATATCCTTCTCAGACCTCCAAGAAAATCCTAATTTATACGAAGCAGCATCAGAAGATCCGAGATTTCTACCTGAAGATCTTCCTTACTACGTTAAAAGGTTATATATTTAAGGCAACAACACTCCTAGTACTCCATGGCATTTACCTCTTCATACTTAACTTGATCAATAGGATATCAATAATATAGTTTCGAATATTAACTCTATTGGATAATACACAAAATGGTAATAAATCTCGTTAGTGTTCTTAAAGATTTGGTACTTCCCTTTTTACTTTATATTATTAAAGTACTACCAAAAGAAAAAATCTAAGCAGATCTTCAGCTTTATGCAAAAGAATAATAGATTTAGCATTTATTGTCTGAAACTATCCTGTAGTTCAGATTACACTTTAGCCTATATAGATGTCTTGAATTATAATAATAACATCTTAGATTGGAACAAATCCACTCAATTTCCAATTTCCTTAGTGTTATAAGGAGATGGAGATTTCCTATTTCCTTGGTAAATCAATTTAAAAGATCCCTTGGTAAAATCAATGAAGATGTCATTTGAGAAATAGAAGATATTTATGCCAATAGATGACGGTGATTCAGATGGTTTATTATCTGAAAATGATGAAGAGGAAATACACACTTTTGATGAATTCATTATAAAATTCAATTTATTAATGTTGCAGATAGATATTAGAAAGGGAAATGCAGAATTCATTAAAAATTGTTTTTCTTTATTTGAATTTATTGATGAAAGCAATAGTGAGATTTTCAACAAAAAACAAATCTTGTTAGATATATGTTTTCACATTTTGGGATTTCAATAATCATCTTTGATCATATTGACTACTTAAAAGCTTCTCGATTTTCAATAGACTTTGAGAGAACTCCATTATATAGTGAATTACAAATCAGAATATCAGATTAAGGTATCAGTTAATTTTGAAAAGTAAGATTTTAATGTCAAGAGATATTACGATAATTAAATTGTAATTAATACTATTAATGATATAAATAAACAAATAACAATGTATTAAAGGTATGAGGAAGACAAAGAGGAATTGAATAATCTAAAAATGTAAATGCAAAGGAAAATAGAGGCTGATGGAATACTCACTCCATTATTAGCTTAAAAGTAGGACGCAGAAGAAGAAGAGGATAATCATTTATAAAAAAATAATAAGTGTAATATATTGTGGGTTAGAATTATAAGATTCATCACAATTACATTTTCTTATTTTCTACGTTATAGAGATTTCAAAAATGAGAGAATGCTGACATCAGTTTTGGTTGTGCTATGCATAATTCAAATTACGCTTTATGTGATATATGTATTAGAATTGATAGTTGATGTTTTCGACACAACATATTTAGATTAACAGTACTTTTTTACCTTTTATGTTGTCGAAGCTATTGTGTAAATAACCTTGTTCCCCTTCTCATAACTAATTACTGAAATAGTTTTGGTGATTTGGGTAAGAGTATTGATTGTTATGTGTAGTTATTGAATCCGCAGAAGAAGTATTTTGGAAAGAACTTCTTAATCTTCAACTTCTGTTCCACCATCAACAATATGATTTTATCAATATTTGCCATCATAGAATTTGCAATAATCACCATATAGAATTTAGAATCAGACTATTACTTCTTTGCATCAGTAAAGCTAATTCTATTTTTGATCCAAAGTGTACAAGGGTATCTAGGGACTAAGTATTTAACCCTCTGAATACATTACTTACAAGAAATTAAGAATAATTAAAATATCATACAAATATTATAATTCTAGACAATATTATTCAGGCTATTCTATTTTCAATAATTTAAATTAAAAATTATGCAAGTAGAACCGTATATAAATTCTGTGGTGAAGACACTAGATAACAACACTCTAATAAATGCAAAGCTAAAGAGAAGGAAATACCAGAACATCAATTATGATAATGATGGACTCACAGTTAAGTATACTCCGAACTAAGAAATTCACGAACTTGCTTGCTTGTAAACAGATTAAGCCATCACTTCTTCGTTATATTATTTCGAGGTTAAAATCCTGAAAAAAATAAACAACAAGAAGTAATTTTGATGCTTAAATTCAGTGCGATATCTATAGGGTTGGCATTTGATAAGTATCAAATGAACATGCCTTTGGGAGTCTTTAGTGGGAGCATAGGATACTACTCAGATGGAAAGGTAATTGTTCAAAAAAAGGAGATTGATTTAAAAATGAATCCGTACAAACAAGATGATATTGTAGGATGTGGAATTCATAAATCAGTAGTTTTCTTTACTCACAATGGAATTCGAAGTTTGCAAACAGTCAAAATTGATTTTAAAGAACCCTTATACCCAACTGTAGTTTGCGGAGATCTTGTAGTTTTGCAATTCAACTTAGGAGCAAGTCCTATGATGTATGATTACAAGAAGATGTAATTGAAGGAGAAGCAGGAAATAATCTAGTAGATAGATAAATAAGATGTTTCACCTTATAGTCTTCATCTCATGATATAAGAATACCTGTGGAGCCAAGGTTACATGAATTCTTTGAAGCAATTTGAGAGAGAAAGCTCTCTTGAGGAAAACCAGAGTATGAGAATTGAAAAAAATACAGAGGAAATGGCATATGAAGAAGAATAGTAATTAGAAGGGGATTTAAAGAGAAAGTAAAGTCTGCAAATGACGCCGATGTCTGCTTTGCAAAGAAAATTAAGTGGATTGCAGAGTCCTAATTTTTAATAAATTTCATCGATTGAGAGGAAAGTTAGTGGATTTTAGTTAGATGAGTAGGAAAACAACAATGAACTTAATTAAATAGCAGAATAGGCTTTTATGAAAGATGAGCTAGTTAATTAAGAAAGAATAAGTATGTTAGTTATTTAAATCAGAAATCCAGAAACTCATTCGAGAAGGCATGATAGATGATGTTATTGTTATTCTAAATGAAATGATGCCTGAGTTTTTAAAAAAGGAAGGGATCGAACAAACACTCTATGCCTAATGGTTTATTGAATTAAGTATTCTCATCTATCAATTGATTAGTAAAAAGGGACAAAATCTTAGAAGTTATAGAGTTGGGACGACAGCATTTGAGCCAGTATTTACATTTCCAAGTTGAAAGTGTGGATAAGAATTTGAACCCCATCAAAATAAAAATAGAAAGCATATTGGGATTGATATGTTATGATGACATAGGGAGTAGTGATTTGAGAGGACTTGTTAGTTAATAATAAAGAGAAAGGGTTTGTGAGTACATCAACAGAATGTTGCTAAGTAATTATAGGAAATTCTAATAATTTTAGTTGAATTGGGATATGAAGATGAATCGGCTCTGGAGATATGTCTCAAATAATTAACTTAGGTTTGTGATTAAATTTAGTAAAGAGGTTTGCTTGGTGGTTAGAGTGTCTAGTTTTTATGATTAAATTATTTTATTTTTGTTAGAAAGTAAATACTAATTTTTAAAGTATTATAATTTTTAATTGAATGATGGTTAATTGTCCATTGTTGATTTTGGATTGCTAATTAAAAAGTTGTTCAAAATAAATATTATTATTTAATATAACAAAAATTCTTGATGGGGGCCAATTGCTAATCTTGCTGTGCAAACAAGGAGAATGACAATACAGAAATCAAATTGACGTAGGACAAAGCAAAGCCCAAATCCAATAAATAAGATAATGACCAAAAAAAAGAGGAAGTGAAGGTTTAAATAAAAGAACATGAAAGATTTACGATTGATTAAGAATAATAAAAATAAAAGAAAGATACGAAAAAAGAACAAAAAAAAGAATCAGCAAAAGAAGTTACACCCAAGAATGCTGATGAAAATTCGAAAAAATCATAAGAATAAGATAAATAATTAAATATTTCTGCAAACCATTCAGTTAGTATGAATGTAGCAAGCAACCAAGAGGGAAACGATCTCATTAAAAGTACTATGAATTCCACTGAGAGAAAGAAGTTACCTCCAATACAACTAGAGTCAGGGGCAGTCTATGAAGGAGAGTGGAAAAATGGTATGAGAGATGGATATGGAAAATAAAAATGGCCAGATGGTTCAGTTTACGAGGGAGAATGGGTTGAGGACAAGTCATCCGGAAGAGTATTTATTAATCTAACACATTTAGGGTAAATTGACACATGCAGACGGAGATGTTTATGATGGGGAATGGAAAAATGATAAGGCAAATGGCAAAGGAACATATATTCATGTGAATGGTGCCAAATACGAAGGAGAGGTAAATTTAAGTTCTATCTCTAGTGGGAAAATGACAAACAACATGGTCGAGGAGTAGAAAATTGGCCAGATGGAGCTAAATATGAGGGTCAATATTTCGAAGGGAAGAAACATGGAAATGGTATCTTGAATTTTGCTGATGGTTCACGTTATGATGGTATCGATTTGTACCATTATTTAAGGTGAGTTCCTACAAAATGACATCCATGGAGAGGGAACCTACATATGGCCAGATAAAAGAGTCTATAAAGGGTAGTGGAAGAAGAACAAAATGCATGGCAAAGGATAGATTATCTGGTAGGATGGTCGTAAATATACTGGTGTAATGAATTTCATCTATTGTAGGAATATGAAGAGGACAAGAAACACGGCAAGGGTGTCTTTGAATGGGCTGATGGCAGAAAATACATAGGAACTTGGATATAGGGTAAGAGTATTTGCTATTGTTTTAGGAAGATAACATGGAATTGGAATCTATTATTTATAAAATAAGGAAGTCAAAGTTGGAGAATGGAATGAAGGAAAAAGAATCAAATGGTTTGAAAAGAATGAAATTGACTAGTTAATTCAAGAATAAAAAATTAAGAGAGAGGATTTGCATTAATAGGATTGATTCACATAACTATAATTTTATCTTAATCTTTTAGTTTTTATAAATAACATTTTTAATGTTTGTCTACAATAGACTTGATTTTCATCGTTTATCTATTTATTGGAATTCATATAAATTCAAATCCAAAAATATTCTGATATATTATTATATTAAATTAGTTTAAATGGCTAACAGGGAATATGATTATTTGTTCAAATTAGTTATAATAGGCAACAGTGGAGTCGGAAAGTCTGCTCTTTTATTACGATTCGCAGATGATACTTTTAGTGAAAACTACATCACAACCATTGGAGTTGATTTTAGATTCAAAACATTAAAAGTAGATAATAAAGGTTTGAAATTGCAAATCTGGGATACTGCTGGATAAGAGAGATTTAGAACAATTACTAATGCTTATTATAAAGGAGCTGATGCGTAATTATTATAAAAATCAAAATTAGAATTGTTATTGTCTATGACACAACATGTTAGCAGTCCTTTGATGACATTGAAAAGTTTTGGTTGAATGAAATCGAGAGTTATGCAGAAAAAAATGCAGAACTCTTGTTGTTGGGAAACAAATCAGATCTAAGCACAAAATAGGTTTCAAGTGAGAGAGTTCAAGAATATGCTCAAAAAAGAAATATGACATTCTTTGAAACAAGTGCCAAGACTGCCGATGGAGTAGAAGAAGCCTTCAAAAATATAGCTATCAAATTAATGTCTAAAAGAGATTAACAAGTTTAAGATAAAAAAAATAAAAAAAAATAATAAAGAGTAAATATTCAATTTGAATTATTAGTAATCATCATCGTCATCAAAAAGAACAGAAGACTTTTCAAACTCTAGTGAAATCAAACAAGAAGACGAATCAAAAAATGTTAACTTGTGGTCAAATAAGAGCCCAGAAAATGCCAAGTAAGAATAGTAATGCTAATGTTGAATATAAAATCAACCTGTTAAAATAAAATATTTTTATGTATATTAATGCACAGATTCAAATATATTGAACAGTAAATTAGAGTGTTTTATTGAAAAAGCTCAAAATTTGTACCTCCAAACTTACCCTTAGAATCAGGAATATTGTTGAAATCTCAGGAGGAGATTGTTTCCTTTTGATAAAAAGATTCTTTAATTAATTTAATTTCATTTAGTTGTTGTATCATTAAATTGATTTAATTAATTAATGCTTAATTCTAGCTTAAATAAGCTCGATGAATAAGATTCATTTATTATATAATGTCTTACAAAAAGAATAAGCAATCTAATTTTAACCTCCTTTTGTAAAAAGTTATTAAAAACGGCATTAAAAATTTGGAAAGTTATCAAAAATTTCTTAGAGTTTGTATAACAAATATTCTTTTTTGAATCAGAATTATAAAGAAAAGTATAAATGTGAAATTTAGAATCATCATTATATTTTTGAGATCTGTGGATTTACCCATTCTAAATAAGGTTTCTGATTTATCAACTTTTAAACTAGTTTTCCAATGGCAATCGCAGGCTCTTTCTGATTGAATTGGCAGTGTACGATATTGAGATTAAATTTGACCTTTTTCTTCTCATCCTTTCTTTAGTTACTCATCCCATTCTTATTATATGGAGTTTCTTGTAGGGAGTTGTTGGCTTAGGATAAAAATTAATTATTAAAGTCATCAGTACATTGAGTGTCGTCAATATCATGATTTTGATAAGATTCTAGAGGTTACATAAAGATCGGTTTAGGTCCAATGAGAGGACTTGAATTTAATTAGATCATATAATTATTTTTTCTTATAAAAAGAACCAAATATATATATTCAAATCAGCACTAAATCATTGATGGGTTAACCCATTTCATAGAAGACTAAATTTTCAGTGATTGCAAAGACTTTGAGATTTATTTAACAGGGTCTGATTAAAGAAAATATAACACTGCGATATCTTCATTAAATCTAATAGTTTTTTTAATGTGATTGATAATTTATTATGATTGATATTGGGTAGTATAATTTTAAGATTATTCCATTTCATCTTCAACCAAAGTTCTGGTCAATAGCGATAGAGGTACAAAATCAGTTAAATGTGGCCCTATCATATCGCTCATATTTTTTTAATAATTTTTATTTTAACTAATAAAAAGGAATGTGAAAATTCAAAAATGTAACAATTAAATAAGTTTGTTTAAAGTTTCCTGATATGTATTCCAGTCCCCACTTAAATGATGACCTTTCAACAAGTATAAGTTATCACAATTCTAGATCTATCTAATAGAAAGTTCAAATTTAATATTGAGATTAAATTAGCATATGATATCGTAAGGATCATTTTACTATTCAATATGAACAAATAAACTACTTATAAGATCTTGATCTGCATTTAATTCATGAATTTCTTCAGGTCCTCAACCAACCTTTCTGGATCTCTATTGGTAGTACACTTCAAATTAAAGGCCCCCTTATGGATTTTTAGCACAGGATTTTTCGGCTTCACTGAAATAGTATAGTCAGAAATAGCAATGATAGCACGATCTCTTCCTGAAAACTACTATTATTCTGAACTACTACTTTGATTTTATTTTTATCTAAAGAGAAGGATTCTTCAGTTTATTTTCTGTTAGTGGAAATGGGAGTATTGCCATTGGTGCCAACACTGGATATTGAATTATTGACAACTTAAGTAATGACTTTCATTTAAGGTGGAATTAATGGTTTAGTTTAAGGTCTTCGAACAATCTCTCTTTTTAATAATACCATATGTTATTTAGGGGAATCAGGTTTCGTATTTTATTTTAAAGGTTAAGGCGAAGGAGATTGTTGTCGAGTATTATTAATCGAAGTGATAATTCTATGCTAAGGAGATTACCCATTACTTGTATTTTACCTCTGTTTTGATGTAGTATTGGAATCAGGGATGGATGTGTTCAATCCATAAGACAACGCAAGGGGATCATCTGATTCCTTTTTAAAATAATTGAATGTTCTATTTCTTTTATTTTTTTGAATCTGTAAATAGTAAAGAGTTGTTATATTGTCATGTCGGTTCTTTTTAACTTTTTTCCTGCATTCAGTTGGATCCACTCCATACAATGTTTTTAATTACTCTACTACTATTTCATCAACAACAATATTATCATTTCCTATCAGATTGTATTATTCGTCTATTCTCACTTACTTTGCCCATTTGTGACCTTTGATTTGAGGAATCGTAAATCTTTACTTGGGATTGGTGTTCAAAATGCTTTTGAGCAAATCTTTAGCATCACATGATAACCATTTAGGGAATGTTAATTCACCAGCAATAATCTTCTTGTATAACTAATTAGTGTTTTAATCCTCGAATGGTAAGTAACCACAAAGCATTGCATATAAAACTATGCCACAACTCCAAATGTCTATCAAATAACCTGAATATTTGAGGCCTTGTATCATTTCGGGTGCAGCATAACAAGGACTTCCGCAAGCTGTCTTTAATAATTCATTTGGCTTGTATGTGTTAGATAACCCAAAATCCACTATTTTAATATTCTAGTTTTAGTCAAATAAGAGATTTTCAGGTTTCAAATCTCGATGAACAATCCCAATCCTATGTATGTATTCTACTCCTGAGAGGATTTATAATAAAAATTTGCATGCTTTTTTCTCTTGTATTCTTTGATTCTTGGTTATGTATTCAAATAATTCTCCTCCACTTGCGTATTCCATTATTAGATAGATTTCTTTATCTGTATCTATAATTTCATAAATTTATATTATATGCGGATGTCTTAATTTTTTTAGGATCTCAATCTCCTTAGCTATACGATAAACATCACTATCATCCTAAAATTTTGCTTTTTCTAAAATTTTCACAGCCACCTAATTGTATGAAATATGAAAAAAACTTTTTCACCAGTCTACAAATGAGTACCAATTTTCACTTTTCCAAATGTACCTTCGCCTATTGTGTTTCCTAGAGTATAATTGCCGAGAGTGCATTCTTACATTATTATATGCTGTTATTATTAATATAATAAATTATTATGGGCAATATCGAAAGTGAAGAAGAGGAAACTCTCCCAGAATTGAAATCAATGAAATTTATTGTTAACAAAGGGACTTACAAAGTTTATCAAAATCTTCAGAATAATAAATTTTACGATTTCTGGTTTCAAAAATCAAGTGATCACAATTTTGAAGAGGAAATGGAAATAGCAAATCGAATTAAAAAAGAAAATCTATCAGGAGTTGCTTAAATTCATACTATCCAACGAAACTCAAAAGAAACACTGTTTAAAAAGTATTATTGTTTGAATCTTCTAACAGAGCATCCTACCTATACACTTAAAGATTATATATAAAAAAAAGCTAAAAATAAATGCTTAACTCCAGACCAAATCACTGATCTCTTCGTAGCCATCACAAATGCATAATACATGCTAGGTTCAAAGAAATAATATTTGGGATTTGACAATATCTATACAGATGATGGAAGAATCTGGAAAATCAAGCCCTTCCTTAAAACAATTTCATTCTATTAAGAATTATTACAACACAAATCTAAAAATCTAGACTCTTTTGAGATGTCTGGATTCCCCTCGCCTGAAGAATTCCATTAAATCAACTGCGACATAGATAGAGTTTAAATTTTTGGCTTAGGCATGCTCTTATTAGAATTGATCACAAGTATTATTCATATCTTATCTATAGAAAAGAAAAGCAAAGACATTTATTAGAGATATACAATCGATGAAGCACTCTTGCAAGAAAGAATAAACAGTTTACAAGGAGAAAAATAAAAATATCGTGGAAGATTGATTGAGTTTGTGACTGACACTTTAGACCTTGATTTGGTAAGAAGACCAAACTATCGCTAATTATCGACCTTTTTGAACTCACCAGAGTCGAATATTAATTCTGAATTCATTAATTAACAAGTTCAACCCATAGATCAAAATAAGCCTGTAAATTACAGTTCATTTAATCCATCAGAGAGTCAAATCTCTGAAGCAAATATAGATTTTCAATATTCCAGGGTTGAACAGTTATTAAACAGTAAAATTAATGATCATAGAATAAAAAATAGTTATAAACCAAAACAGAATTAATCTAATTAAACTGATTACAATTATTATGGTCTTCGTCGCAATGGCCTTTATCATGGACAAGGTAATAAATATCTTAAAATAATATAGCTAAACTTTTCACAAAGACAAATATGTTAATATATGAAGGAGAGTTTTGTGATGGAAAATACCATAATTTTGGTACATTAAAATATTTTGATACAATATAATTGAAAGAAAACTTCAATTACAAGGACTGCACTAATATAGAGAAATATGCTGTTTCCTATGAGGGGTCCTTTCAACACGACATGTATCATTACAATATTTAATATAGAAAACATGGAGAAGGTAGATTAACCTTAACAAATGGAGAAGTTTTTGTTGGCTAATTTGTCAATGGTGTTATTGATGGCTATGGTTCATTTCAACCCAATAATCAATAAAAAGTTATAGGAATCTGGAAGGATGGTATATTTTAATCTAATTCCTCAATTCTTCAATCATTCGACAATCTAAATGTTAGGGCCTCTGAAAATTTCAACAAGTCAGAAATAAAGGGAAGATAATAATTAGAATCTTAAGAGTTATTCAACTCTTAAAATTAAATGAACTCCTCGGACATCAATGACAATAATTTACCAAAATTATATTATGATGATTAGAAAACACTGATTAAATATGTAGGTGAAATGAATCAAGGCAAAATGAGCGGTTAAGGCAAGTTATTCTTTATGGATGGGAAACTTAAAATATATTGGAGACTTTGAGAATGATTTATTTAATGGTTTTGGAACTTTGTATAATGAAAACCCAGTTTTTGAGTATCAAATTAACTACTAATAATTTGGAGAGGTATAGAGTAAAGGTCACTGGAACTACTATTAGGGTACATTTTAGAATGGACTGTAATTATCTAATTTATTCTTAGTAAAAGTGGTATAGGAAGTTGGTATTTAACTAACAACAGTGAGTTTTAAGGTATTTTTGAAAATGATCTTCCTCATGGAAAAGGAGTTTTAAGAGTTAATCATGAAGAATTAAATGCTGAGTGGAAAAATGGGTAACTATAGGGAAAATTATGAATATAAAAAGTTTATCAATTGTGAGTCAGTTTCTATAAAGTTTTATTTTATCTAAATTTATTAGTCTTTTATTGAAGATTGCACATTAATTAGTTATCTATCCATTTTTCTTATCAAATATTATTTCATCTTCAATAAATTTTCATTATAATTATGTATTTCATGATAAACGCAATGACTAATTAGGGTTTATTTTATTTTTAATTTCTAAATTTAAATATTCCAATTGTTTGGAATATATCTGAAAAAAAAATAAAATTAGATTAATTCTTTTTGATAATCGAACACTCTATAATAATTTATCTAGGTTTTCTTGTTAAAATAAATTCATCCAAAAAATTCATAACTCATAAAACTATATCATTACGTGATGATATCTGATTTATTTATATTGTTATGACTGTTCAAATTGAATTTTAGCCTATAAGTATGGATATAAGTTAAAAGAAAATCTCACACCCATTAATATTTACGATATGAATTCGTAAAATCAGCGCTTTCTTAGAGGATCATCCACTTCCAGGTCTATTATATATCCAATTCTCTTTAATATTATACCTTCTGAATTCTATAAAAGTTTGGTTAATCTCAAATATAATATTTAGCTTAACAAACAATGCACTTTGCGATTGAGGTCTTATTAATCTACTTTTATAGTTAGTTCTCATATTAAGAAATTTTATTAATTATTAATAAACCAAAAAATGTCATTAATAGATTATATTGAGGATGATTAGACTTACTAATTTACTAAATATCTGAACCTAGCAAAGGTATGTTGATGACTAATCCTATTAGACTGAATAAGAAAAGCAACTTTTTGATAGATTTGCATATGGAGTTTGTGATCCGTCAATTAAGTATCCAAATGAGAAATAAAAAAAGAAAATGATTATACTTACCATTCTATAATTGTGTTAGAGGTTATCAATAATAATAATATAGAAATAAATGTGTGACTTTTGATAATATATAGCAGGCTTGTTTTTTAAATTCCAGAGCTGAGATTGAATAGTTATTAATTGATCTCATTCAAAAAGAATTGATTCTTGGCACTATAGATGACTAAAAAGGATGCTTAAATATCTAAAGATGTATCAGCAGAGATGTTAGAAATTCCGATATTCCAGCTATGAAGAAGTAGATTGAATCCATGTACGAGAGAGTAAAACATTTGAAACAATAGTTAAAATAATAATGAACGGAATTTATTTTAATAATTAAAGAAATTGTGAATGTGCCAGATTGCTTTCGATTTATTATTAAATGTACGGTATTATAATCGTAAACAAATCAATTGATGTTAAGCTTAGTTCTTCTCCAGTGTCTACGCTTTGAATTATATCTATAATGAGACTAAGATTCAATCATTACCTGATTGTGTTATCAGTTCTATATCTAAACCAATTTGGAAGAGGTCTATTTTGCTTATTTGCTTTGATCAATCTCTTCTTCATTCTCAATGATTTGTGTGCTCCCTAAAATAAACGTAAGTGAAACTCATTACCATTTTAAATCTTTTTTTTAATTTATTTAATATTTTTCTTTTGTATACAATATTCAATTATTATTGTAAGAAATAAGACTTCATGAATTACATCCTAAAAACCCAATGAATTTATGTATATTTTATATGATTGGTAAAGTATTATGATTCATAGAGAAAATGGTAATATTATGAAACCTTTTTAGTATTATTTTCTCTATTATGTAAGGAATATTCATAACATGTGGGCTTCCATTTCATTTGTTTTAAAAATCATAAATTCTAGAAAGCAATGTTGACTTAATAGGTAATTTCAAAAATTTAATAGTGTTTTTTTAAATAGATAATACATTTTGATCCAAAGATCTATTTTTAACCTTTGATTATTTACTTATAAAATAATAAAGTCCTCCTCTAAAAGTGGTTTTTATAAAAGTTGAATAATAATGTTTATTCAATCAAAATAATCCTAAGATTATCTGAATTTTCTTTTTCTTTAGAATAATTATTCCTTTTTGATATTATATTAATCCAAACAGTATATGTCTTAAATCACTTTAAGTAAACTTTCCTAAATTTGAAAATCTACCTATTAATGAGAGAAAACATTATTTTAGGTATATAAGCCTAACATAATTTACATTGTTACTAATACTCTGATTCCTTTAAAATATCTAATAATTCTTATTCTTTCTCAAGGTTTAATCAATTAATTCTAACTCCTTCTTTGATTCTTAAGGATAAATGATAAAGTGGAATATTTAGTTGAAGTAAGATATTATATATATTTTCTATACGTCATATTCTTTAATACTTCGTATCAATTTATGATTATACTTGATTATTATCATTTATAAATTGTACTTAATTAGTTGATCAGAATATTATTTTTCATATTAAAATAAAACCCGTTTCATCAGAATTAATTATGCAAATCTTAGAAAATTCAGATTCAATAGTGAGTGATGACCAATCCTTGGAATTAGATTGCAGAATAATTGTGCCAAAGTTTAAGTAAGAGGAATATGATACTTTTTAAACTGAAATCTATTCTTCTGTCATTACAAGGGTGATGTAAATGAGATCTAATTCACAAGAATTCAAATTTAAGTAGCCCAATTAAAATAGTCCATAAGGTTCCTAAAATTCCATTTAAAAACAAATTTAATGCACTTTACTCAATGAAAATGAATACTCAAATAAATTGAGTGTTAAGTTACACCTCTAACAAGAATAAGCGAAAAAAAAGGGGCGTATATCGAAATAGAAAGACAAGGCTCCTCAAAGTCCTGCAAGATCAGTAGAAGGTATTGATCATTCTCAGACTCCCTAAAAGGAAGATTGGAATGGAATTAAAATGTCAACCAAATAAATTCAACCTTAGTAGAAACAACCTTAAATTAGATAAAATAAACGATAGTTAAGTTAAACTTTTAAAAGCTGTTCTGTTGAAGTATCACCCATTAAAATATCACGATTTTCTTAAAGATAAATTTATGTGACATAATTGGTGAATACTTACTAAGAGCCTTTATAAGAGAAATTAAGCCTTGTATAATTAGAAAACAATGAGAAAATAACTAAAATTACTTATAGTCCATACACAAGTAAGACTAGGACTGTTAGGAATTGTATTCAAAATACCTAAATAAAAGGAATACTAAAGAGCAAATCATGTAACAGTGAGGGAGGAAAGAGAAGAAAAAATACATCTTAGGACTCACATAATAAGAAATCCAAATTTTTTAAAAAGGTTACGTTTAATTCTGGCAAATTACCTAAATATGAATCATTTTAAAGCAGGAAAGAAGCATCTTCTAAATAGCTGATAATAATTTAATGAAATTGTAGTAATATATTTCTCTTTCTTAAAATAATATACATAATATTTATATATTTTATTCGAATGTAATCGTTATAAATAAATTATGAATTTAAGACTTAAAAACTCTAGCTTTGTGACTAACAACAATGATATCTCTAGATTAAGAAGAGCTCGACTTATTTAACCTAATTAACAATAATCTAAGTCCTTAGCTAATGTTAAAATCAATGTATCTCCAGAACTTAAACAAAAGAAATAGAAAACAATTCATCAAGATGGTGTCTAAGAAGAAACCATTAAGGATTACAAATAAAATGAAAAAAACCAATTTTGTAAAGCTAAATTATAAGAGTTATTTAGTCTGAGAAAAAGTACAGAATATATTATAAATTGAGGCAGCTTAACTCCGTTATTAAAATAATAAATCAATAGATAGCAAACAATAATTAAGCATTAGCCTGACTTTACAAAGTAACAGGATTTATATGTTCGAATTAGAAGGCAAAGCATTGAAAATCTTTAAACCTAAGAAAAATAAAAGAATTTTTTATTAAGATCATCATAGGATTGCACCTAAAAGAAAATAATTTACACCAATAACCTTAAATCTACTAATGGAATTCCCCTCTTAAACAGAAGTGTTTCATAATTTACTTGTATCACTCCAAAAAAAAATGAAAATGACTGCATTAATTAATAATAAAAGGAAAGTATCAAAAGGTAAAAGTTCGAGGGGTTAATCAATTTAATAATTAATATGAACATTGAGAACCTAGTTATAGCTTTTAATTCAATCAAAAACAAAGCTCCTTTACTGCCTTTCATAAAGGAACTTAAAAGGAGAAAGGAAGATTTTCAACAGAAAAGGTTTTTTATCTAATTAGTTAAAGCATAATGATGATTGATTTTTATTTATAAACAGATAGATAATAATAATATAAAATCATTAAATGTGGCTTTCTAGTAGATTAGGACATTGCCAAAAGACAAGGTCAACTAATTTTTATATTTAGTGACTATTGTAATTATCCAATAAATCTTTTTAGTTGATTTTTTTTTATAAGCTAGATTCAATCTAATCAATATTCTGCATTATTTCAATATACAATTGCTGAAACAACTATAAAATAGTTTATATCTTAGTCACGTTAATTTGAATTTTTTGTAAATTGATTGGTGAAATAATTGTAAGTGGCTAATTTGATTATTCGTCTTCAATATTGCAAAAGTTATTTTACCCTTTTTCATCTAAATATATAGCCCATTTATTTGGATCAAAATTGCATCCATATTTGTGTAAGAAATTGATTAATTTTTAACCAATATTGTGATCTTACCCAATGGCAGCCAACATAATAGTTAAGCAGAATGAACTAATACCACCAGTGTATGAATCATTTAGGTCTTTTATCTTGAGCAATTTCTTTAAATATATTGCTACTTCTGAGAACCCTTGAATTTTATCGCATATATCAATCGTGTATTGAGTCGATTAAAAACCAATATTGTATGCTTATATATATGGATTATATATTCGATATGGAGGAGTCAATTCAAACGTGATATCAATGAAGATATGTTAACCTAAAGTCAAACTCAAAATTACTTGGATCTCCATATTTTAAATTGAGATCAAGATTTCTGCACTGCATTAAAATATATTTTGGCTCTCCTTTGAACGAAAGAAAGTCTATAGAAGGATCTACTAAAACTTTGATAAGTGGCACTGAGGCTTAAAATATATGTCTAAATTATAGTAAATAAATGTTACTTGCATTAAACAGTCCATTTCAATTCACTAAATATCTCTATCAATTTTCTCATAGGTTCAAATAATTATTATTTTGTGTATACATGTAAACCATAAACAACCATATCAACATCACTATCTTTTAAGGCTAAGCCAGTCGTAGATGATCCAAAGATTTCAGTTTCGCAATTCTAAAAATATGATTTAATAACATGCTAGACTCTTTGAATAGAAATATCCCTAGCTACCTTGTACCTATTAAATTAATCAATCTCTTTTTGATATATTGATTTCACATCATTTGTAATTTTTTATTCCAATATTGTTTTATAGATCTTTTACAATTAGGTTTGATCCAAATCGTATGTGTATAACTTCTACTCTTTGTTTTAAGCTTTTGATTTGACTAAGCCTGATCTTTGAATTTTATTTATCCCATTCTCCTTTTTTTGTAAAGTGATCCTATTTTGCTATTGAGATTGCATCCTTTCCAATTTTAATTCATCATATTAGTGATGATTATTTTTTTAGACTGATTGAGAAGTAGATTTTTTTAATGCTGGAATATACTGTTACTCATCTGGCAATGATTAATTGTCTTAAAACTCCTTATCTTTCTTGTTGGCCTACTTCTTATGTCTAGATGATTTTGACTTACTTTATTTTTTCTATTGCTTTTTATTCTAAACTTCAATGTAATCGCTCTCATCATCAGGTAATTAATTAATGACTATGGGAATTTCTTAAGTTACTTTTTCAATGATCAAGCTCTTTTATTATTATAATTATTATTACTATTATTATTGTTATTATTATTATTATTGTTATTATTATTGTTATTGTTATTATTATTGTTATTATTGTTATTATTATTATTCAATTGTTTATTCCTCATTATCATTATCATTTTCAATATCTTCATTATCATCTTTGATTGAAGATTTAGATGATTTCTCTATTTTTTCATCTTGTTACACACTTAGCTATTAAGATTGATTCATTTATTTGAGTTTCTTCCTTTCTAAATTGCTAGAAATATCACTTGATAATTTTACTCTTTTTTTCTTTATTTTTCAAGCTGTTTTTTCCTTTATTTTTTAGACTTTGGTTTATCATTCCATTCATCATCTTTAATAATATCTTGAGATACTTATACGGGGGGTTCTGGCTACACAATTTCAATTACTTATTATTTTTTAGTATTTTTAACTTTCTTAAGTTTCTTTTTATACTATTTAAAATTCTCAAGTTCTATCACAACAGTTTCAATCAACTTTTTCATAAAACCTGTCGAATGCTCATAAATTTACTGCTCTTTTTCCTCTAAATTAGTGCTAAATAATCTTTATTCAGTTTCTGGTAATATTTTTGACTTTCCAGAATTTGGAAAATAGGAAACAACTTATTTTAATTATTCCACATCAGCTTAACTTGAGAATAGTTTCAAATCAGAAAGCTTTTGTTTTGGTTTTTTCTTTTCTTTGAGATTCTCCTCAACTGGTTTTTTTAATGGACAAGTAATCTTTAATTATTTAGAAATTAAATATTTGCAAAACAATAAGGATTCTTTAACTATAAGTTTGAAATTTAATATTTACTTGTGAATTTAAGGGGTGATTAAAAAATTGCATCTTTGTCCTATAATAAATAATGGATTTATTGTTCAACATTATTGAAATTTAAATTTTCATATTTAATATGTTCAGACCAACTTTATAATAGAACTTTTTCATCAATAAACTACATTTCTACTTTAGATTGCTCCAAAACCTTTTAAAATTCTTGAGTTTCAAAGTCATAATTGATATTATTGAAATTTAATTCAATTTAATGGAAGTTTAATAATTAATCTTATTTAGTATAATTGCATTTTTGTTCAAATTATTAGAATCTTAAGTTGTATTTACAATATGTTACTTTATTAAGATGGCCTTTTCAATTTCGTTTACAATGTGTTCTGATAAGGTCCAGAACATTTTTTGATTTTATTATAAATCAAAATTAATTTCTGAGTATTCCTCATCCTCATTGGTCTCTATTCTCCAAGATTTTGTGAATATCAATTTTTTGGATAGTATTTCAAACGATTAAATAATTTCCTCGATATTGCCTTTAATTGTAACGGTATCTAAAAGCCATTCATAATCTGAAATGTATGTATGATCAAGAATATACTATTGTTTAAGTGCAATTGATACTTATTAGGCAGATCTCCATTCCTCAGTCATATCTATTCGATTGCACTCTCTCACATAATAATATTGATGTATTTGGATTTTTACATTAACTTCATATGGGGAATGAGACAATTCCAGATATTCATGAAGTAACTTTTAATCCTAATTAAACATCTTTAGAAGGGAATGAACTCTGTAATAAGAGGTAAAGGATAATACTTGCTCCAATTGTTGCGTTGGCAAATTTCTCAACCTTGATTAATGTGTCTCACTTACCAATTATATATTTGGTTTTTCTTTTCAGAAACATCCTTCTAAGGAGCATTCAGAGATTGACAGTAGTAAGTAACCTTGTTAATTTGGCGAGATGAATATCTTTGGAATTGGGTCTGGGGATAGGCAATCTCGTTCATAAATAAATTATTTTATGTGGTGTTGTTTTTGTTAATTTGTACTTGAGTATATGCAAAATAAAAAACATCATCTAAATCTTCTGAGGGAAATTCTATTTCTTCTGGCGTAATTGGCCCTTCTTGAAGGTCTAGTTTGATTGTTGCGATGACCCTTGACTCTGAGTCCTCTGCTCTTTCTGCCAGCCGATGTTAAACCTTTCATATTAATTTTCATTCAAACCTCTCAATTCTCTATGCTTGTGAACTGGTTTGGTGATCCAGTTGATTCTTGAGTCTCCTCTGATTGCTGGGTGGAATGGATCAACGGTGATGACTTCATAATATTTGTATGTTCCATCTTAGGCAACCCAATAAGAGTTCAAAACTCTAAGAGCTTCCAATCTTTCGGCCTACTCTTTCCTCAGCAACTGATCTAAGGTTTCTGGTGGGCTTTAATTAATTGACTCCTTGACTCTTGGGCTTTCCCTTGACAAGTCCCTTTCTGATGAGCAATTTTCTGCCTCCTCTTCTAACTCTGACTCTGTAAATCACATAGCCTAACATTATCATTATTTCTTTTACCTTGCTTGGCTTTGTATCCTAATCTTCTAGCCTTGTCAGGTCTGCTTGGTCTGGTTGCTCTGTGGATGACTGGTAATTGTCTGTATTCCCATGTTCTGATTCTCATGATGAAGCTCAACACATCTGATTGCTTCTTTTTCCAGAGCTCTTGTAAATACTTATATGCGCCCATTCTCTTAGAGAAAAAAGATTTTTATTTATGAAAAAATTTCAAATCAATATAAAGTAACCACAATATATAAATTTAATCATTTTATTTTTTAGAGTATTATTTTTTGATATTCATTTTTATCTTGAAGTTCTAGTTCAATCTCCCTATATTTAAGAGCAAAAAGGATTATTATAGTAGAAGTTCTCATAATAATTATTGTATATTCTTCATTTATCAAAAAATCTTTAAACTGATACAAGAATTACTCAAAAGATGTATTAGAATTAATTATTGATCACTTCAATGCTATCTAGTGATTAGTTGATTTATTAATTTTGTTTATCGAATATTCAAATAGTTATTATGTAAGATAATACAAAAACAGTTATTTTTTCAATTCAAATATTCAATCTAATTCCAAATCAGAATTATCCCACTTCGCTATAGGTATTGATGATTATTTCTTAAAGCAAAATTATTAATCAATTGGTTTTTAAGTCATTGACCTTTAATCTTTACTTCTTACACTACAAGTTTTTATGCTTTTAATTTAACTTGCTCTAACGGAGAATGGTGATTGAGTCAATCTTTGTTCAATTCTACATTTCTCAATATTCAACCCCAAAGACAGAGGCATAGCTTGAAATGGAATTGTTGTTCTTTTATTTTTAAACGACGATCCAATTCGTGACTGTGCTAGTCTATAATTCAAAAATTCTTAGTGTTTTTTAGTTTTGTTTGATTAAACATTGGCTTCTGTTGGTAGTTTCTATGTTTAACAACCATCTTCTATTTTCTCAGTTCTAAAAGTTTGTGTTTTGCACTTTTCTTTGCTGGGATACATCTTCTCAAGCTATGATTTCTTCAACTCTATTCTCTTTAAAATATCACTGTAGTTGCATTCATTGAGAGAAAGTGACTTATATTTAGTTCCCTATTATTTACTGGATTAATTTTTTGTCGATTTCGTTGTTTTTTATGTGAATTAGTAATTTTATAGTTATATTTATAAAATGGGGGGAGATCTAGTAGGAACGTTGGCTTAATGTTAATAATCTTTTAAAGTGGCTTGATAAAAGGATCTTCTAGGATGTTTTTGATTCTTTTGGGCTTTTTAAGATGCAAGTAGTAATGAGAGATTGCAAAGTTTTTGTGGGCTATTTTCATCAATGTAACTTATTGTAAGTGGTCTTTCATGAATTATTAGATTTTCTGCTCTGCTACTTATCGAAAAATATATTCTACCCAAAACAATCAATAGTTTTGTTCATGTTCAATTAGTAATATAAATTAGTGCGATAATAAAATTAAAATATATATTTGAGTTTATTTTAAGAAAAACAAATATCTGAAGTATTAAGTGAATGCTTTTATATATTAATTTAATAATCTGAATAAAAAAATCAATAGGATTTTGTCTTGCCCTTGAAATTATTCAATGAATATTAGCAAGAGAGTTTAATGATCCATATCTCTAACTAGTTTATAGTTACCTGCTGCTGTCGCTATACACATAATGGCATCAATGTTTGCCTATCTTATCATACTATTTAGATAGATTAATTTTATCAAATTTAAAACTCTATTAAAAATGAAATAATTTTTAAGAAAAACTATTATTTTTGGACGATCTTGATTTATAAATGAATATAAAATTATCAAATAAAATATTGCTCAAATCTCGAAAGAAATAGTCCAACTAATTATCATTCAATAATAAATATAGTATCTTTATGTGAAGTTTTAAAAGATTGATGATTAAAAATATCTTAGTATAAATTTTCACAAATAGAAGATATATAATTTCAATTATATCTGCAAACTGGGCATTCTTGACTTTTTTTTTACCATGCTTATAGACAATTTTGATGGAATATATGGCAACATTCGAGAACTCCTTTTTAATCCATGGGTCCAATATCTATTAAACATATTGGACATTCATGAGCAGTGTAAAATTAATATGTATCTGCAATTTATTTTAAAGCACAATCAGAATAATGATCCTATTTGAATTGTTTAAATATTTTCTCTTGACAAAATTCACAAACATCATCTTCTTTCTCCTATAAAGCAAATGCTTAGCAATTCTATTAATGTTACTCAATTAACTTCTTGACTACTGTTTCTCCACAAAATTTGCAATCTTCAACTATGTTTTCTAATAGGCAACTTTCTAAATGATTTTCAATTCCACAATAGGGATAGTAGTCTCCACAATTGCTGCAAGGGTAGAGTTTCATATCTTCATCCTATATCTCACTCATTGAATTAAATATTAATAATGTCTGATATATACTCTAATATTAATTCTCAACTTCATTCCAATTAGAATTTATCACTATACGCAAGACATTAAAAAGAAGCAAGAATAGAGCATTCGAGGTTGACTCCTGAAGATGGAAAGAAAAGCTGCTCTAAGTTTATAACAACCGATCACCTGTATTCTCAGATGAAGAAAAATTACCTCAAAAGCAAATCACAGCCGTGTAAGGATCGCAAAGATAAAAATTGCAGATGGGAATTATCAATCCAATACACTAATTCGAGGATCCCAGAATCATTAAAAATGAAGCTAAATAAAAAGAGCAGGAATGGTATGCTTAAAGGATGAAATAAAAATAGAGACCAAAACCAGAAGATCCATTAGTTGAACCCTAAGCAGATTTGGTTTTTTATGCAAATAAAATCGAGCTGAAGAATGCCTTAATTTTAAACTTTAGTATTCCTCCAATGTTGGAGAAAGAAAGACCTTTAATGTAAGATCATCTAACCAATATATAGAAGATTTTCAAGAAGAGAAGAATTCAGAAGAATCTTAGATGAAACACCCAGATATTTGGGATAAAAGTACTCATGTTGAGTCCTTGAGAATAAAGTTATGAAATACGAAAGCAAGAAAAGACCATAATCAGTTAAGGTGATATAATAACAATAAGTTCCAGTATAAGATAGATAAAAGGAAAAATTGAATAAAAAAGGAGAGAGAAGAATGTTATTTGAAAAACCTAGTAATAAGCATGTATGATATTTTATTAGAAAATAAAAGAATTTCTATTCAAATTTTTTAAGACAATAAACCATCTTTTAAAGGCCAGGAAATATAATAAAATTATATATAAAGGGGATCAATAGAATTATGACTTAAACACTTTATTCAATTTATGGGCAGAACATAAGAAATTCAATTTCAAATCCAACCCTGAGAAATATAGTAATGTGATTCAGCTTATAATTTAGTAACTAAAGAATAATTTGTGGACTTTTTATTATTGATTGGAATTTATCCAGATAGATCTCATGAGGCTGAACGACTTTTTGATTATTGTCATGAGGATGTCGTCAAAGCACCTGGAATTGCTTAGTAGGAACAAACGACTTAGGCTTAATAAGACTCTAAGTGGTTTAGATTATTAAAGGATTGAAAATAAGTTTGAAGAAAATTATCGATTTTTATATAATGTACTATTGATTTATTAATCAAAACAAAACAAATTGCTTTCTCACGTTACCAATAATTTCATTTGGGATGACTTTCAATACATTGAATCTAACAGTTTTTGATAAGGGTCTGAATTAAATCGATGAATTGAATACCTGCATTATCCGCAAACAACAATATCTCCTTCCTTGACTGGTCCAAAAGCTGGTGAGATGTGGACTGGGACATTTCTATGTCTCTTTTCGTATCTATTATATTTGGCAACATAATGTAAATAGTCTCTTCTGATAATAATTGTTCTGGTCATCTTGGTAGAAATGACGATTCCTCTGTTTTGATAGTTTAATTAATATCATACTTTAAGATGGCACCTCTGACACTGACATTTCCTGTGAATGGACATTTCTTATCAATGTAATGTCCTTCAATTGCTTCCTTTGGTACTTTGAATCCGAGTCCAACTTCTTTCCAATATCTAACTCCTTTTGATGTTTTCTTAGCCAAAAGTTTTTTTGAGTTTTGGAAGATACCTTCTTGCTTTTGGAATGCTCTTTGTGATTAGACGTCTGCCATTATATATTTTTTTTAAAAAAGATATAAATTTTAATGTAATAATAAGGAAATGAGTTTGAACAAAAATAGATTAAATTTGTTTGAAAAAAAAACAATCCAAAATCATAATAACTACACAGTCCTTTTCTTGTCATCAAATTAGACCTTCTCTTATTTATCCAATTCCAGAAGGCATTTTAAGAATTATAAATAATCAGCAATAATGATTCTACTCTAACTTTACAGTTCTCCCCAGATGATATCGATATCAACAACATCTTGATGAAGCTAAGATAATGATATATAAATATACTTTTTCTTTGAAATCTCTCAACACCTTATGGACAGCCTTCAATTAATCTCTTGTAATATTTTATGAGTGAGCCTATTGTAAGAATAAATGGAACTCCGCTTCCTTTTCTTTGGGGTCATCTTACTTTTACTTCTTCTTATCACTCTTAACAATAAGTTGATTTTCTTGTTCTTCCTATTTAAGTTATTCAGATTCAAGTTTTTATCTTCCAGCAGATAACGGCTACTCGCTTTTAAGTCTTTACAGACTTGACTTTCTACCACTTGGTTTCTTATTATCTTCAACTTCATCCTCTTAATCCATCTACAAAGAGATTTTCATTAATTTGGCTCCAATCTTAACGTCTTGTTTGGTTACTACATTAGATAGTCTTAATTTTGCATGAGCAGAAGCCAATCTGATTAATGATTCTAACGATCTGATAGTGATAGGCTGAGTTCTGATTTATTTTTCTAACAAATCATTTTGTCTCATTTTGGTCCATTGTCTAGTCACTTCCTCTGCTGCCTCATCATCTAAGACCACATTTGGATAGTTTTCTTTTGCATACATAATATATTTCTTAAGGAATGATTATGTTAAAAGGTCCTTTTGATCATTTGAATGATATATAGCTGATTATTGAACAAAAGGTGAAATCTCCTATTTGATACTCATCTAAGCCATAGGTTAAATTATATCTCCAATATTTTCTTCGTCATCATATTATCCCTTGTATCTGTGATTCTTTGTAACTCTTTCAGCAACCTTCCTATCAATATCCTTTTTCTTTTCATCCAATATAATAAACAACAAATCAAATCTACTCAATAAAGAATCTGGTAATCCAATATTCTTCGTTGGTGCCATATCTTATTAATATTCACCATAAAGAGGATTTGCAGCAGCTAAAACAGAACATCTTGCATTTAATGAACAATGTATTCCAGCCTTTGCAATAGTGACTGTTTGTTATTCCATAACTTCATGGATTGCTACTCTATCTATTTCATTCATCTTATCAAACTCATCTATCAAAATAACTCCACCATCTGCTAAAACCATAGCACCTGCCTCTAAAGTATTCTCTCCTGTTTCATTGTCCCTCTTAACTGCAGCTGTCAAACCAACACTTGATGTTCCTCTACCAGTTGTAGTAACTACCAATGGAGCAGTTCCCATAACATATCTAAGTAGTTAAGATTTAGCTGTAGATGGATCTCCTATCAAAAGAACATTGATATCTCCTCTTAAATGAGTTCCTGTCTCTAAATTCTTTTCTGTTCCTCCTAACAATTGCAACAAAATGGACTACTTAACAATTCCATGTCCAAATATTGATGGAGCTATAGATTTTGACATGTATTCCAAAAGATCTTGCATTATTTTAACTAAATACTTGATTTCTTAGCAATTTCTTTGATGTGTCTGATATCAATCTCTGATATCTTTGTTTCTTATACGGCATTCATTACTTTAATGTTCTATGCTATCAAAGTTGTTCTGAAGGTTCCATTTGCCTTAGTAGTTGAATTTGGAATACACTTATACACACCAGTAATCTATGATTATATTATGTTTAATACTTCAACTCTGTCTCCTGGTTTCACTCTATCAACTAAATCTTAATCTAAAATGACTTCTAAAGATCTTGGCAACATTCCAGTGGGAGTTCTCTCTGGCAACTCTTAAACCACTAGTGTCTACATGTCATTTAGATCACTTAACCCAAATTCAAAAATCATAGGGTTGCCTTCTTCATCCTTCTTCTATACTACTCTAACTTATCTTGCGGATGTCCTAGCACTTGGATCCATGTTATTGAAATATTCCACTTATTTGAATTAGTTTTTCTTCTCTATAAAGTGAACTGATTTCGATAGTTTCAACAAAACCAAGGACATCTTAGTAACTATTGCTTATGTGCAAACTAATTAATTTATTTATGCAGCTCCCAAACCTCTTGGAGTCACGTAATTCTTTCCTAATTTACCTTCAAAATAGATTTTATATGTTTTATCTGTCTACACTCCCTTTTTATCATCATCTTCCTATTGATCCTGCAATTATTTGCATATTTAACATAATTTCTGTTAGAAAACTCTGATAAAATCTGTTGGATTTCTAATCAAGTCATCAACTCTAAATATACATAAATATAACGGTTTTACAAGTTAGGGTATTGTTATCTTGATTCTGATCTCAAAAGATCTAAATTGATTGGAAATCTAATTTTGTTTTGTTATCTCATGGCTTCAATTTGTGCAATGTCTATGTTACTGAGAAATCTTTCTAGGAAGTCTCTGTAAATTAAATCCTGTTGTGGCGCATCTTATGGGTTCATTTGGTTTATTTTATTTTATTATTAACAAAACTTTGTGTACCAAATATGCCACAATTTATACTTTTGGCGCAAAAAAACATATATTTTAGATTTTTAGAATTAGATGGATATATTTGGTATCTGTGAGTTGGTAGCTTAAGTGAGAAGGTGAGCTGCAAGAAATAGTTTCAAAATATTTATAGGAACAATAAATGAAAATATAAGGACTAATTAGAATAAACTAATACAAATCTACTCTTTTAACACTGAATTTAGATGAGATAAACCTACCTAACTGAGGAAATATGAGTTGATAAATTAATATAATTACAATTCTTATAATTTTTTTGGAACTTTCTGAATAGAATTAACATTGCATTACTTATTCACATGATATTTGTCTAAATTTTGAATGAGGTTATATTGTAATAGTAAATTGGTAATGGGTGTGATACTGGATGTTTTTGGAGTGTTTGGAAGGAGATTTGTATAATGAGGGGAGGTTTATTTGATATAAAAATTAATAAAGTGCATGTTTGTGTGTAAATGTATTTGTATAAGTTTAGTTAAAATGATTATTTGAGACATTTGTGATAGATATTTATATATTCCTATTCATCATAGTTTATAAAGATATTTGATATCCATAATTAAATGATGGTGATGTTTTAATATTAAAAAAAATAAATTTAATGAGCTTTCCCCAGCATATTCCAAGCACATCACTTAGTTTCTTAGATCCGAGTTTGTTGATTGGGAATTTGGATTGGCTGTATTTGTTGTCGATGAAGGAGACAGATGGATTATCAGAAAAGTCTTTAACTAAGGGTGAGGATGTTTCAGGGTTTGATGCCTTTCTGGAGCAAGTAGACTTTACGAGATCAGCATATATTAAATTGAGGTAGTGAAGTGTTGTAATAGGAGTAGATAGGATTATTTTAATTTGATACAGCATTCATCTCGGCATTTGACAGAGAGTCTGTTGAACTCTAAGAATGAATACTTTGGCAGAGCCAGTATGATGTTGAACAAGATCAATAAGAGTAAAATAGAGAAGCCAATCGTGATGGCGACATGTAAGACATGGAATGTGTAATTTTAGATCACGAGTGCTCGTATGAGGTGTTCAAATAATGTCAGGGAGTGACAAGTTGTTCAGCATTGCAATCTAATCCGACGAGATGGCCTTGGGGATTGGAAGATTTCCACAAGTCATTATGCAAATAAGAGCTGTTGTCTCTCTTTTACGAACCAGATTACTCTAGAGAGAGTATCGATAAGAATTTACAAAGATTATTAAAGGAGATTGATCACAAACAATTGTCAAAGATATTGATAGATTATGCATTGAGAGTAGGAACGTTTAAGTAGATTTTGAGTCTTTGTGATTTAAATATAAGAGAAATTATAAAATTACCAAGATTGCAATAAAAGAGTCGCCATCTACATTATATGAGATCATTGTGCGACTAAGGAGGATTCACTATTACCTAATTACAGCAATTCACTAAGTTAAATTACCATCAAATGACAATGACATCCTCCTAATGTTACTTGTACATCTTGGTGAGTTCCCCAGTGGGTGGAATGTACAAGGTGGGCACAGGAGAAGGTGGAACTATAGCTGGTAAGATATATCTACATTAACCACTAAAAAAGCAAGACGATGTCTAATGGGTATTCCTGCAGAATAAATTATATCTGAAACAGCAGAATGGAACTTTGGATATCATATGTCCTGAGACATTTCAGACTCTGAGTCAAATGACTCTCCATTGTCCAGAACTATTTCAACATCCTCAAATGTAGGCAATAAACAAGAATTATCCATTGATTACTGATGGAGAGAAGCTATTCATCATTGGAAGAAAACTAAATATTACCAAAGTGGAAGGAGCACCAGCCAAAGTTATCAAAGAACCAGCAGCTTCCACTTCAAGAGCATAAAAGAAGAAGGAGGCTGAACAGTAACCACCTGATAACACAATCAAGATTATGGATTTCATTCTTTTTGAATTCGACTTGAATAAACCAACAGGAAATGTATAAAATGAAGAAGAATCTGATAAGAAACTATTGGCTGAATTATTTGAGTCATTTCAAGGATATTTCAGCAAGGCAGAGATTAGCAAGGCATTGAATCTGAATAAAAATGATATGTAAAATGCAGCCCAATGGTTGGTTGAAGAAGGGGAGAAGGAAAGAAATAAAACAACCGTTTCTGTTTCAAAATAAACCTTACTGTGTTAAGCTGAAATCACTACTGACATCTCGGCTAAATAAGTCAAGAGCAGTGCTGATATAGGCTGTAAGGAGGGATCCATCTTATAACCATAAATCATTAGTAATATCATTTGGACTATGGACAAAAAGTATTTGACAGCCTATTTTGAATTTGGAGTAAAGATATTTTCTAAAGATCCA